AGAGGAGCAGCGGGAGCAGGGGGAGCAGGGATGAGGTGGAGGAGCTTTGAGATTTCTCAGATCACTTCAATGGGCACACAGATGCCGCTCGTAGCGTTGAGTGCTTCAAAGGCCTGCGATGGAGGGGGGGTGTGCAAGAGGAGCAGCGGGAGCAGGGGGAGCAGGGATGAGGTGGAGGAGCTTTGAGATTTCTCAGATCACTTCAATGGGCACACAGATGCCGCTCGTAGCGTTGAGTGCTTCAAAGGCCTGCGATGGAGGGGGGGTGTGCAAGAGGAGCAGCGGGAGCAGGGGGAGCAGGGATGAGGTGGAGGAGCTTTGAGATTTCTCAGATCACTTCAATGGGCACACAGATGCCGCTCGTAGCGTTGAGTGCTTCAAAGGCCTGCGATGGAGGGGGGGTGTGCAAGAGGAGCAGCGGGAGCAGGTGGAGCAGGGATGAGGTGGAGGAGCTTTGAGATTTCTCAGATCACTTCAATGGGCACACAGATGCCGCTCGTAGCGTTGAGTGCTTCAAAGGCCTGCGATGGAGGGGGGGTGTGCAAGAGGAGCAGCGGGAGCAGGGGGAGCAGGGATGAGGTGGAGGAGCTTTGAGATTTCTCAGATCACTTCAATGGGCACATAGATGCCGCTCGTAGCGTTGAGTGCTTCAAAGGCCTGCGATGGAGGGGGGGTGTGCAAGAGGAGCAGCGGGAGCAGGGGGAGCAGGGATGAGGTGGAGGAGCTTTGAGATTTCTCAGATCACTTCAATGGGCACACAGATGCCGCTCGTAGCGTTGAGTGCTTCAAAGGCCTGCGATGGAGGGGGGGTGTGCAAGAGGAGCAGCGGGAGCAGGGGGAGCAGGGATGAGGTGGAGGAGCTTTGAGATTTCTCAGATCACTTCAATGGGCACACAGATGCCGCTCGTAGCGTTGAGTGCTTCAAAGGCCTGCGATGGAGGGGGGGTGTGCAAGAGGAGCAGCGGGAGCAGGGGGAGCAGGGATGAGGTGGAGGAGCTTTGAGATTTCTCAGATCACTTCAATGGGCACACAGATGCCGCTCGTAGCGTTGAGTGCTTCAAAGGCCTGCGATGGAGGGGGGGTGTGCAAGAGGAGCAGCGGGAGCAGGGGGAGCAGGGATGAGGTGGAGGAGCTTTGAGATTTCTCAGATCACTTCAATGGGCACACAGATGCCGCTCGTAGCGTTGAGTGCTTCAAAGGCCTGCGATGGAGGGGGGGTGTGCAAGAGGAGCAGCGGGAGCAGGGGGAGCAGGGATGAGGTGGAGGAGCTTTGAGATTTCTCAGATCACTTCAATGGGCACACAGATGCCGCTCGTAGCGTTGAGTGCTTCAAAGGCCTGCGATGGAGGGGGGGTGTGCAAGAGGAGCAGCGGGAGCAGGGGGAGCAGGGATGAGGTGGAGGAGCTTTGAGATTTCTCAGATCACTTCAATGGGCACACAGATGCCGCTCGTAGCGTTGAGTGCTTCAAAGGCCTGCGATGGAGGGGGGGTGTGCAAGAGGAGCAGCGGGAGCAGGGGGAGCAGGGATGAGGTGGAGGAGCTTTGAGATTTCTCAGATCACTTCAATGGGCACACAGATGCCGCTCGTAGCGTTGAGTGCTTCAAAGGCCTGCGATGGAGGGGGGGTGTGCAAGAGGAGCAGCGGGAGCAGGGGGAGCAGGGATGAGGTGGAGGAGCTTTGAGATTTCTCAGATCACTTCAATGGGCACACAGATGCCGCTCGTAGCGTTGAGTGCTTCAAAGGCCTGCGATGGAGGGGGGGTGTGCAAGAGGAGCAGCGGGAGCAGGGGGAGCAGGGATGAGGTGGAGGAGCTTTGAGATTTCTCAGATCACTTCAATGGGCACACAGATGCCGCTCGTAGCGTTGAGTGCTTCAAAGGCCTGCGATGGAGGGGGGGTGTGCAAGAGGAGCAGCGGGAGCAGGGGGAGCAGGGATGAGGTGGAGGAGCTTTGAGATTTCTCAGATCACTTCAATGGGCACACAGATGCCGCTCGTAGCGTTGAGTGCTTCAAAGGCCTGCGATGGAGGGGGGGTGTGCAAGAGGAGCAGCGGGAGCAGGGGGAGCAGGGATGAGGTGGAGGAGCTTTGAGATTTCTCAGATCACTTCAATGGGCACACAGATGCCGCTCGTAGCGTTGAGTGCTTCAAAGGCCTGCGATGGAGGGGGGGTGTGCAAGAGGAGCAGCGGGAGCAGGGGGAGCAGGGATGAGGTGGAGGAGCTTTGAGATTTCTCAGATCACTTCAATGGGCACACAGATGCCGCTCGTAGCGTTGAGTGCTTCAAAGGCCTGCGATGGAGGGGGGGTGTGCAAGAGGAGCAGCGGGAGCAGGGGGAGCAGGGATGAGGTGGAGGAGCTTTGAGATTTCTCAGATCACTTCAATGGGCACACAGATGCCGCTCGTAGCGTTGAGTGCTTCAAAGGCCTGCGATGGAGGGGGGGTGTGCAAGAGGAGCAGCGGGAGCAGGGGGAGCAGGGATGAGGTGGAGGAGCTTTGAGATTTCTCAGATCACTTCAATGGGCACACAGATGCCGCTCGTAGCGTTGAGTGCTTCAAAGGCCTGCGATGGAGGGGGGGTGTGCAAGAGGAGCAGCGGGAGCAGGGGGAGCAGGGATGAGGTGGAGGAGCTTTGAGATTTCTCAGATCACTTCAATGGGCACACAGATGCCGCTCGTAGCGTTGAGTGCTTCAAAGGCCTGCGATGGAGGGGGGGTGTGCAAGAGGAGCAGCGGGAGCAGGGGGAGCAGGGATGAGGTGGAGGAGCTTTGAGATTTCTCAGATCACTTCAATGGGCACACAGATGCCGCTCGTAGCGTTGAGTGCTTCAAAGGCCTGCGATGGAGGGGGGGTGTGCAAGAGGAGCAGCGGGAGCAGGGGGAGCAGGGATGAGGTGGAGGAGCTTTGAGATTTCTCAGATCACTTCAATGGGCACACAGATGCCGCTCGTAGCGTTGAGTGCTTCAAAGGCCTGCGATGGAGGGGGGTGTGCAAGAGGAGCAGCGGGAGCAGGGGGAGCAGGGATGAGGTGGAGGAGCTTTGAGATTTCTCAGATCACTTCAATGGGCACACAGATGCCGCTCGTAGCGTTGAGTGCTTCAAAGGCCTGCGATGGAGGGGGGGTGTGCAAGAGGAGCAGCGGGAGCAGGGGGAGCAGGGATGAGGTGGAGGAGCTTTGAGATTTCTCAGATCACTTCAATGGGCACACAGATGCCGCTCGTAGCGTTGAGTGCTTCAAAGGCCTGCGATGGAGGGGGGGTGTGCAAGAGGAGCAGCGGGAGCAGGGGGAGCAGGGATGAGGTGGAGGAGCTTTGAGATTTCTCAGATCACTTCAATGGGCACACAGATGCCGCTCGTAGCGTTGAGTGCTTCAAAGGCCTGCGATGGAGGGGGGGTGTGCAAGAGGAGCAGCGGGAGCAGGGGGAGCAGGGATGAGGTGGAGGAGCTTTGAGATTTCTCAGATCACTTCAATGGGCACACAGATGCCGCTCGTAGCGTTGAGTGCTTCAAAGGCCTGCGATGGAGGGGGGGTGTGCAAGAGGAGCAGCGGGAGCAGGGGGAGCAGGGATGAGGTGGAGGAGCTTTGAGATTTCTCAGATCACTTCAATGGGCACACAGATGTCGCTCGTAGCGTTGAGTGCTTCAAAGGCCTGCGATGGAGGGGGGGTGTGCAAGAGGAGCAGCGGGAGCAGGGGGAGCAGGGATGAGGTGGAGGAGCTTTGAGATTTCTCAGATCACTTCAATGGGCACACAGATGCCGCTCGTAGCGTTGAGTGCTTCAAAGGCCTGCGATGGGCGGCGAGGGTTGAGCAGGAAGAGCAAGGGGAAAGTTGAGGGTTTTCAAAGAGGCCACCTGAGTGAGTGCACCGCGTCTGAGTGCAGCGCGTCTGAGTGCAGCGCGTCTGAGTGCAGCGCGTCTGAGTGCAGCGCGTCTGAGTGCACCGCGTCTGAGTGCACCGCGTCTGAGTGCACCGCGTCTGAGTGCACCGCGTCTGAGTGCACCGCGTCTGAGTGCACCGCGTCTGAGTGCACCGCGTCTGAGTGCACCGCGTCTGAGTGCACCGCGTCTGAGTGCACCGCGTCTGAGTGCACCGCGTCTGAGTGCACCGCGTCTGAGTGCACCGCGTCTGAGTGCACCGCGTCTGAGTGCACCGCGTCTGAGTGCACCGCGTCTGAGTGCACCGCGTCTGAGTGCACCGCGTCTGAGTGCACCGCGTCTGAGTGCACCGCGTCTGAGTGCACCGCGTCTGAGTGCACCGCGTCTGAGTGCACCGCGTCTGAGTGCACCGCGTCTGAGTGCACCGCGTCTGAGTGCACCGCGTCTGAGTGCAGCTATGTTGAAATGACTGTTGGCTTGAGATTTCCCAAAAGTGGTTTCCAAGAACCCCTGAAAGCACAGCGCCTGAATCACCTCAAGAAACACCCCGCGTTTGATCGGCAGCGGCCGGCACTCACCTTAGGTGCGCGTTGGTGGCGACAGAGGTGTTGGCAGTGGTGTGCACGGTGGTGGCGGTGTAGCGTTGCACTCACTCACTCACTCACTCACTCACTCACTCACCCACTCACTCAAAACATGCAATCGCATGCACTCTATCACTCACCTTGGGTGCGTTGGTGGCGACAGAGGTGTTGGCAGTGGTGAGCACGGTGGAAGCGGTGTAGCGCGCGTAGCGGGTGGTGTTGCACACTTACACTAGGTGCTGCACCTGCAAGCACTGCAATCGCTGCTCTCACCTTAGGAGCGTTGGTGGCGACAGAGGTGTTGGCAGTGGTGAGCACGGTGGAAGCGGTGTAGCGTGCGTAGCGGGTGGTGTTGACAACCTTATCGCTGGGGATGCAGTGGAGGTATTTGTCCATGGCACTGCACCGCACTAAACCGCACTGCACCGCACAGCACAGCACTGCACTGCAAGCACTCACCTTGGGTGCGTTGGTGGCGACAGAGGTGTTGGCAGTGGTGAGCACGGTGGAAGCGGTGTAGCGCGCGTAGCGGGTGGTGTTGACAATCTTATCGCTGGGGATGCAGTGGAGGTATTTGTCCATGGCGCTGACCATGGTGGGCGAATGCTGCACCTCATCTAATGCCACATCGGTATCGCCATTCACCCTGTGATGATTGGGGGGAGGAGGGGGGACGGGCAAGGGGTGTTGACCATCTGGTCGCTGGGGATGCAGTGGAGGTATTTGTCTACGGTGCTGATCATGGTGGGGGATTGCTGCACCTCGTCTAATGCCACATCGGTATCGCCATTCACCCTGGAAAGGTTTCGGGTTGGTGGGGTTTGGATTGTGAATTCAGTTTGATTTTTTTTTGGGAAAAAAAAAGAAACAAAACAGAACAAAACATAAAAGAAACGGACAAAACAAAACAAAACCAAGTATTCAAAAGCACAGCTTGAAATTTGGGGCTACAAGAACACATATGATGTTTGGAGGTTTACGGAGAAGACGTTTGGAGGTAACACATATGATGTTCAGAGGTTTACGGAAAAGAAAAGCATAACGGAAATAGTGAGAAGATGGCTTACAAACATGAATCAGTAGAGCCTACGGACGTACTGTTATTGACACTTACAAATATGCAATAATTAAACCGGCTGTAGTGCACCAAGTAAAGAAGACCACCACCCATATTATAGTGACGACGCTGTAAAAGGGGATAGGAAAAGAACAAGGAAATTGGACATGATGACTATGGAAACAACTGTGAGACAGAGAGAGTTTGGGGAGTACACTTTTCGTGTTAGATATTGAAGGGCTTGACATAATAATCAGCTATCTTCGCACATTAGGTACAAAGTACTGACAAGAAAAATACTATAAACTAATCATGTGAATTCACAACTCTGTTTTGTGCCATAATAAGTTTAACATACTAGATGCTGTGAAATTGTTTATATATCGGGTTTCTAGCGCGTATGCATTCATTAAAGACCGGCCCATTTAATGCAACGCAATGGAAAGAAGGGAGTTCTGAATACTCACACATTGGACACGACGGCCCATTTGAGAAGAGGAAGCACTGACGAGTTTCGAGACGTCTCACAACTAGGTATTTTAGTGCATGCGCATGCCTTTGAACGCAATGTACCGTATTCTCCTGGATATAAGACCCTAGGGTCTTATGAAAAATTCAAGAAAAAATGGGGGGGGGTCTTGTCAAAGGCAACTAATGATATAGTACCCGGGTCTTATCATATGGACATATTTTTTATATGTGCGTTCAAATGCTTCATAGATGGGGATGCTTGCGATTTTTTTTCCATCCTCAGTAGGTCCGCAATTGTGAGCATTCAGAAATTAGGTACATCACACTGAAAACTTGCTATGGCCTTCTCATTCAAATCTAGCTATGGTCATAACATTGAAACCTGGCTATTGTTTTCTCCCATGTTTGCTACTGTTCTTCATGAACAGTCAACCTTGTGTGGGTTTAATGGGCCTAAATCTGTGTTCACACCCTTATCATGATAGAAAAACACATGAAAATGCATCAAATATCAGAAAAACAGTAGTGTATACGTCTGGGGGAGGGTCTAGTAATGTTTACCCCTCTAGAGGGGGGTATAGTGGAAACCTGCCAAAATAAAAGACCCACCCCCGTATTACAGACCCGGGGGTCCTGTATTCCGGGGGTCTTATATCTGGGAGAATACGGTAATGAAGGGAGTTTAGAACACTCACACATTGGATGCGACGGCCCATTTGAGAAGAGAAAACACTGGCAGGCAGGAGAGGGGTGTTAGACACGGTGACAGTGGGAGGTTAGTGTGAGCGAAGGGCATAGATGGAGCAAGTGGGGAGCGAAGGGGGGGCGTTGGATGGGGGAAGGTTGGTGAGGGCGAGGGATAAAGGAGTGGAAGACTCAGAGAGCAGAAATGCCAGGAGCTAAACTCCTATCTTGGCAGTTAATATATATATAAAACAATTCTGCTATTGTTGCAATGGTGATTGTAATGGAGCAGTCGTGAGGGAAGCAGCGGCACGAAGCAATGGTGGTGGTTGCGATTGCAATGGCGATGGAACAATTATGGTTGCGATTGCGAATTGTGTTTGCGTTGGATATGAAGCAGGTATGGAGGAAGCAAGGTCACGGACGGCACGGCACGGATGTAACATGCTTTTGTTTGACATGGCAGACGATTTTGAGGCGCCTCAAATGATTTTTGAGGCGCCTCCAACGATTTTTTAGGCGCCTCAGCAAGGTCAAGGACGGCAAAGATGACATGCTTTTGTGTGACATTTTTTGAGGCGCCTCAAAAGTCGCCTCAAAAGGCGCCTCAAAAGTCAAGGACGGCACAGATGACATGCTTTTGTGTGACATCCGTGCCGTCCTTGACCTGCCAGGAGCTAAAGTCCTATCTTGGCAGTTAACATTTTTCAGAATTCCTGGGGAAAGCATGCTTTTGTGATTGAGATAGCAGAGTGAGAGAAGACGAGCAAAGAGAGAGGAGATGGACGGGAGGATGAGAGAGGAGAGAGAGAGAGAAGAGAGGAGGAGAGAGGGAAGGGAGGCGAGAGGGAAGAGAGGAGGGAGAAGAAAGGAGAGAAAGAAGAGAATAGGGAGGGAATGGAGGAGAGGGGGGGGAGAGAGGAGGGGAGAAAGAGAAGGGAGAAAAGGAAGGAGGCAGAGAAGAGAGGAGGAGAGAGGGAAGGGAGGCGAGAGGGAAGAGAGGAGGGAGAAGAGAGGAGAGAAAGAAGAGAATAGGGAGGGAATGGAGGAGAGGGGGGGGAGAGGAGGGGAGGAAGAGAAGGGAGAAAAGGAAGGAGGCAGAGAAGAGAGGAGGGAGGGAAGAGAGGAGGGAGAGAAATTGGTGAGGGAGGGAGGAAGAGAGGAGGAGGGAATTAAGAGAAAAAGGAGGGAGGAAAGATGAGGGAGGGACGATGACGGGGGAGGGACGATGGTGGAGGAAGGAGGTAGGTGGGAGGTAGGAGAACGCACGGAGGGCGAAGATGCAGAGAGCGGTGATGATACATCCGATGATGGAGAAGGTGAGTGTGCTGAGGAGGAAAGCGGGGCGGAGGTTGGGAGGGGCGGGCAGGGTGGGAGGGGAATGAAGAGAGGCAACGATGCAAAGAGCGGTGATGATGCATCCGATGATGGAGAAGGTGAGTGTGATGAAGGACGGAGAGAGGGGGGGGTAACAGGGAGGGAGGGCAGGAAGGGATGGGAGGGAAGAGAGGAGGGAGGGCGGACCACAAGGATAGCACAGACGGAGAGAGTGGTTGTGAGGTGCCTCAAAAGGTGATGATACACCCGATGATGGAGAAGGTGAGCTATGTTGGAAAAAACGCTTGGGCGTCGATGCGTATCACGTTTATACGATAACGTATATACGGAAAAACGTGATACGTTCCGTAATACGTGATACGTTTCGTTGGGCAGCCCGGAAAAAAAATTGTTGCCGCTTATTCCGCGATCTGCGATTCCGTGAAACCTAATTTTGAGTTTCGAAAGTCGATGCCCCCCCTCCCTCCCCTCCCCTCCACCGCACATCACCCCACACCACCTCCCAAACCCAACCTTTCCGTTCCCAACCTTTCACGTCGGCGTGCGTACATGAGCTAGAGGAGACTTTCTTAATCTCATTTTGTCTCACGCCTCTTATATTCTACGTCCCTTCTTAACTCGTAGTTTAGCTTTGAATAGCTATGTCGACCGCTAATGTCGCACCTGCTATTGCTAGCAGTGGAGTAACGTCGCATAGCTTGCCAGGTCTTTGCAGCCGCAATTTCAGGGCGACTTTAGCCAACAAATATCTGACATTTCAGAGATCCTAATCGCGAGAACTACAAGGGAGTAATCCGCATCTGAAAGTATTGCTGAAGAAATCATCCCCTTAGACATTCTACCTCCGCCGAAGTGTTTTTTCTCTGCCCGGAGTTTTTTTTTGTCTGACCGACACAGCGAATTCTGAGCGTTTTTAAAACTGCCAATCCGGCGTATCACGTACGTACGGTAGCGTATAGTACGTACGCGACTGATACGCCATGCGCGATCCAACATAGAAGGTGAGTGTGATGAAGGAAAAGGGGAGGGGAGGATGGGCAGGGAGGAAGGGCCGGGAGGGCCTTTGATGCATCTCAAAAGATGCAGAGAGCAGTGATGGTGCATCCGATGATGGGAAATGTGAGTGTGCTGAACCAAGGGGTGACAGGAACGGATGGAAAAGGTGAGGAGGGAGGGAAGAAGAGAGGACGCAGGGAAGAGAAAATGCAGGAATTAGTATTGCAGCGCCTTTGTGATTGAACCATGCCAGTGTGCAGTGCACCGCACCCCACCGCACTGCACTAAATGGGGTTGCACTGCACTGCACCGCACTGCACTGCACTGCACTCACAAGATGTGCAGCACGTTGTTGATGAGGGTGATGTGATGTGATGCCATCCGCCCTCTTGGCCTGCAACTCGTAGCCACAGAACACAGCTGAACCTCACCGCACCGCACTGCACCACACACCCACTGCATTGCACTGCACCACACCACACCACACCACACCGCACAGCACTGAATGGCACCGCATCAAACCGCACCCTACTCACACCACGCGCAGCGCGTCGTTGGTAATGATGATGCCATCAGCAGTCTTTGCCTGCAGCTCGTGCTCACAGCAGAGAAAATACACGCACAGCACTGGACCACATTGCATCACACTGCACCACACTGCACCGCACTGCACCGCACTGCACCGCACTCCACCACACTGCACTACACTCACACTACGCACAGTGTGTTGCTGATCATGATAATGCCGTCTGCTGTCTTGGCCTGCATGTCCTTCTCACAGTACAGAAGCTACAGCCTATACCGCACCGCACCGCACAGTACTGCACCGCGAAACACACAGCACCGCAACCCACCCCACTGCACCGCACTGCACTCACACTACTCTGAGAGCGTCGTTGATAATGACAATGCCGTCCGCTGTCTTGGCCTGCAGGTCCGTGGCCGTCTCATTCGCCACCCTCGCCTTGCTCTCTATGTCTGCCTTCTTGGCAGCTGCAGCAAGGGGAGGGAGGGAGAATGGGGGATGCTCTCAAGCACAGTCTTCTGAGTCAACTCAAAAGAGAGGGGGGGATGGTGAGTGGCGGTCTGGTTGGCCGTCTGGTTGGCCGTCTGGTTGGCCGTCTGGTTGGCCGTCTGGTTGGCCGTCTGGTTGGCTTGAGACAACCTAGATTTCAGAGAGCACGCGTTGCTACAGTAAGGCCGGGAAAGCGCGTACGTGGGATGACCTTTTTGAGGCGCCTCAAAAGTCTCCACCTTCTAGGTTCTATTCTAGAGAGCACACACTGCAGAGGAAAGCCGGGAAAGCTGGGAAAGCTGGGAAAGCACGCACGTGGGACGACGGTGTTGGTGATGTTTGATGGATGCGCTGGTCCCAACGATGCGCGTGAGGTTAAAGACCACGTTGACCATCGACTTCACGGCCAACGATGCGCGTGAGGTTAAAGACCACGTTGACCATCGACTTCACGGCCAACGATGCGCGTGAGGTTAAAGACCACGTTGACCATCGACTTCACGGCCAACGATGCGCGTGAGGTTAAAGACCACGTTGACCATCGACTTCACGGCCAACGATGCGCGTGAGGTTAAAGTCGATTTTGGCTGTGAGGTTAAAGACCACGTTGGCCGCATCCATCGACGAGGTTAAAGACCACGTTGGCCGTGAAGTCGATGGTCTCTGTGATATGAACTGTCACCTTGTGCACTCGTTGCTAGAGGCAACCTAGATTTAGAGAAGAGTGCGTACGTGGAACAACGGTGTTGGTCTAGAGAAGAGCACATACACGTGGCGTGGCTTTTGAGAATTCTCAAAAACCACTCTAGAGAAGAGCACGCACGTGGGATGACGGTGTTGGTGATGTTGATTGATGCGCTGGTCTCCACAATTTTGGTGAGGTTGAAGACAACGTTGGCCGTGAAGTCGATGGTCTCTGTCATAAAGTCTGTCACCTTGTTCACTCGCTGCCTTTGAGAATTCCTACAAGTGCTAGAGACAGCCTAGATTCTAGAGAGCAGGAGGAGGAAAGCACGCACGTGGGATGACGGTGTTGGTGATGTTGATTGAGGCACTGGTCTCGACGATTTTGGTGAGGTTAAAGACAACGTTGGCCGTGAAGTCGACCGTTTCTGTCATAAAGTCCGTCACCTTGTACACTCGGTTCCTCAGCTGCACGCCCCCTGCGAGCATCACAGAGAATCCCACCCTGAGGAAGCAGGGGTGGGAGGGGGAAGGAAGGAGAGGGGAAGGGGAGGGGAAGGGGAGGGGAAGGGGAGGGGAAGGGAAGGAAAAGGCGAGGGGAAGGAAAAGGGAGAAAGGGTGAAGTCGACCGTTTCTGTCATGAAGCCCGTCACCTTGTACACTCGGTTCCTCAGCTGCACGCCCCCTGCGAGCATCACAGAGAATCCCACCCTGGGAAAGAAGGGAGAGGGGGAAGGAGGGAGGGAGGGCATGCGTGGGCTGCGTTTGAGATTTTCCAAAAGTGACACACCTACCTACCCCATCGCAGGACAGGGGCAGAGGAAAGAAGAGCAAAGAACAAGAAGGGATCGTTGTGCAGTGAGTTTTGAGTCAGACTCATATTGCGCTGTTACTTCCGCAGAGCTGATGCGCTAAAACAAGAGGGGGATACCATCCCCGTTACAAACATACTCCACACTCACAGCACGGCGACAATCCCGAGGAGCATGAACCCCAGCGGCACCCAGAGGTCCTTCTTGGTGTACTTGGCGTATGCAGGGTCCCTCATCTCGGTCCACTTGTCGCGACAGCACAGGCAGGTGAGCAGCGAGAATCCGACAATCCCGAGGCCCAGAATCAGCCAGAGCAGCCCGAGCAGCGGCGCGTACACCACTGACCACGTGACTGACTGTAGGCGGGGGGGGGAGGGGATGCGGGGAGGGATAAGGATGTGGGGGATAGGTGTCGGGGCAGTGAGAGAGGGGAAGGAGGAGAGGGAGCGAGAATCCGAGAATCCCGAGGCCCAGGATTAGCCAGAGCAGCCCGAGCAGCGGCGCGTACACCACCGACCACGTGACTGACTGTTGGGGGGGGATAAAGATCGCAGCAACACAGGCAGGTCAGGAGGGAGAACCCGAGGATCCCAAGGCCCAGGATTAGCCAGAGCAGCCCGAGCAGCGGCGCGTACACCACCGACCACGTGACTGACTGTTGAACGGGGAGGGGGGAGCGGGAAGGGGGAGGGAGGGTGAGTGTGCGGCGGGAGAGAGCGGCGCGGGAAGAGAGGGGAGAGGGAGAATCCGAAGATCCCGAGGCCCAGGATGAGCCAGAGCAGCGCGAGCCGCGGCGCATAGACCACCAGCCACGTGGGCATCGACCTGCAGCACGTCCTTGTAGCAGTAAAGCCCGTCGAGGGGGTCCCTTGCGTCGGTTGGGTTATGAGAGTCATGCGGGTTATGAGAGTCATGCGGGTTATGAGAGTCATGCGGGTTACACAAGTGACGAGGGTTACTCATTGTTTCGCGAAACACGTACCGCCCAATAGTCCTTGCTGCTGGGGTTCCAGCCGCCCGTGTAGTAGTTAAGTCCGTCGAGGGGGTTCTTGCGATGCGTGCGGTTCGGAGCGAGAGTTACGTTCTGCAGGGCTTGCAGCGCGCGGCGCTTCACGTGGCTCGAACGGTCGGCGTGACTCAAACGGCCGGCGCGATTCAACAGGTCGGCGTGACTGAATCGGGTGTGCTCCAATAGCGCTGCGCGAGGCGCCTCTGCAAGAACGTTCTGAATAAGCGTGTGATAATAAAGAGGGGTCTCGGGAAGGTCATTATAGTTCATGGGATCGTTCTGTACTGCCGCCACGTCAGAAGCCGCCGAGAACGGCCTGCTAATGCTGTTCAATCTCCCTGCGACTCGCGCCGTCGAATCGGGGTCGGCCGCGCACAAACGCGGCGCGATAGCTACACCGCAGATGGCCAGGATGAGAAGGAGGGTATAAATATTTCTAATCGCCATCTGCGAACGGCCACGAGTGGGCGAACCGCGGTCTGTCCGACGCGGGTAACCCTGTTTCTTTGGCGAAACTCCACCACCTGCACCTCCTCTTCCGCGCGGGTCGTCCATCTCCTTGGGTGGAAATTTCACTTCTCTATAACAACTAAGACGTTCGCGCCACTGGAATAGTTAGGTAGCCTCGTGTGAGAGGAGAGGACGTGTAATTAGCGACGCTTCTTGGCGTCTGAAGAAGCCGCTTCCTGTGCCTATTACCCTGAAAAATATGTAGCAATCCCCGCGGCCACGAAAAGATCCGCGTACTGCGCAACCAGCGGCAAGGTAAGCGTGAAGAGACGAGCCAGAAACTTAGGAGTGAGCGAGCCAGAGCGAGCAAATGTCAAGAATAGACAAAATCAGTCAGCAGCAAAATGGCATTTCTGTTCTGCTTTTTAGGGGGTGTCCAGCGCGTACATTTACAGCTCATAAGCCAGCTCGGTTACCACATTTCGGGCTGTAACACTGCCTTTTACAAAGTATGGACAGCCAGTATGGACTCGAACCACACAGGGTTTGTTTTTAGGTACAATGAGTTTTTTTGAGCCGCGAGACGTGAGAAAATACTACATTGCCCAAAATGTACGCGCTGGACACGCCCTTAGATTGGAATGAGAGTGGAAGGATGGCATGGGAGGGGTGGGACTGAGGTCTCAAACGGCGCTTCGTCAGTCAGTCTGTTCTTTGGCTCGTCCCGCTCTGCCCGTTGACGTTGGGAAAATTTCTTCTACAGAAGTTCCCGACCAGCGTGGACATTGCGAATCGACGAAATCTTCGTAACCTGACGTTTCCGTACGCAACGAGATAGTTACAAGCTCCGCGAATTCCCGACGGACGGAAATTTCACATACCGTGATCTGCCCTGCAATGCTTCTGGGCCTTTTTTTGAGGGGCTGTCGTTTCCAACCGTTCGGTTTGGTTCGGTTTGGTGCCCCTTTTTCTCGAGCAAGAAAGGCAGTGGCATGCGCGATTCGCTGTCACGCCTTTCACGTCAGGGGAATCAACGGATTTTTCTTTCAAACCGAACCGAAGCCCAGATGTTTCAGCGAGCCTTCAACCATTGGTATTCGACACTCTGAACACGGCAATCTTGTATTCGACAATGAGAAACTCAGGATTGAAGACGAGAGAGTGTAACCTACAATGGCTATTATGAAACTGAAACAACCACACACAAGCTCGCTCCGTGTATTTCCCAAGCCCTGAGGAAATAGAGTTCGACGAAACCAACTCGTGTAACCACGTCACTCGTCGAAACTCGCACGTCCACTTCGCGACTGGGCGAAAAGGCAACAAATGGTAACGACCATATACCGAGAAATGCCCAACTGCACCGTACGCGGTACCTGGCGATTATATTGAAGATCAGCTAGCTGACAGTTGTTGTTTAGCATATACAATAGGTCAGATCGCATGTCCTTCCATCACCAAAACAAAGCCAAGCTTTTCACCACCACCACGTTCCACACACGCGCTTCGCCGAAATGCCCGTTGCGCTGTGTCCCCTTCCGCTCCTGGCGCCTCCCAATCACGGGTGGACAAACCTCGAAGCGCCATCCCCACCCGTTGACCGCCAATCAGCATCGACCATACCGAACGTTCTCCTCGTTGCACCGCCAATCACGGACGTCGTTCCGACATTCTCCTGCATGTCCGTCCCTCCTCTCGCGTCGCTTCCCTTCGCGTATCCTCCCTTCGCGTCGCCTCCCGAAGCGCCTGGTATCGAGCCGGTCGACTTCGTCAATTCCGTCAGCTACGAGTCGGCCGGTGACGGCCGGTCGACGTGGATCGCGCCCGCCGTTACTGCTGTCGGCGCGACGCTGCCGGTGTGGTGGCGACGCGGCGTGCGGGTTGTGCGGACCGTGCTGGTGAGACGGAATAAGTAGGATGCAGGAGAATGATGTAGGAGGGGCGGTGGTGAGGAGGGGCGGTGGTGAGGAGGGTTGGTTGGTGGGCATAGCGCGCATTTGATTGTTACATCAACCCAGGTCACTCTCAGAGTAACTTCTGAGAATTCTCAAAAGTTACAAACCAATCATCAACCCACGTGACTCTCTAATGGCTCTCTCACTCACCATCGCAGTGGCAACCCTTACCTCCTCCTCTCCCCCCATTCTTTCCCCTTTTCCCCCTTCTCCCTCTTCTTGTCTCTTCGTTTCCGTTCCCCCCAACCTCCCCTCCCACTCTCCCCCTTTCCCGCTCTCCTGCGATGCTTCTTCTCTTTGATTGCAGCGACCAAGAAAGTGTCGAACATGCCTCGGCACAGGATACAACGTAAGCCCGTGTTGTGTGGGTGTGTGCGTGTGTGCGTGCGGGGAGAAGAGGGGGGGGGGGGGGGGGGGGGGGGGGGGGGGGGGGGGATTGGGGGGGGAGGGTGCATGCAGCGACCGAGGAAGTGTCGCACATGCCTCGGCACAGGATACAACGTAAGTCCGTGTTGTGTGGGTGTGTGCGTGCGTGGGGGCGTGCTGGGGGAGGAGATGGGGGTGGGGGGGAGAGGGGGTGCTTGCAGCGACTGAGAAAGTGTCGCACATGCCTCGGCACAGGAAACAACGTAAGTCCGTGTTGTGTGGGCGCGTGCGTGCGTGGGGGCGTGGGGGCGTGGGGGTGTGCGTGTGTGCGTGCATGGGGACGTGGATGCGTGGGTGTGTGTGGATGAGGGGCATGGGGAGTGGGGGGAAGTGGAAGGGGCGGGGTGGATTGGGGAGTGGGGCGTGTGTGTGCGTGCGTACATCCGTGCGTGCGTTTTGTGTGAGTGCGTGTGCACACGCACACACACCCACACATCCCTTCTCCCTCTCCTTCACGCTCACGTGTTTTTTTCTTGATCGCTCACCATCCAACCTTCTCTCTTCTACCCCTCCCCACTCTCTTCTTTACCAATGCAGCTCTGTTGCAAGTGTCACGGCCGGGGAAAGCAAGGTAACTGCACACTCCCCCTTCCCCTACCTCACGCCCCCCTCCCATACCACGTTCCCTCCCCCCCATACCACATTCCCCCATGACACCCCTCCTCACTCCCTTCTTTACCAATGCAGCTCTGCTGCAAGTGTCATGGCCGGGGAAAGCAAGGTAACTGCTGCACACTCCCTCTATCCCCCCTCCCCTACCGCACTTACCTCGCTCTTTTCTCACTTTCCTGCCACAACCTTTGCTCTCCCGCTCCACCCCTCCTCCCCACTCCTGCTTCTCTGCCTTCGCTCCCTCCCTCCCTCGCTCCATTTCGTTCTCTCCCACTCCACCTCTTCCGCATCTCTCTTTCTAATGTTACACTGCTATGCTGCGACTTTTGAGGCGCCTCAAAAGTCACCCGCTCCCTCTCTTCCCCCCCCCCCTCCGTTTCGTTCTCTCCCACTCCATCTCTTCCGCACCTCTCTTTCTAATGTTACACTGCTGCACTGCGCGCTGCTACAATCCCCCTTTCCCCCCTGTTTCTTCCCCTCCCTCTCTCCCACCACACTTCTCCCTGCCCTATTGTAGCTTCTCTGCCCCATCCCTTCCTCTCTCTCCCACCACCAGTCCTCCTCTCCCACTACCAGTCGTCCTCTCCACCTCCCACTCATTCTCTCCCACTCCCACTCCCACTCATTCTCTCTCATTCCCACCCGTTTTAATCTCTACCCTTGAATTACCCCCAAATTTACGCTTGGATCACCACACATTTATTGATAAAACCCCCCTTATTTCCACAAAAAACCACCCACATTTACACATGAATCAACTCACACCCACCTTCCCCTTCTTGTCCTCTTCTCCTTCCCCCCTCTTGTCCCTCTATGCTCACTCCTCCACAGGAGGCCTAGTGACACAGCAGCCCCTGCAGGCATGCTGGCAGTGTGAGGGGCGGGGCCACGAGCGTTGCCAGCGCTTTGAGACGTCTGCCACTGCTGGCAGCACTGGCAGCACTGGCAGCGCTGGTGGCAGCGCTTTGAGACGTCTTGAGACCTGAGACGAGTTTTGAGACGTCTCCAAATCTCAAAACTCTTCTTTTATCAGCCAGCGCAGCCAGCGCTGTGCTCCCCTCCCACAGCCAACCACTGGCTCCATCCGTCCCATTCCCACCACTCTCCCTTTCCCCTCTCACTCCGTCCTCACTCCTCCATAGGACGCCTATTGACGCAGCAACCTCTGGAAGCATGTGGGACGTGTTAGGGGCGGGGCCACGAGCGGTGCAAGCAGTGTGCTGCCCCTTTCCCGCTCCCCTCTCCTTCTCCCCACTCCCCTCTCCCCTCTCCTCACTCCTCCACAGGAGGCCTGGTGACACAGCAGCCACTGTAAGCATGTGGGACGTGTGAGGGGCGGGGCCATGAGCGGTGCCAGCAGTGTGCTGAGACTCTCCTGCTCCCGTCTCCCTTTTCCACTCCCATCGCCCTCCTCCCCCTCTCCCTTCTCCCCCTTCTCCATCTCCCCTCTCTTCTTCCACAGGAGGCCTAGTGACGCAGCAACCTCTGCAAGCATGTGGGACGTGTGATGGGCGGGGCCATGAGCGGTGCCAGCAGTGTGCTGCAACGGGGCTGTCAAACCACTGGCTCTACTCACCTGCCAAGGATGGAGGCTGGGGCCCCCGAGGGCACTAGTGTTTGGGTATTACGTACGGCTGTCTGAGCCAACCACTATAGCTCTAGTCTAATCCCTGCGAGCTCTGTGCTGCAACGGGGCTGTCAAACCACTGGCTCTACTCACCTGCCAAGGATGGGGGGTGGGGGCCCCGAGGGCAGTAGGAGAGCGGATTAGGGTTAGCCAACCGTCAGCCTGTTTCCATCTCCTCACGCTGCAACGGGGCTGTCAAACAACTGACTCTACTCGCCCGCCAAGGATGGGGGCTGGGAACCCAGAGGACACTAGGAGAGGTCCCGAGGGTTCTATGGTAGCTGATTAGGGTTGGACAATCACCAGCCTATGTCCATCTCCTCACGCTGCCATGGGCCTGGCCAATCATGGGCTCCACTTGCCTGCGAAGGAGGGTGGCTGGGGGGCACGAGGATACTAGCAGAGCTGATGAGAGCTGAGCTGATTAGAGTTACCCAATTGCGCTCTCGGTCTCCTCACAGAAATTCACCATGGTGCCCTTAAGAAATTCAACATAAATATTACAGTACTAGTTACTGCTATACGAGCAGGGTAGTACGATACGTAAGGGACAGATTGCTGCAAGATTGCTGCTGCTGGTAGTGCAGAAAGGAAACGTACATAGGTACCGTGAGGAGCTAACAAGAGGGAATTGTTGTGGCCTACTAGCTCCCTATATAAACCCCAACGCAGGCAGGGATGGTGAACTGTAGAGAAAGAAAGAATGGCTGGCATCACTGCACAGTCCCACAGTCACGGCAAATCCCATCCCTCCCAAGCTACCTACCTCAGCTGTATCTATGTCATACCTACCACAGCCGCACTGGCATTTCCCATTCACCAAGAACTCTCCTCCCCTCTCCACCCAACCCACGGATCGAAGGACCATAGCAGAGCAGCGAGGTTGCTTCTGAGTGAAACACAACAACCAAAGCCGAGCGGCGAACTGTTCCCATCCGAGCCTGTTCCCATCCGAGCCTGTTCCCATCCGAGCCTGTTCCCATCCGAGCCTGTTCCCTTCCGAGCCTGTTCCCATCCGAGCATGCACCCATCCGAGCATGCACCCACCCGAGCCTGCTCTGCTCCCAACCAAGCCTGCTCCCATCCGAGACTGCTCACATCCGAGACTGCTCACACGGCATCTCGCCACCTCCTGTACATCCCGTCACTCCCTCACCCCCTCCTTTCCCCTCCTTCCCTCTCTCCTTCCCCTCTCCCCCTCTCTTCCCTCCCTCCCTCCCTTCCTCCCTCCCTCCTCCCGCTCCCCTTCCCTCCCTCCCTATCTCCCTCCCTCCGTCTTTCCTTCCCATTTTCCCTATATCCCTCCCTACCTTCCTCTCTCCCTCACTCCCTCCCGCCATTCTCTTCACCTCCCTCTTACCATCCATCCCTCTCTCCCTCCTCCCTCCTCACTACTTCCCTCCACTGCAGCTCTTCCCTTAACCACTCCTCTCCACCACTCCTCTCCACCACTCCCCTCCACCACTCCTCTCCATCACTCCTCTCCACTGCTCCTCTCTACCAGAACCCCTACCTCTACTGCACACATACGGGGCCCTATTCTCATCCCTTCTACAGCTACGCTCCACCACCTTCCCCTCACTGCTTCCTCTCACCTCCCCCATTCACCTCACGTTTCACCTCGCATTTCCCCCCGCCTTTCCCCTCTCCCTTCCCCTTCTCCTTTCCCCTCCTCCCTTCCCTCCTCCCTCCCCCTCTCCCCTACTCCGGCAACATTCACCGCTTTCAAAAGTAGCACGCAAACAGCCGTCGCCAAAAGTTCTTCTGAGGCGCAGCCGCCACACTTTTAAGGCGCCTCAAAAACCTCCTCCTGTTCATTCTCTTCCTCCCTTCACTGCCCCCTTTAAACTCCTCCCTCCCCCTCCTCCGTTCCCCTCCTCCCTACCCCTCCGCCCTTCACCGCTTCCCAAAGAAACACCCAAACAGCCCCTTCTTCTGAGGCGCAACAGCCAAACTTCCAAAAGCCTCCTCCCGTCCCTCCCTTTCCTCCCTTCCCCTGCTTCCTTCCCCTCCTCCTACCCCTCCGCCATTCACCGCTTCCCAAAGAAAAACCCAAACAGCCCCTTCTTCTGAGGCGCAGCAGCAGCAACAACAGCCGCCGCACTTGTCAAACGCCTCAAAAGCCTCCTCCCTCCCTCCCTCACGTCACTCCCTACCCTCCGCCATTCACCGCTTCCCAAAGAAATACCCAAACAGCCCCTTCTTCTGAGGCGCAGCAGCCGCCGCCACACTTTTGCGGCGCCTCAAAAGCCTCTTCCCTTTTCCTCCTCCCTTCCCTTACCCCCCTTCCTCCCCCCCCCTCTCCCCATTCACCGCTTCCCAAAGAAATACCCAAACAGCCCCTTTTTCTGAGGCGCAGCATCCGCCGTCACACTTTTGCGGCGCCTCAAGAGCCTCCCCAGCCCCCCATTCACCGCTTGCCAAGGAAGTATCCAAACAGCCCCTTCTTCTGAGGCGCAGCAGCCGCCGCTGCACTTTTCAGGCGCCTCAAGAGCCTCCTACCTGAATATTACTTTTGAGAATTCTCAAAAGTAAAATCCCCCCATCCCTCCCGTTGCTCGCCATTCACCGCTTGCCAAAGAAATAACCAAACAGCGATTTCTTCTGAGGCGCAGCCGCCGCCGCTGCAGCCGCACCCTTCTTCTCATGCCCCTTACTCGCCCCCCCCCCACCACCACCACCACCAACCTTAGCACCACTACTACCACCCCCACCACCACCAGCAGGCGCAGCAGCATCCGCCTCCTTCTCCCCCTTAGTCTGCTCCGCATATTTCTTCAGCATGGGCAGCACAACCGTCTCTAAATCCGGCCGGTTCGTCCTGTCCCGACACTTGAGCGCCACGTCAGCAACCTCCTTCACAATCTCCGGGTTCCACTGAACCGTCTTGTCCAAATGATCCAAAATCCCCTCCAATCCAAACTTCGCAAATTCCAGCACCTTATTCACCTTTTCCCCCGTCAGCAGCTGCAGGATCACCAACCCTAATCCGTATAGATCCGACTGCGGCCCGTATTTCCCGGTGCGGAGCAGCAGCGGATCGATATACCCCACCGTTCCCCAGATCGACGAGTCGTTCGCGGGGAGGAATTTCGCCAGACCGACCCCGCCGACCTTACAGGAGAGATCCTCGTTCAGCATGACGTTGCCGGGTTTCACGTCCTGATGGAGGATCGGCGGCTCGAGATGGTGCAGGAACAGCAGCGCTTCGGACGCCTCCGCCGCGATTCGCAGCCGGTCTTTCTGCTTCATTGTTTTCCGTCCGCCCTCCGTCAACAGCCGGTCCTCGAGACTACCCGCCGGGAGGGACTCGTACACGATACAGCGTGCCTCGGGATTGTACCCGAGGAGCTTGACCAGATGCGGGTGGTCCGCGCGCGTTAAGTTGGTCACTTCGCGCGTGAATTTCTCCGCGGCTTGGCGGGTGTTATCGGGGTTGAGCTTCATTACAAGCACGGGGGAGCCGTCCGCGAGCTTTCCGCGGTAGCCCGTGCCGAAGCCGCCGCGACCGAGCGAGTTTTCGCGCGCGTAGTTATTCGTGGCCTCGTCGAGCTCCTCTGCTGAGAACGTCTTTAAACCGGTTTCGGTACCCATTGTGATGTTGTTGATATCGGAACCGCAACAATATCGGAGCTGCTGATATCGGAGCTGCTGATGTTGTTGCTGCTGGTACAGCTGATGATGCTGTGGTTAGTGCCTTGAAGAAACAAAAATATGTGCTGCAGTTGCTGTCGATACCTAGGGGTACAGGCTGTATTTCCGGAAATGACGCGGCCTATGTTACCTCGCAAACGTGACAACAGACTGGCACAAAAAGTCGCGAGTTTAGAATGCTGAGTCGGACCACTAAAAATGTTCCTGGACTGTAAAATAATCACTAGCAACAGGTATTAGCACCAACGTCTACCGTGGCCTTTCACAACCACGGTTGCTCTTCTAAAAAAAAGACGGGTCCTGATAAGGACAAACAAACTCGTAGAAAATCGCAACCGACAGTACGGAGTCAGGAAGGCTGTCGCGATGGTCGGAGAAACTAAGGACGGCCAGCCAACTATGGGACCTTGTCTCCTTTGTGTGGCAACTGGAGGTAAGTGAAACGAGGGCCTGCCCTCCTGTTGAGTTTGGCATTTCGCTTATCGCGTTAGTGACGTGACTCGACAAGTTATTAATACAAGTTATCGTGTATGAGTCAAAGCGTAACAACAGTAGCAGACCTACTCTCCCCAATGTTAATTTTAAGACAGCATACAGTCACAAGGTCTGCATTACAATAAAATATTACTGTGGAAATCTAATGAACAACGTATACAGTACCATGTACACTTTACAAGAGCTGGCCGCAGTCCTGAATTGTAACCTCCACCGACGTCTTGCCACTGTCGCTACCGACTGACTCCAGCTTGTCAACAACATCCATTCCTGTTGGTAACAGGATCCGAAAAAATGAGTGCTTTACATCTAAAACGGAAAAATGTGAAGAGAACAAACTTCTGCAGCTACCACTGCCAGCTCACTGCTCTTCAACAGCCACCCACCACCCTCACACAACTGTCCCCTCACTCACTTGTTCCCCCCACTTGCCTACCACCTCAGTCACTCCTCCTCCCCCCCCACTCCCCCCCCCCCCCCCTCCTCCTTCCCTCCCACCCTCTCTCACCCCTCCCCCTCTCCCTCCCCTTCATCCTCCCCCCTTCCCTAGCACTCACCTGAAACCACCTTTCCAAAGACGACATGCTTGCCATCTAGGTGAGGCGTAGCAGTGAAGCAGATGAAGAACTGACAGTCTGAGGAGGTAGCGAGGAGGAAACAGAGGAGGGAGGGAGTGGGGAAAGAAAAGAGAAAGGAAGGTGAGGTGGTAGCAACAACGCACAGCACAGCTACCCCTCTCAGTTGCGACCACCTTCCCAAAGACGACGTGCTTCCCATCTAGGTGAGGCGGTGCAGTGAAGCAGATGAAGAACTGACAGTCTGAGGGTTGGGGAGGAAGGGAGGGAGGGGGAGAAGAGAGGGTGGACAGAGCAGTAGCCCATGGAGTTGAGAAGCAGATGACGTGGGAGGGTGAAGCAAGCAGAAGGGGGGAGGGGGAAAAGAAGATCGACATAGCACTAACGCACGGACAGAGTGAAAAAGACGATGCACTGGCAATCTGAGGGGGGGGAGGAGGAGGAGGAGGAGGAGGAGGAGGATGAGGGGTGGGGAAAAGATGAACACCCACGGGTTCTGCGTGCCATTGCTGCATGGCGGAATCCCCTTTTTTTGAGGTGCCTAAATTTGGTCCCTGCGACACTCAGCTATCACATGTCTTCACACTCACTAATCGTGTTGGGGCCGCGATTCGCCATGGAAAGAACGCCTCTGCCGCTGTGCCTCAGCTCGAAGAATCCATCAGAAAAGAGTAAATCTCTCCCGGGAGGAGGGGGGAGGCTGGAGTGGAGAGCTGCAATTATACGCATACGGTTCCATTACTCACTGTTCGTGTTGGGGCCGCGATTCGCCATGGAAAGAACGCCTCTGCCGTTGTGCCTCAGCTCGAAGCTCTCGTCGGGGAACGGCTGCCCGAAGATGGAACTACCGCAGTTGCCGCCCTGCCATGCGAATAACGTGGCCGAGAAAGAAAGAGAGAAAGAAAAATAAAAGAGACATAGCAGATGGAGAAGTGGGACGAGGGTTTATTATCGACGGGCGCGGGAGGTTGTGAGGGGGAGTAGTGATAACTAGGGTGAGGCCACAAACGCGCATCAAGTACCAGAGCATTCGTGAAGAGCTCAAGAGAATGTACGGTGAGATGGTGAGAATAAATATTCACGCGGATGTGTAACGCAGTCTGCGTTTACCTGCGCAGTCGCCTACCTGCGATTCGACACCTACCTGCGGTTCGAGGCGTACCTGCGCCATAAATCCGGGGATGATGCGGTGCAGCATCAGGCCCTTATAGCCCATCCCCTTTGGAGCCTCAGAAGACGCATATTGCGGTTCGACACCTACCTGCGGCTCGACGCGTACCTGCGGTTCGACGCGTACCTGCGGTTCGACGTATATCTGCGGTTCGACGCGTACCTGCGCCATGAATCCGGGAATGATGCGGTGCAGCGTCAGGCCCTTATAGCCCAGCCCCGAGCTCGTCCCGTTGCACAAGCCGACAAAATTCTCCACCGTCTTCGGCGCGACGTCGGGCCGGAGCTCCACCTCGATTCTGCCGACAGGCTTCCCGTCGAACGCAATATCCAGGAAGCATCGCGGCCGCGCTGCGGAGCTCATCGTTGTAGATCGTTTGAAACCGAATACGACCGCTGGAAACCGTGTGAAACCGCTGCCGTTTGAAGTCTCGGCTCAGAACCCGGCGGCTTCGCTTCTGAAGGCTTCGAGCTTACCTCCGCGGTTGCCGACAGGACCGGCGGGTCTGAAATGGCGAAACCTTTCGCGAAAACCGGAAAACCGTACGCCGTCACGGACGAAAGCGAATCTGTGGAGGGCGAAACAGATTCTTCCGCAGAATGGAGAGAGCAGAAAGGAGCGACGAGCGGTACGGACGAGAGGCGGAGAGGAGGCGACGACTAGACTAGACCAGATCTTACGGAATCATAATGGCCGTACAAAGAAGAATGTCGCCTGCGGGAATTCTTTCTTGTCGCATTCGTTGAATGCCTCGCTTATGCCACTCCCCCGGCCGGATGCGAGGAAGCTCCTCTCGCTTCCCACAGATCTCAAGATTGGCGAATATTTTACGTTACATAGAAATTGTTACGTTACGGAACACGAGCAGAATTGAGGTAAACAAATTCATATCTCCATTATGACAACCTATGGTGCTCTTTATAGACACCAGCCTAGGAAAAAAACAGAAAGGAGGATATAGTTGCACCTCACATTTTACGTTCCCTTCCCCAAAATGATCCAACCCAAAGAGCACTTTCAGTGAGCTTCGTTCTGCCCTCCACCCCGAAGCATTCACAAATCTAAGCACAAGCGAGAGTGTTTTTGAGAATTCTCATAAACACCCAACACAATCCACAGAATACCACGAACGCATGGGAAATAGCAGTACCTGATGAAGTGAAACCCGCTTCGTGAAGCTCTTAAGCCTGCGAGTTTTCAGAGGCGTCTCAGAAGTTGCCCGAGATCGTGCCATCACCCTGTTACGGTTACGGTTACCTGCCAATTGTTCTTACTACAATAGTCGCAACCTGTTAACCAAGCACATATGAAGACGTTCCTGGGTCATCCTTCCTCCAAGTAACCTCAGAGTAGCCTGCCCTTTTATGCACTCCTGGTGCAGTCACAGCTATTGCTGCTGCTGCTGCTGCTGCTGCTGCTGCTGCTGCTGCTGCTGCTGCTGCTGCTGCTGCTGCTGCTGCTGCTGCTGCTGCTGCTGCTGCTGCTGCTGCTGCTGCTGCTGCTGCTGCTGCTGCTGCTGCTGCTGCTGTTGCAACTGATGCTACTGTTGCTCCCAGCCCCCCCTTGTTCCTGCTGCGCCTGCAATCGCAGCAGCGGCTGATGCTGCTGCTGCTGCTGCTGCTGCAGCTAATGCTGCTGCCACCACCCCTGACCAACTCACAAGCTGCATCGGACTAACCACACAAGCAACCTCCTCACAGGCACAAGCCAACACTCGGCTTAACCAGCAGCAGCCTGCACAGGGTCTAGACCCATTACACTTACACAACAACTAGACGACCTGGTTAGCAGTAACCTCTCCGCTGCTGTTACGCTGGAAGCAGATTCGATGGAAAAATCTCCCTGCCTGCACCTCCCTCCCACCCCTCCTCACCCAGCTTCCTCCCACCCCTCACGATGCCTCCACTGACATGCCCAGTCTAAGGTCCCGACCGACCCTGTATGGACACCTGCCCCCACGCCCACCCCCAGAGTCCACAGCAGAGTGGAAAGTGCCCATCCCTCCCCAGCCCCTTATCCTCCCACCCCTCACGACGCTTCCACCGACATGCCCATTCTCATGTCCCGACCCTGCACCCCATTGCCACCCGCACCGCTGCCGTCCCCATACAGGGGCGAGCGAGCAGCAGCCTCCTCTTCAAGCCGTCTCCACGCGTGCTCCCTGCTCGCCTGCACGTCCCCCCCCCTCGCCTCCTCCATCCTCCCAGCCTCCCATCCTCCTCCCCACCCTGCTTACTCCCACTCACGACGCTTCCACCGACATGCCCATTCTCATGTCTCGACCCTGCACCCCATTGCCACCCGCACCGCTGCCGTCCCCATACAGGGGCGAGCGAGCAGCAGCCTCCTCTTCAAGCCGTCTCCACGCGTGCTCCCTGCTCGCCTGCACGTCCCTCTCCCGCGCCTCCTCCTCCAGAAACTGCCTCTGGCAGTCCTCGTAGAGAGCTTGATCCATCTCCAGAAACATCTTGCGCACGTTGATGGTTAGCCCGTTCACCGCCTGGGAGTGGGAGGGATGGGAGAGAGAGAGAGAGAGAGAGAGAGAGAGAGAGAGAGAGAGAGAGAGAGAGAGAGAGAGAGAGAGAGAGAGAGAGAGAGTTATGGGTGCTCCCTGCTTGCTGTGCTGTGCTCCCTGCTTGCTGTGCTGTGCTCCCTGCTTGCGTGCACGTCCCTCTCCCGCGCCTCCTCCAGAAATTGCCTCTGGCAGTCCTCGTAGAGCGCTTGGTCCATCTCGAGGAACATCTTGCGCACATTGATGGTCAGCCCGTTCACAGCCGGCGGATGGGGGAACAGTTGGGACAGAGAGGAAGGAGAGGGAGGCAGCACAGTGAGCAAGCATTGGGAAAGAGTGAAACTGCCTCTGGCAGTCCTCTCCTCGTAGAGCGCCTGGTCCATCTCCAGAAACATCTTGCGCACATTAATGGTTAAACCATTCACCGCCTGGCGGGTATGGGGGGAAAGAGAGTGAGAGGAGGGGCAGGAAGGGAGGGAGAGCAGCATTGGGTGCCTTGGAAAGGGGTAAACAGCAGCCTCTGGCAGTCCTCGTAGAGCGCTTGATCCATCTCCAAAAACATCTTGCACACATTGATGGTTAAACCATTCACCGCCTGGATAACGGGGGCATGGAGGGAGGGAGAGCAGTGAGCAGCACAGGGAAAGAAAGGAAACTGCCTCTGGCGGTGCTCGTAAAGCGCCTGGTTCATCTCCAGGAACATCTTTCTCACGTTGATCGTCAACCCGTTCACAGCCTGGGTGGAGGGGGGACGAGGGAGGGGAGCAGTGAGCAGCATAGCATGCGTCGGCCACGGGAGAAGCTGCCTCTGGCGCTCCTCGTAAAGCGCCAGGTCCATCTACAGGAACAACTTTCTCACGTTGATGGCCTGTTTTTGAGTCGACTCAAAAACAGGCTCCTCGTAAAGCGCCTGGTCCATCTCCAGGAACATCTTTCTCACGTTGATGGTCAGCCCGTACACCGCCTGGCGGATGGGGGAACCGTCAGGACAGGGAGGAAGGAGAGAGGGGCAGCACAGTTAGCACGCATTGGGAAAGAGTGAAACTGCCTCTGGCAGGCAGTCCTCGTAGAGCGCCTGGTCCATCTCCAGGAACATCTTTCTCACGTTGATGGTTAGCCCGTTAACTGCCTGGGAGTGGGACGGATAGGAGAGAAGGAGAAATTTATGAGTGCTCCCTGCTGGCCTGCACGTCCCTCTCCTCCCTTGCCAAAGATCAGCGGCAGCACAGCAGCTCGGTCTGCCTGCTCCCCTCTCCTCACCTCACACTCTCCTCATCCTCTCCCTCCCTCCCCCCTTCTCCCCCCCTCACCTGGTTCCAGTGGCTCCTCGCATTCCTCTCGAGAGCGCCAAAGATCAGCGGCAGCACAGCGGCTCGGTTCTGAGCCACGAGGCTCACGATGTAGTCGTTGTTCCACAGGAAGAGCGTGCGCTCCGCCACCTGGGGGAGGGGGGGGGGCGGGAAGGGGGAAGAGGAGTGTGCGGGTGGGGAGAGGGGAGAAGATGCGTGTGCGTGTGATGAGTTGAGGCAGCACGGCAGCGCGGTTCTGCTGCGCTACGAGGCTGACGATGTAGTCGTCGTTCCACAGGAACAGGGTGCGCTCCGCCACCTGGTATGCAGGGGAAGGGGATGGGGGAGAGGGCGACGGGATGGAGGCATGTATGTGTATGCGCATAAGAGTCAGTGCAGTTCTGTGCCACGAGGCTGACGATGTAGTCGTTGCTCCACAGGAAGAGCGTGCGCTCAGCCACCTGGGGGTGTGTTTGTGCGGGGGGGGGGGGCGGGCATGAGTGTGTGGGGTTACGCAGAGGCTTGGTGAGCAGCTCGGTTCTGCACCACGAGGCTGACGATGTAGTCGTTGCTCCACAGGAAGAGCGTGCGCTCAGCCACCTGGGGGAGTATTTGTGCGGGGGGAAGGGGTCGGGCATGAGTGTGTGGGGTTACGCAGAGGCTTGGTGAGCAGCTCGGTTCTGCACCACGAGGCTGACGATGTAGTCGTTGCTCCACAGGAACAGGGTCCTCTCCACCACCTGGTAGGCAGGGAAGGGAGGGTGTCTCAAGGGGCGTGTGCAGGGTTGGGGTGGGGAGAAGAGATGGGGAAAAGGGTTGTGTTCTGCTGCGCCACGAGACTCACGATGTAGTCGTTGTTCCACAGGAACAGGGTGCGCTCCGCCACCTGATAGGTAGGGGAGAGGTGAATAGGGTTGGGGAGGGGGGTGCAGGGACGTATCAACTATATATGCAGCATGGCGGATCGGTTGTGAGCCATGAGGCTCATGATGCGGTCGTTGTTCCACAGGAACAGGGTGACATGCCCACTTATGTGTGCCATGCCATGCCCTATGTGCGCCATGCCATGTGTGCGCCATGCCATGTGTGCGCCATGCCATGTGTGCGCCATGCGATGCCCCATGAGCGCCATGCGATGCCCCATGAGCGTGATGTGAGCTGATGAAAATCGAGGGCTCGTTGCACCACCCTCACAAGCGTCACAGCCTGACAGCCATCAGACGGCCACCTGACAAAACTTGGAAAATACCTGACGACCTCAAGCCACCATGTGACAACCACTTCAATGTGTGGAACCAGAGATGACTTTCCAGGCGCATCAAAAGTCGCCTCTTATCCCGCAACTTTTTGTGACAACCACTCTAGTGTGTGGAACCAGAGCTCTTTCCAATCAACTCTCAGAACCTCCAGCGATTGTTTCCTCCCTCCTTGCACCTCGTCAATTCGCATGCAAGTGCGAGCTATCAAGGCGGCACGCGATTGGGAGGAAGAGCGCGAGCAAGATAGACGTGCCTTCCTCCCCCTTTCCTCCCTCTCCCATCTACTTACACAACCCCCCCCTTCCCCCCCTCCCCCCCTTCACACACGCACACCTCGTTTTCTCTTCTCGTGGCTCAACAGAAAGAGCAAGTCGCTACACTACCGCGTGAACATTCCCCCACCCCTCCCCCCTTCCGTCCTCTCCTTTTTCCTCCCTTCCCCCCCGCCTCCTCCTTCACCCTTTCCTCATCCCCTTTTTACAAGCACCTGGTTTCCCCTTCTTTGCTCTTGCTTTCTCGCCTGGAAGTCCGAACAGTAGAGCCGCCCTCTTACACCCCGCTCCCCTCTCTGGGTGTGCTCACCTGAAAATGCGAGACTTTTCCCGCACCCTCACCCCTTTTCCTTCCCCCTTTCACCTCTTTTTCCTCCACATGTTTTATATCGTCTGGAAGTTCTTGATAAGGATTCTCAATAACCACCTGAGCAACCACCTGGAAGTGATTCTTGAGGCACCAAAAAAAAAAATCACCTGAGCAACCACCTGGAAGTGCACGAAGCAGAGGTGAACCTCCCCTTCACACCCCGCCGTCCCTTCCAGTATAGGCAGCGCGCGATCGATCAGGAAGAACAGTGCGAGTTGCATTTCACTTCTTTTGTCCTCGCCACCCCCCTCACCCCCCTTCTTCCCCACAGTCATACCTCGTTTCGTTGGCGATTCTCTTTTCTCACTAGGAAGTGCGCGTTTCACAGGCCCACTCCCTTCCCCCTTTCTCCCCCCCCTTCACCTCTCCCCCGCCTCCCATCACCCCGTCGCTCTCCTCACCGGGAAGTTCGAGCGGCTGAGGCAGCGCACGATGCGGAGCAGTTTTTGAGTCAACTCAAAAACAAGCAGTTGAGGTGGCAGGTTTTTTTTTTTTTTTTTTAGAATTCTAAACAAATCCGCGCGCGATGCGGAGGAGCAGTGGGAGTCGCATTGTTTTCTTCCCGTCTCCTCCCCTTCCCCCCCACTCCCCCCCTCTCCTCCCCCCCCCTCTTCCCCTCCAACCCTTCCCCACAGACACACCTTGCTTTGTTGCCTCCCCTCGCGGCTCACCTGGAAGTGCGAGCTGTTGAGGCAGCGCGCGATGCGGAGGAAGAGCGGCGCGACGACCTGCTGGAACTCCGCGCCCTGCGTTGATATGCGCTCTGCCCAGAATGTCCTCCAACTCGCCCAGAAGAGAGTGACTGTAGGCTTGACTCCAAACCCACCTCGCTTTTGCTGCTATTTTCTCACCTGGAAGTGCGACTTTCCTTGGCCCATTCCCTTCCCCGCTTTCATTCCCCCCCCCCCTCTACCCCCATCACCCCCGCCTTCGGCTCACCTCGAAGTGCGAGCTATTCAAGCAGCGCGCGATGCGGAGGAGCAGTGCGAGATGCACCTTTCTCGTCCCTCCTTTCCCGACAAAAACACACACACCTCCTTTCATTTGCATTTCTCTGCTCTGACCTGGAAGTGCGAGCTATTCAAGCAGCGCGCGATGCGGAGGAAGAGCGGCGCGACGACCTGCTGGAACTCCGCGCCCTGCGTGAGCTCCAGAATCTCCTCCAGCTCCCCGAGAAACAACACCTCCTTCTGGCTGTTAGTTAAGGGCCAGTACTTAAGCAGCCCGCGCAGCACCACGTCCGCGAGAGACGGGTCTTTCTCGACAAACTGCGTGATGCAGTACGACAGCTGCTGGTGGTAAATCGACACGCACTTAGGCTTGTGCAGCGGGATTAACGCGCGGACCAGGAACAGCTTGTGCTCCTCTTTAAGAGGCAGCGCGAATCCGTTGATAATGCTACCGAGGATCTCTAACAGCTCCGCGATTCCGTTGTGCCGCTCCGTCTCGTAGATAAAACGGTAGAAGATGTAGTTAATCGACTTGCGGATGAACGGCCGGTGGACCATGAACTTGCCGTATATCCGGTGCAGAATGGTCTTTAAATAGTCGCGCTCGCGCGGATCCTCGGAGTTGAACAAATCTAGCAGCTTCAGCACGAATGGCTGGTCCAGGTACCGTTTCGCCACCTTAGCATCCGTCTCGTTACTAACTACGAAGCGCAGCAGAAACTCGTACACGATCTGCAAATGCGGCCACGCGAGCTCCATATTTGGCTCCTCCTCCTCCGGATCGAACCCCTCCGACCCCGTGTTCTCGTGCGCGGACGGGGGGAGCGCGCGGAACAGATTCGCGCGGAGCATCCGCACGATGTCTTCGAAAACCACCTCGCTAAACTTCCCCGTGCCGGAGTTAACGTACTCCACTAGTTCTAGGAGCGTCTGCCGCTTAATCTCCTTCTCCTTCATGTTCTTAAGCGGGTCCGCGAAGTCGAACGTGTGGCAGCAGAGCGCGAGCTTGCGGATGAAGAGCGCCTGCTTTTCCGGAGCCGCCACGTCCCGGAAAAGCGGGAGCGGCTCGGCGAACGGCGACACGTTCGGATTCGCTACAACAGGACTCGCTACGGCGTCGGACTTGTCCTTGTTGAAGCTGCTCGTTCGGACCGCCGCGCCAGCGGCAGGCGCGGCGCCTTTTGCGGCATTGGCCCCCGGAGCCTTTCCTCCTGAAGCGCTCCGGGACGCTGGTCCCCCAGCGGGCCCGGCGGGGGGCGGCGCGTGCCCGTGGTGCTGGGCGGCACCTGCGGCGCTATCGTGGTGCTCGGCTTTACTTCCTGCTTTTTTCCGACCCCCCGCGAACGTTTTCTTAACGGATTGCAGCATTGCTATGTGATTCTAAGGGGGATGGGGCCAAGGGGGGTAGGGGAGGGGGAATGGGTTGTGCTAGCGAAGTTCCCGTTGCTTCACATCTACTACGTTTGGACTAACGAGCGTAGGAGAGTGAGTCGGAAAAGACGGGCGTGACTAAAGCCGGCGACAGCGCATAACCCTAAGAATGAAAGCGTACTTCAGTGTATTGAATCAGTGAAGGGGAACCCTAAAATCCTTCGCGGCCTGACAGGAGGTTGTGACGACAAACTAACGGAAATGACGGTAAGAGCTGGCAAAATGGCGCGACACAAAGCGGGCTAGGTCGCAACCCTAAGAATGCGACCCAACGCGGGTTCGCAATGACTCCGTGACTACCTACGGCTACTGTCGTATATTCCGTACTTAAGTATGTATGGAGTGACCGCTTAGGTCACTACGCCGCAGTCGAAGACCAACTAACTAGGTAAGGCGACGCCAAAATAAATACTGAAAATCGAACGGCGGAGATGAGGGTCTGTGAGGGGTGGAGGTGGATAGGGGGAGCGGGGGAACCGAGTAGGGCAGATAGATGGGCGGGAAAGTACCCCCACCCTGGGGAATGCCGCGAAGATGCGCGCCCATTGCAGGAGTGCGCGGACTTCGGGACTGGACTAGGAGTTTGGCGCGGCGGAATCGCGTGCAAATCGAGGGCAGACAGGTTTGCGCAGGTGGAGGGAAGGATGGATGCGGGGAACGGGGGAGGGGTTGGTGGGGGGAGGAATGGTGGAGAAGGGTTCAGCGTGGTGAGAAACTCGGGGCGAAATCGCGCGCATCGGCGGAAATCGTGTTTGTCTCAAAAGAATCGACCCAAATTGCTCCCCGCTCGCCACGTGGGCGTTTTTCTCAATTGATTCGACCCCCTTTCCCCCCCCCCCCCCCCCCCCCCACCCCGTTTCCCCGCCCCCCACCCCGTTTTTCCCGCCATTGCCCTCCGAAATTCGGGCACCCGCTAGAATTTCGTGAATTCACAAAAAGTCACGAATACATCCTTTTTCGTAACGCTAAGATTTCAACATGCGAGCGACATCTGATTGGACAGAACACCTATGACTTCTAATGATAAATTTAGCAGTAATATGGATTATATTAATCATGTGCCACCGCAGTAACCTATTTTTTTTTAATCTCTGTAATACGAGTAAATAGTTTTTTTCTAAAAAAAATCTAGAAATACAATCACACAAAATATCTACATATTTCAAAAGAGATTTATGTATATCTACCGTGGAGTTATTTTTACTATAAATCTATAAAATTTTACTCTTATTTTTGTAAGTTTTCTGGAAAAGATTCATGTAGATATATAGAAACATAAAAATCTATAGGTTGATTTGTCATGTGTTTTTTTTGCGCCCCTATCTACATCACTGGGCTAATCCAAAAAATTACGATACAATCAACGTGCATATGAGCCTCCTGAGATTGAGAAGCAACCGCCGAAATTATCGATTGCGAAAGCTGACGTGGCATGCCACAACTACATGGTGGATTTGGCATGATGTAAAAATCATGTATTCGTGACTTTTTGTGATTTCACGAAATTCCAGCGGGTGCCCGAATTTCGGAGGGCAAGGGCGGGAAAAACGGGGTGGGGGGGCGGGGGGAAAGGGGGTCGAATCAATTGAGAAAAACGCCCACGTGGCGAGCGGGGAGCAATTTGGGTCGATTCTTTTGAGACAAACACGATTTCCGCCGATGCGCGGGTGTTCTCGTGCGGGGCTCCCCCGCATAGTTTTGGCTGTTTGCGCTGCGCGTATGCGCACGATGTTGCTGGGATGATAAGGGGGAGGCGGAGCGACACACGCGGTCTGTTTGCCATACAGTTGGTGAGGGGTAATTCGTTAAAGAATGTATTTGTACATGCATAGTGAGGCCTATTGATGTCAGCGTAACTTGAAACGTATGGTAGCAAGAAAGAAGGAAACACAAGCTTTCGAAGGTGAAACTGTTACAGGCCGCATTCCTGAAATACTTCGTTCGACTTCGTTCGCCCTCGCCGAACTTCTAGTACCTGTTTCATCTTCTTTCTTGATGTTTAAAAACCGAAACGCACCAAGCAAAACCGTGGTACGTGGATTGAAGGTGAGTTTCACCATGTGGCACCCCCTCCAAAAATGTTTAGCATTGTGACGTACTCGTTCAGTAAGGTATTATACGATTCGCAGCGTTTCTAAACGTTTTGGTTGTGTGACGAACAGATCCGTTCATGAACCTCCAAGGTGGCATCACAGGGCACAAAGCAAGGAACCGTACTGAAACGCTCAGAATATTACTCTAACCGCTTTCTGAGTTTGTCAAAGCTTTCATGCAGGGAGGTCCTGAAAGCTAGTTTGCTGTTCATCCATCAAACGCCAGGCTGGTTAGCAGCGGTTCAAAGTGGTGAAAGGCGTTACACCGCTCTGGATTGTACATTATCGTTGCCAACCGACTGTGCTGAACAGAAAGTGAAAACTTCAGGGACCAGTCCTTCATATGCCTGAACCATGGGGTTGACTAAATGTGGGGAGCAAGTCTAGTTGACTTAGTTGCTGCACCGTTCAGTCAACGAGTAGAGCAGCAACCGCGGTCCTCGGAGCTCGTTCGTATTCGTGCCTTCTAGAGACATTCTCTCTTTCTCACTCTTGTCGTCCTCCCGCCCCGTCGGCGGAGTCCCAAGAATTTGATTCGACCACGTTGCCAATTTATGCGTAAGGAGGTGGCTTCTGAGGCGACTGAATATTGACCACGTTCACATTTTCAGACTCTCTTTCTGAAACGCGTCAAACGCGATGGATCATGTATGAAAGTGAACTCGTTGTCATCTGAAGCCCTATCGGCCAGCAACACGGCATCATGACGCCTTCTTTTGAGTCCGCGCAACGGCTACCACGCGCATTGTTACTGGCGATCGAGTCGGCGCAAAGGTTACGCGTGCTGTTACCGCGTAACTTTCACCGTGAGATCTCCTCGTTGTTCGACGCGAAGCGCGCTCCGCGGCTCTCGGGAGTGTTTTTGATCGCACTCGTTTCCCTAGTCTCCTTAATCTCGTTCTCCCTCTGGCAATCCAAGTGCTGCCGCTGCCTACACGGCAGCGCGGAGCAAAACCGCAGGAGAGGAACCAGATTCAGCGGCAACAGCGGCGGCGGGAGCAGCAGCAGCGACGGCGGCAGGGTTGGGACCGATGGCTCAGGAGACATATTCATCAGTAGCAACGTCGCGTCGGGTCGCGCGCTGCGTAATTCCACCGCCGACGACGATCGACGGCCGTTCATCTACGTGTACGATCTGGGCCCGGCTTATACGGACAAGATTCTCCAATTAGAACCCGCGTGGTACTCGCAACAGTACGATGTCGAGAAGCACATGACGGAGCTGCTTATAGCGAGTAACGCGGTGCGCACCATGGATCCGTACGAGGCGTCGCTCTTCTTCGTGCCGTTCTTCTCGGCGCGATTCACGCTGTACCACTTTAAAGACTGGGAGAACAACATGCGTAGCGCCGTGGAAGAGGCATCCAAGGTGAGGGAGTGAGGGGGAAGGGGGAAGCGCGTTTGGGGGAAGCGCATTTGGGGGACAGCGCATTCGGGGGAAGAGGGGAGTGGCCGGGGGTAAAATGGAGGACTGTGGGGAGCTGGGGACGGGCGCTACTCACGCTGTGCCGTTTCAAGGACTGGGAGAACACCATGCGCAGCGCCGTAGAAGAGGCATCCAAGGTGAGCGCGTGGGGCCGAGGAGTGCGAGGAGGGCGAGGGGAGCGGGGGTAAGGGGAAAAGACGAGGGGGAATGAGGGGGAGCGAGGGGGAAGCGGAAGGGGGTGGAGGGAGGAAATGGGAACGAAAGAGAGGGGCAGGAACAATGCAGGAGGGGAGCAAAAGGGGGGAATAGTGGAGTGGCGAGAGTGAAGGCATGATCTCCTGTGTTGGATGAGCGCGATCTGTACCGTTTCAAGGACTGGGAGAGCAGCATGCGCAGCGCTGTGGAACGGGCATGATGCCCATGATGCCCAGCGCTGTGGAAACGAGGCGCATGGGCATCATGGGCATCCAAGGTGAGCGTTCTAATGCATTTTGAGGCGCCTCAAAATGCATGGGCATCATGGGCATCCAAGGTGAGCGTTCTAATGCATTTTGAGGCGCCTCAAAATGCATGGGCATCATGGGCATCCAAGGTGAGCGTTCTAATGCATTTTGAGGCGCCTCAAAATGCATGGGCATCATGGGCATCCAAGGTGAGCGTTCTAATGCATTTTGAGGCGCCTCAAAATGCATGGGCATCATGGGCATCCAAGGTGAGCGTTCTAATGCATTTTGAGGCGCCTCAAAATGCATGGGCATCATGGGCATCCAAGGTGAGCGTTCTAATGCATTTTGAGGCGCCTCAAAATGCATGGGCATCATGGGCATCCAAGGTGAGCGTTCTAATGCATTTTGAGGCGCCTCAAAATGCATGGGCATCATGGGCATCCAAGGTGAGCGTTCTAATGCATTTTGAGGCGCGGCATCATGGGCATCCAAGGTGAGCGTTCTAATGCATTTTGAGGCGCCTCAAAATGCATGGGCATCATGGGCATCCAAGGTGAGCGTTCTAATGCATTTTGAGGCGCCTCAAAATGCATGGGCATCATGGGCATCCAAGGCGAGCGTTCTAAGGAAACGAGGGGTAAAGCAGCGGAGGCGCGGGCACAGCGGGGGAAGGGGGGGGGGAGGGGGGAGAGGAGGGTAAAGCAGGGGGTCGGGCGAACGGGGAGAACGCAGGTCCGCAATGCGTGCGACTCATGCTGTGCCATTTCAAGGACTGGGAGAACAACATGCGGGTCGCTGTAGAGGAGGCATCCAAAGTGAGCAAGTGAGGGGGAGGTGGGGCAGGTGTGGTGGGACGAGGGGAATAGGGGGGGAGCGGGAGGGGGACTGGGCGCAGGGGGGGGAATGAAGGAGGTGGGAAAGTGGAAAAAAAGGGAAAGGGAGGAGGGAGGAGAAGGGAGGTATATCGGGATGCGCGGTGAAATTAGCCACTCTATGCAATCTCTGAGGTGCATTCTGGAATTCCTAAGGGCCAGCCTTTTAAAACTCTTAAATCCTTCGACATTCATACCTCCACCCTTGAAACCCTCAACTCTGGTGAGTGCACTGGCAAACCCTACCTTTTCTTATAACCCAAACCTCAACCCTTGAGCCCTGGCGAAACCTTGGTGTCTCTGCAGGTGTGGACGGAAATCCTCTTAACTGTGCGGCGAAACTACCCCTTCTTCAACCGCACCAACGGTCGAGATCACTTCAGCATCCTCACGCTCGATCACGGCCGTTGCCACTCGCTCACGTTCGTGGACCCGGGCCTCGTGGGCGAGATGTTTTTTGTGACTTATAACGGGGACAAACTCGTTAGAAGTGTGCACGCGAGCAAGGAACGCAACATGCAGGTGAGCATGTTGGGGGTGTTGTGCAGGTGAGAGTAATATGCAGGTGAGAGTAATAAGCAGGTGAGAGTAATATGCAGGTGAGAGTAATATGCAGGTGAGAGTAATATGCAGGTGAGAGTAATATGCAGGTGGGCGAGATGTTCTTTGTGACTTATTACGGGGATAAACTCGTTAGGAGTGTGCACGCGAGCAAGGAGCGCAACATGCAGGTGAGAGCAGTGGAGTGGAGACAGTCTTCTCTTCACCCCACCCCACCCCATCCCACCCCACCACACCCCACCCCACCATATTGCACCAACCCCCGCTTCCTTTCCCCATTACCTACCCCCTCCGCATAATTTACAAGAACATTCTGTGGTGATGATAAGGGGAGGGAGAGTTAAGGATTTGCCAGTTCACCAAACGCTTCCCGCGTCTCTTGCCACATGTTGCGGGAAAGGGGCCTTCCCTTCCTCCCCTCCCTACCCCCTCCGCTTCTTCCCCTCCCTACCCCCTCCGCTTCCTCCCCTCCCTACCCCCTCCGCTTCCTCCCCTCCCTACCCCCTCTGCTTCCTCCCCTCCCTACCCCCTTCGCTTCCTCCCCTCCCTACCCCCTCTGCTTCCTCCCCTCCCGACCCCCTCCCGAGCCTTTCATTCCTTCTGATCCCTCCCAACCCCTCTCCATGTAACATTGTCGTGCCTGTGCTCGTCCCTCCCTCCCCTCCCCCCCACTTGTTTCCCCACCAGGCCATCATGTAAAACTACAAGATCCCACTTGACTCTTCTCTCCCCGACATCCCATGCTACCTGCTCCCCCTGCCGTCCTCCTTCCCCTCCCTTTCTTCCCACCAGGCCATAACATACAACTACAAGATGCCAGTTGATCTCTCTCTCCAGACGTCCCCTGCTACTTGCCCGATCGAGACATTGTTGTGCCCGTGCTCTCTTGCGTCCTCTTTCCCCCAACCTATTCCCACCCTCCTCCCAGGCCATCACCTACAACTACAAGATCCCTGTCGACCCCTCTCTCCCGGACATCCCCTGCTACCTGCCCGATCGAGACATTGTCGTGCCCGTGCTCGTCTCCAAGGGGCTGCCTCTGGTGAAGCCGTGGGAGGGCGAGAGGGATCGCACTGTGCTGTTCCGGTTTGGAGCAGGGCAGCACCATGGGGTGCCGATATGGCACCACGGGCACCAGATTAGGAAGGAGCTATTGGAGGTGAGGTGGGGTTGAGATGGGTTGAGCAAAGTTTTGATGTGAGGTGGGTCCCTCATCCGTCCTGGTTTCCCAGTGGGAGGGCGAGAGGGATCGCACTGTGCTGTTCCGGTTTGGCGCAGGGCAGCACCATGGCGTGCCGATATGGCATCACGGGCACCAGATACGCAAGGAGCTATTGGAGGTGAGATGCGGTTGAATTGCACATGGGATGGGTTGGAGGTGCGGTGGGCTCTTACACTTATGGATCGCCCCATGGGAGAGCAAGAGAGACAGCACTGTGCTTTTCCGGTTTGGAGCAGGGCAGCACCATGGGGTGCCGATATGGCACCACGGGCACCAGATACGGAAAGAGCTATTGGAGGTGAGCTGGCTTGACTTGAGATACGGGTGCGTTGGTGGTAAGGTGGATCACTTCTGTTCTGGATTGTGCATGGGAGGGCGAGAGGGACCGCGCTGTGCTGTTCCGGTTTGGCGCAGGGCAGCACCATGGGAGTGCTAATATGGCATCACGGGCACTAGATTAGCAAGGAGTTGCTGGAGGTGAGATGGGTTGACTTGACACACATGCAGGGTACGAGAGATGGGACTTTACAGAGAAGGGCATATTTTAGAGTTCTCAAAAACACCGTGAGATGGGTTGACTCGACACACATGTCGGGTACGAGGGGTGGGAATTTACAGAGAAGGGCAAGGCAGGGACGGATCCTGACTGGCAGCACTGTCACACCCAGCTTCCCTGCTGGCTTAGGCTTGCGTCTCCTCCATCACTCCTCTTTCCACTCCTGCACCTCCCCTGCCTCCCTTCTCCTCTCTCCATCTTGCTCAGCTGTACACGCATGCAGGGTACGAGGGGTGGGACTTTGCGGAGAAGGGAGAGGCGGATACTGATCCTGATTGGCACGAGGCCAGCTTACCTGCTTTCTGAGGCTTGTTGTCTCATTTCTCTTCCTCTCTGCATTCTCCTTCTCCTCAACTCCTCGCCCCCCCTCGTCCTCACCATTCCACAGCTGTACACACATGCAGGGTACGAGGGGTGGGACTTTGCAGAGAAGGGCGAGGCGGACACGGATCCTGATTGGCGGAGAGCTGTCTTCTGCATCTGCCCGCCGGGCCACTCCCAGTGGACCAGCCGCCCCTTCAAGGTACGAGGCTGTGATGGTCAATCGAGTCAAACTAGTAGGCTCCGGGCCACTCCCAGTGGACCAACCGCCCCTTCAAGGTGCGTTGAGTGGACTCAAAACTCGTCTCATTCCAGGAAGACTGTCTTCTGCATCTGCCCGCCGGGACACTCCCAGTGGACCAGCTGCCCCTTCAAGGTGGGAATGGCTACAGTGGTAAATCGCTATTGTGGTACACTGCGTCTCGGTAGTTACAACTTTTTCTCTTATCTCTTGCACTCAGTTCTCACTGGTAAGGAAAAAACTCTGGTTGGCTGATTTGTCATCGTCTTAGCTTTGTTTTTCTATCCTTTCTTTTCTTTTCTTTTTCCTTTTTCGTTTATTTGTATTCAGGCATTGATTTCTGGGTGTATCCCGGTGACATTTTTCCGTGAGCACGACAACCCGTGGCAGGACGAACTAGAATACTCCTCCTTCTCCATCAACATCGATCCGGACAACGTCTGGCAGCTCAAGGAGCGCATCGATGCAGTCAGGAACCAGCCGGAGCTGCTCCAGAGGATGCAGAAGAACGTCGTTCGGGTGCAGGTGGGTGTGTGGGGTTGTTATCTGGGATGCAGGGTAAAGGTGTGTGTTGGGATGTGTGGTGGGCGCTGTGAGGAACCAGCCGGAGCTTCTTCAGAGGATGCAGAAGAACGTCGTCCGGGTGCAGGTGGGTTTTAAGTTTGTCGTGGGTTAACTTCGTGTGTTTTTGCGGCAATTGCGGTCTTGTGATGCGAGCAGCGTCAAAGGATGTAAGCATGAGTTTGTGTAGTGCTTTATGGGGGTTTATAGCAGAAATGAAATGCATCATTATATATTTCTGTTCTTTGAAATGTCCCCCACATGCAGGAATTGTTTCGGTGGACAGAGGCTCTTGATAGGTCCGCAGAGTCCATGCTTATCCGCCGGTTACAAAAACGAGCAGCTGAACTTCGCCCGTTTCAATTGCAAATGGCTAGAGAAAGAGGAATAGATGAGAAGCTTCGTATGACTGGTCTCTAGCACAACAGCATTTCTATTCATCAGCAGTATAGAAGGATTGTATTCTATTCGTGTCCTGATGATTATTCCAATTGTTTTTTTAAGGTAGCTCAATTACTAGCAAAGAATTAAAATTACGAGCCAGACGAAATTGCGGATATATGAGAAGGCGGACGAATTGTTTGGGTGAACATCAGGTGCTGTTGGTTGGTGTTTGTCCAGCATGGCGTGGCCGTGGCGTGAATTTCAAGGGGTTTTAGTTACTGCGGAAGGGATACTTCCGAACCTGCGCTTTCTAGGGAGCTTCATTTCTACCTGCACAGGGTTTCCCAGGTTTTGACGCCCATGCAGAAGACTTATTGGGATCAGGGCCTAAGTTATCAGGGCAATTACCCTGTTTTGACTGAAATTATAGGGTGTTTTTTCAAGGAGCCCTGATTTTCACAAGGTTTTTTCCGGACCAGCCCGTAAAACTGAAGGGTGATTATTGAGTCAGCTCGGATCTCTCCGGGGAGTTCTCAAGGGGACCCGTATAATTTTAGCAGACATGTTCTCCCCGACCTGCCTTGCATTCCTCTCCGTCTCCCTCTAAACACACGTGGGCCACTTTTAGTGAATTTCCTAACCACTCTCTCCTTGTTGGCCTCCAAGTGTCTGATTGCCCTGTTCTACGTCGACATGGCTTAGAAGGCCAATAAGGAGAGAGTGTCTGATTGCCCTGTTCTCCCTATGTACTCTTCCTCATCGTATTTTTTTCGAAGTCTACAATAAGTATCTCGCTCACCCCTCAAGAGTCACTCCATCTCCAATCTCCCCGGCCCTCGTGCAACCCACTGTGAGTTTCCCGCGAAATTCTGGTAATGCATGTTTTCAGGCCTTTTCTGGCTCGAACCCGGATTCGTCAAGGTTTTTTTTCCGCTGGCTCGGATTTTACAGATCTTTTTCACAGGGGCCCGGATCGTCCGAGCTAGCAAAAATCCTAGCAATAGCCCTGATTGGGATGGGACAGAACTCGGCTCGACGTTGAACCACGTGTCAGTCACTGCGCATTCCTAGGACTGCTGCTGCACACAGAGAAACAGTGCGCAACCGCTTTTGTTATTTTCTGCCGAGCCAAAACCACGTTCTGGGTGGCTCGGCACCTCACTGTTTCGATATATGGGGGTGCCCATTTTCGCGCCCAAACTCTGTCCAATATATCTAGCTCCGTAGCGTCAGCAAGCTGACCGCGGGCAAAAAAACTAAAACCCATGGCTTACGCCATGCCATTCGGGAGCCTCAACCCTAAAATTTTAGGGTTGAGGCTCCCGAATGGCATGCCTTCCGACTGGGGTTTATTTTTTAATCTTCCCTTGCTGACTCTATTGCACTGTTTCTTTGTGAGCAGAAGCAGAAGTTGGGATGCGCAGTGACTGACACGTGGTTAATTGTGGAGCCGAGTTCTGTCCCAGCACAATAAGTCTTCTGCCTGGGCGTCGAAACCTGGGAAACTCTGTGCAGGTAGAGATGAAGCTCCCTAGAAAGCGCAGGGTCGGAAGTACCCCCCCCGCAAAAACTAAAAGCCCGAATTTCAATCACCCTGCGTTGGCGGATGTGTTTTTGGAAAGTTCTAAAACTGTTGTCGTTCTTTGGACTGGGGCGGGGAGTGTGGCGGCTAGTTGGGTGGTTAGTGTGGTGCGGTGCGGTGATGATGGACGTGTTGGTGGTGGTGGTTACTGGAGTGGGTAGTTAAGTTGTCACGCTAACTGTCATGTTTAGGAAAAGACAGCTCAATCCTCGTCTCGTTCCTCTCGTCGTGGCATTTAGTGTCGCATTTCTCGTCGCTTGATGCGAGATCGTTCACTACTGTTTCTGTCCGCATCTCACCGTTTTCTTCCAAGACCGTACGTGTCCAACCTAGCTACTGTACACTTCACAGTTTTCTTTTGGATTGGAATGGAATGGTGGGCGGCAGCCAGCATGAATCTGCTGCTTCAATTGGGGAGCAGCTTTGGATGGCAGCAGGTGCTCGCATTACGCCACGGCGGCCGCCACCGCCACTGGCGCAGCTGAACAGTCCCGTCACGTCCGGAGGTCCGTGCAGTCAGAAGCGCAGAAATCTCGAAAGCTTTGAAGCTTCGGCTGAGGTGGCAGTTCCAGATGGGGGACCGCTCGTGAGCCTCTCGTTGTGTGACCGAATCAAGAAGCCAGGTTTGTAACTGGACCAAGCGGACCAAACTGCCAAGTTTGCAACTTTCAACCACACCTCCACGTTTTGGTCGTCGTTGACCTGAGGAGGATGCAACCATACTTTCACAAAGTGGATAGAGAGGTTGAGAGTGCGTTTGTGTGGGGCGGAAAGAGGTCAAAAGACGCAAACTGGTGCGTCGTGGCAGCAAGCAGTCCCAAAAGGGCTCCAAAAGGGGGAGGTTGGTGGCTGTGTGTATATGACGCAAAGGAAACGGACCTTCTTTCTTCTCACTTCGACATAGGGCACGCGGGAGTTTCGGTGCTACCGCGACTCGCTTTACTGGGCTCTGGAATTGACAGCGGCGTCCATCCCCCCGCCTTAGTCGGGTCGCCCTGAGCACCAGCTGCCTCTTTTCTTCGTATCTAAAGCGAGAGTGCGAGTCCTTGCTGTGCACTGAAGCGTTTTGTCTTGCTGGATGACTCTTCCGAAGTGACTTTCGAGTCGACTCAGAAGTCGAATCGCTTCTGAAGTCTCTCGCAAAGATTGTCGCGGATACCTGACTATCGCCGTGTTCCCTTTCCGTCAACCCTCGTCTCGCCTCTCGCTCCCGACCCGTCGCCTGTCGCCGTCGCACACCGCACGTCGCGCTTCGCGCGTCTCGCGTCTTCCTTCGTCCTCCCCCTCGCCTTGCCGCTTCCCAATCGTCATCTCGCGATAGTCATGTTCCTCGGAATCGCGCATTCTTACTCCAAGCTCAGCCTCCCCACGATGATATTCCCTCCTGGCTTCTCCAAGAAAATCAACCCTTCGATAACAATGCCGCGATTTAATGCACTCTTTAAGCTCGTAGCCCTCGTTTTGTGCACCGCCGTTTGTGTCACAATCTTGAACTCCAGCGGCTGCTGGTGCTTTAATAGAGGTTCCGTGAGCGGATTGAGCGCCGGATCTAACGGCGAAGCAGCGAATGTCGTTGCGGAAAACAGCCCGCTCTTTCGCTCTTTGCGGGACGTAAAAAACGCGGATACGAACGATGTTAGCAGCAGCGGTAGCAGTGGTAGCGGTAGCAGCCTCCGAACCTCCCAGCTTATGGAGCCCGCGGACTCGGCTCGTTTAGGTTCGGCAGTTTCCGAACCAGGTTCGGACGCTGGCTCGGACGATCGGCCGTTCATCTACGTGTACGATTTAGGTCCGGAATACACGGATAGAGTTTTGGAGCTGAACCCGGCGTGGTACAACCACCAGTATGACGTGGAGCGTTACATGACGGAGGTCATCCGAACTACGAACGCCGTACGTACGGACGACCCGGAGCAAGCGAAGCTGTTCCTTATCCCTTTCTTTGCGGCGCGATTCACGCTGTACTGCTTTCGATCGTGGGAGAACAACATGCGGCAGGCGATCGAGGAAGGTTCCAGGGTACGTTCCACTCACTTTTAAGAGTCTCTTAATCGTTCTGAGACGTCTAGAAACTCTTAGAAGCGGTACGCGCGGCGGACGTTCGAGCGGAAGGCGGAAGGCTCCAGGGTACCGTCTGGCTACGCGGAACGTTCGAGCGACTAGCGACGCGCGGCTCCGCACCCGACCGGTTTTGCTCGTTTCTTGTCCTGTCCGCCACGTAGTTGACCTCGTTAGCAGAACCCTTTTCAATTTCCGGCGTCCCCAGATTCCGCTCCCCCATCAGTTCCCGCCTCCTCCCCCTCCCCCTTTCCCCTCCCTTTTTATCCCCCCTCCCTTTCCCCTTCCCCTCCTTCCCCGATCTCCTTTCCCCCTCCCGCTTTCCGCTAAACTTCCGCCATCCATCTCCCCCCTCCTCCGTCCTTATTCCCCTAAGCAAAATTCCCATTTTCTCCCCGTTCCCCTCTCGTTTCGTGCAAACAGATATGGGAGAAGCTTATAACGAGGGTGAGGAAGGAGCACCCGTACTTCAACCGCACCAACGGCAAAGATCACTTCTCCTTCGGCACGCTCGATCACGGCCGTTGCCACTCGCTCACGTTCGTGGACCCGCGGGTGTACGGCGAAATGTTCTTTGTAACCCTAAACGGCGACAAGCTGGTTCGCAGCATTCATTCCAGCCCTGGGCGAAACATGCAGGTAACTGCATACAGCGATGTTCGTTTTAGTTCTAGTATTTTGTTTTTGGTTTATTTTTTCCATTATAGCAATGTTTCTTTCCTTTTCTGCATGTTTGTATGAGAGAAACAGTTAGCGAGGCTCCTCTAAACCTGTTCAACTTTTTTTCTCCGGGCCGGAACGCGCAGGTCATTTCGTACAATTACGGCGCCAAGATCACGGATCCAACGGTCCCGGACATCCCGTGCTACGTGCCGAACCACGACATTGTCGTGCCGGCGCTGGTCGCGAATCGCCTGCCCATCGTGCCACCCTTTGAGTCGGAGCGCGAGATCAAGGTGCTGTTTCGGTTCAGCGCGTCGCAGCACCACGGCGAGCCGCTGAAACACCACAACCGCGACATTCGGAGAGAACTAATTGAGGTGAGCGGGCGGAAGGGCGGAGGGGGAAGGGGAGAGGGGGAGAGGAGGGGGGGAAGGAGTGGGGGGATGGCGGAGGGGGAGGGGGGAGGGAGGAAGGAAGGAAGAGAGTTGGGGGGAGGGGGGAGAGAAAAAGGGGGGAGGTGGGTGGGGGAAGGGAGGTAGTGGAGGAGGAGAGGGTTTGATTGTTTAGTCGACTCAAAAGTCACCTTTCGGAAGCAGCCCAACCACAACATCTGGCGGTAGTTGATCGAGGTGGGTGGGTGAAGGGGTGGTGCGTGGGTAGGTGTCTGGGAAGGAGAGGAAAGCGGGGATGGTAGAGGAGGGAAGGGGGAGGGGAGAGGAGGGAGGGGGCAGGAAGGAGAGGGGAGAGGGTGACTTTTGAGTTGACTCGAAAGTCACAACCGCGACATCTGAAGGGACTTGGTCGAGGTGGTTGGGTGGATGGGTGGATGGGGTATGGGGGGGCGGATGGAGGGAGGAGGACGGAGGAGGAGGGAGTGAGGGAACGGGAACTCGTATGTGAGACGGCAAAGGGCAATGCGCGAATGGTGGGGATGAGGGCGCAGGGCGGAGGGAAGGAAAACAAGGAACGCACACGTGAGACAGAAAAGGGGAATGCGCGGATGGTGGGGAAGAGGGCGCAGGGCAGGGCACGAGACGAGGGGTGGGGGAGCTTGGTGGGGAAGGGGGAGTATGAGACGGACAAGGAGGAGGAGGAGAGAGAGAAGTGTGCGCGCGTTACATCTGCCTCCCAGTTCTCCCACTCCCCCTCACTCCCCTGACCCCCACTCCTTCCCACTCCCCTCTTCCCCACTCCCACCCACTCCCCTCTCCCCCACCCCCCCCACCCCACTCCCCCCACTCCTCCCCACTCCCCTCTCTCCCTCCAGACGTACAAGGACCGGGGGTACGAGGGGTGGGACTTCGGGAAGAAGGGCGAGTATGAGACGGACGAGGAGTGGAAGAAGAACGTTTTTTGCGTCTGCCCTTTTAACTCCAACTCCGTCCCCTCTTTCCCCCTCTTTCCCCCCCTTCCCTCCACCTCTCCCCCATCCTTCTCTCCTCACTCGCCAGACGTACAAGGACCGGGGGTACGAGGGGTGGGACTTTGGGGAGAAGGGCGAGTATGAGACGGACGAGGAGTGGAAGAAGAGCGTTTTCTGCGTCTGCCCGCCCGGCCACTCCCAGTGGACCAGCCGCCCCTTCAAGGTGCGTGCCTGTGCTGGTCAATCGATTCAATCTAGTCAATCAGGTGGGCTCCTCCGGGCCACTCCCAGTGGACCAGCCGCCCCTTCAAGGTGCGTGCCTGTGATGGTAACCCAACCGTGACGTCAGTCAAGTACAATCATCCCAGTGACGTTCTTCCGAAGCCACGACAACCCCCTGGGACGATGAGCTGGACCCAACTCTTCAGCATTCCCTCTCTTTTCCCCTATTTCTCCTCTCCTCAGCCCCCCCAGGCGATCATCTCAGGGTGCATCCCAGTGACGTTCTTCCGAGGTCATGACAACCCCTGGGACGATGAGCTGGACCCAACTCTTTCCAACTTCCCCCCTCTCCCCCCTTCTTGCCTTCCCACAACCTGTCTCCCTCCCCTCCCCACCCCAGGCAATCATCTCAGGGTGCATCCCAGTAACATTTTTCCGAGGCCATGCCAACCCCTGGGACGACGAGCTCGACTACTCGACAGTCTCGGTAAACATCGACCCTGACGAGCTGCACACGCTCAAGGAGCGGTTGGACGCCGTTCCCATCAAGAAGCTACAGCGCAACATCGAGCAGATTCAGGTGAGCGATGGGTGGGTGGGTGGGTGGTAGTTGCGTTGCGTGCATGAGGGAAGGACAGCCTCGACTACTCGACAGTCTCAGTCAACATCGACCCTGACGAGCTGCACACGCTCAAGGAGCGGTTGGACGCCGTTCCCATCAAGAAGCTACAGCGCAACATCGAGCAGATTCAGGTGGGTGGGTGTGTGGGTACGAGTCATCCTGTATGTTTAAGAGTGAGTTAGTTTCATGGGTCTTCCCAGGGGCTGGGAAATTGCTTCGTGTCGCAAATCCCGTGTCACGACTGAACACTCGATTCCATTTCCCGTCCTTCCCCGTCCTTGGTTTCTCCCTGAACTACAGGAGGCTTATCGATGGACAGGGGTGTACAATAAAGGAGCAGAGGCGATGCTTATAAAGAGGCTGAGGCAACGAGGGAACCAGCTTCAAGCAGTGGAGCAGCGGAGATTATGGGCGCTGCAATGATGACAGGTAGGAGGATGAGGATGGAGATGGGGAGGAGGATGGAAGAAGAGGAGGGGGGGGGGGGGGTACGACGACGGCGAAAACGAAGAGGTTGAGGCAACGAGGGAACCACCTTCAAGCGTTGGAGCAGCGGAGATTACGGGCGCTGCAATGATGGTGATGGCAGGGAGGCTAGTGAGGCGCCTCAGAAGCAGCGGAAATTACGGGCGCTGCAATGATGGTGATGATATGGTCAGGTCTGCTCGGTAGGTGCCTCAGAAGCCACTTCTGAGGGACCTCAAACACAGCGGAGGGTACGGTCCCTGCAATAGGGACCATGAGGAGAACAGGGCGGCTCATGAGGAAAAAGCCATTTCTTACCGTGATCGCAACTCTTGTCACAAGAGTTCATTGCAGGATGTGGACCAGCAGCAGAGTAAAGGGATCTGGTAGAATGATGATGTGCTGTGCTGACATGAACGGTGCCCCTTTGAGATTTCCAAGCTTCAGAATGGTTACCACGCAGTTACATCAGTGCGGGCGAGCCAATTGAATGTTGCGCGAATGCTGCTGGGTAGTGAGACTAAGGGTTTAAGGTAAGGCAGCTGCAGAGCAGAGCCGTCCCCACAGCAGCAGGGGAATGGGCAGTACCGTACACAACTTATTGTTACAGTGGTGTTCAGGGTGATCTAATGAAGTTGAGCAAATAATAAAGCTGTCTAGAATACCGTACGACACTCAAACCGTACAAGCTATTGGAATTGTGCTCATTGTTTCTCATAGTGCTGACTACGAGTAAGCTAGGATGAGAGGACATCAGCCATAATAGTGGTAACATTACTCTCTCCAGAAAATAAGGGTGTTGTTTGTCAAGTTCCCAAAAAACGTGTAACCTACAGGAGACAGGTAATGTCTTTTAGTAAGAAGCAACTGCTTGCCTCCATACAGAAAAGGAAAGGCAACGTAGGGAAGGGACCCCCATCGCTATATATACATATTACCATATATTTAATAAATACAGCTTTTCTCAATGTAACACACCTAAAGATTCGTTACCAAAGAAAGGAATTCCTTTCGCAAAATACCATTCCTCATTTTCTATTGCAGGCATGCCTGCTATAGGCGCCTTGCTATAGGTAGAGGGAGGTTGAGGAGATTTGCTTGCCTCGCTGCCGTAGCCTCTTTATAAGCTCATACTTTGCTCCTTCTGTGTGATTCCCCGACCACTTGAACATCCGCTGGTGGCATTAAGGGGGGAGAGAGGGAGGTGAGGAAAGAGAAGGGGGGAATGAGGGATCACATGAGGGAACGAGGACCCCAGCCAACCCGTGATTTCTAAGTTCATTCTTGAGTCGACTAAAAAATCAACTTTTGAGTTGATTAAAAAATTGGGGGACACACTAGCTCCTCCAGCCAACCCGTTGTAAGCTGATACACTGCCCCTTGTATATGCATGCGCTTGAACGCCACCGCACTCCACCTAATTCACCGCACTTCACCCACCGTTCCACCGCACTGCACCGATGCCAACCCACCTGCACTCTCTCCACGCCGCGTTGCAGCTGCTCCACAGGAGCGTTTTCTAGACGGGAGTGCAGCGAAGCAATGTCGTCCGGATCGATGTTGATGGAGAAGGAGGAGTAGTCCAGCTCATCGTCCCAGGGATTGTCATGGTCTCGGAAAAACGTCACTGGGATGCACCCGGATATTAATGCCTGCATACAAAACAAAAAAAAAACAGAAAACAAAAAAAAAACAGAAGAAGAAAAAGAAAGAAAGAAAAAAAAAGGTATATATATAATAGTGAAGGGTTGTCATGGTGCACCTCCGGATCGAAGTTGATGGAGAAGGTCGAGTAGTCCAGCTCATCGTCAAAGGGGAGGTGTGTATGATGAAAATTCACTTTACGCAACATCCAGCCGTCTGTTTATACGAGTATGTGTGCGCAAATGTGTGCAAGCAAATGTTAGTGTGTTTGTTGCAATTGACACAATGTGCGAGACGTACAAAGAAGAGGCTTCAAGTCTGAATTGCATCTTAATTAGTGGGCTTGTGAAAGTGCCCACAGGCCCACTCTCGGGCCACTCGTTGTCCGTCTTCGTCTCCCCCTTGAGATATTGGGGAGCCACCAGGTACACATGACCCACCAGGCACACACATGACCCACCAGGCACACACATGACCCACCAGGCACACATGACCCACCAGGTACACATGACCCACCAGGCACACACATGACCCACCAGGCACACACATGACCCACCAGGCACACATGACCCACCAGGTACACATGACCCACCAGGCACACATGACCCACCAGGTACACATGACCCACCAGGTACACATGACCCACCAGGTACACATGACCCACCAGGTACACATGACCCACCAGGTACACATGACCCACCAGGTACACATGACCCACCAGGTACACATGACCCACCAGGTACACATGACCCACCAGGTACACATGACCCACCAGGTACACATGACCCACCAGGTACACATGACCCACCAGGTACACATGACCCACCAGGTACACATGACCCACCAGGTACACATGACCCACCAGGTACACATGACCCACCAGGTACACATGACCCACCAGGTACACATGACCCACCAGGTACACATGACCCACCAGGTACACATGACCCACCAGGTACACATGACCCACCAGGTACACATGACCCACCAGGTACACATGACCCACCAGGTACACATGACCCACCAGGTACACATGACCCACCAGGTACACATGACCCACCAGGTACACATGACCCACCAGGTACACATGACCCACCAGGTACACATGACCCACCAGGTACACATGACCCACCAGGTACACATGACCCACCAGGTACACATGACCCACCAGGTACACATGACCCACCAGGTACACATGACCCACCAGGTACACATGACCCACCAGGTACACATGACCCACCAGGTACACATGACCCACCAGGTACACATGACCCACCAGGTACACATGACCCACCAGGTACACATGACCCACCAGGTACACATGACCCACCAGGTACACATGACCCACCAGGTACACATGACCCACCAGGTACACATGACCCACCAGGTACACATGACCCACCAGGTACACATGACCCACCAGGTACACATGACCCACCAGGTACACATGACCCACCAGGTACACATGAACCACCAGGTACACATGACCCACCAGGTACACATGACCCACCAGGTACACATGACCCACCAGGTACACATGACCCACCAGGTACACATGACCCACCAGGTACACATGACCCACCAGGTACACATGACCCACCAGGTACACATGACCCACCAGGTACACATGACCCACCAGGTACACATGACCCACCAGGTACACATGACCCACCAGGTACACATGACCCACCAGGTACACATGACCCACCAGGTACACATGACCCACCAGGTACACATGACCCACCAGGTACACATGACCCACCAGGTACACATGACCCACCAGGTACACATGACCCACCAGGTACACATGACCCACCAGGTACACATGACCCACCAGGTACACATGACCCACCAGGTACACATGACCCACCAGGTACACATGACCCACCAGGTACACATGACCCACCAGGTACACATGACCCACCAGGTACACATGACCCACCAGGTACACATGACCCACCAGGTACACATGACCCACCAGGTACACATGACCCACCAGGTACACATGACCCACCAGGTACACATGACCCACCAGGTACACATGACCCACCTTGAAGGGGCGGCTGGTCCACTGGGAGTGCCCGGGCGGGCAAATGCAGAAGACGCCCAGCTGCCACTCCTTGTTCGTCTGCCTCTCCCCCCTCGCTTTGAAGCTCCAGCCCTTGATGCGGCTCCGCCCATACATCTGCATGCGAGGAGGGAGGAGGGTGGGGGACGGAGGTTAGGGGGGCGGGGAATGCAACGTGCGTGAGTGAGTGCAAAGCTCCACCCTTTGATGCGGCGCCGCCCGTACATCTGCACCCAGGTGTGTAAGAAGTGATTTTTTTGGGACGTCTCAAAAATTCACCTTTTTTACACGTCGCCCGTACATCTGCACCCATGTGTGTAAAAAGTGACTTTTTGGGACGTCTCCAAAAATCACCTTTTTACACGCCGCCCGTACATCTGCACCCATGTGTGTGTGTGTGGTAGAAGGGGAGGGGAAATGCAAGATGCGTGAGTGAGTGCAAAGCTCTGCACGTTGCACTGCCACTTGCTGTGCTTGATGCGCTGCCACCCATACATCTGCACGAGTGGAGGGGTTGCGGTGAGGGAAGGGGGAATCGACGTGTATAAAGTGAATGTTTGAGATGTCTCAAAAGATCTCACCCCCACTATCCCCTCACCTCCACCTTCCCCACTCCCATCTACCCACCCACCCCGCCCTTCACATACTTTAAGTAGCTCGGGGCGCAAGTCGTGCCCCTGGTGCACGAGGGGTGCCATGTGGTTTTGCTTGTCTTCTCACCCAGGACCCAACCTTCTACCCACCCACCCCGCCCTTGACATACTTTGAGCAGCTCGGGGCGCAAGTCGTGCCCCTGGTGCACGAGAGGCGCCTTGTGGTTCTGCTGGGCTGAGAAGGCCATTCCCCTCACCCCCACTTTCCCCACTCCCCCACTTTCCCCACTCCCCCACTTTCCCCACTCCCCCACTTTCCCCACTCCCCCACTTTCCCCACTCCCCCACCTTCCCCACTCCCCCACCTTCCCCACTCCCCCACCTTCCCCACTCCCATCTACCCACCCACCCACCCACCCCGCCCTTCACATACTTTAAGCAGCTCGGGGCGCAGGTCGTGCCCCTGGTGCACGAGAGGCGCCTTGTGGTTCTGCTCGTCTACCCACCACCCCCAAACCACAAACCCTGAACGATAAACCCCAACCCAAAGCCAAACCCCAACCCCCCTCTCCCACATACTTTGAGCAGCTCGGGGCGCAGGTCGTGCCCCTGGTGCACGAGAGGCGCCTTGTGGTTTTGCTGGGCTGAGAAGCGGAAGATGGCTCGCATGGTTCGGTTGCTGGCGAAGGGCGACACCATGGGCAGCTGGAGTAAGGGGGGAGAGTTCAGGACATGAGAAGCCAATTGAACATAAGGGTAGGAGCAGGGGAGAGGGTGAGAAGCGGAAGATGGCTCGCATGGTTCGGTTGCTGGCGAAGGGCGACACCATGGGCAGCTGGAGGTTGCGGGCAGCGGGGGGGAAGGGGGGCGGGGCGGAGGGAGGCACGTTTGGGAGGGAGACACGAGGGGGGGATTGGGACGCATGGGCAGAAGCAAAGAGAGAGACACAGAAGATGGTGCGCATGGGTCGGCTGCCATAGAAGGGCGTCAGGGAACCTTAGGGGGTGGGGGAGAGGATTCAAACGTAGGGAGAGGGATGTGAGGGGGAAGCAGGGAAGAGGGTGAGACGCGGACGATGGCTCGCATGGGTCGGCTGCCAAAGAAGGGTGCTTTTGAGACAAAGGGAGTCTTTTGAGATGTCTCAAGAGCTGCCAGAGTTTAGGGTTTAGGGTTAAGGAAGCTCTGAGGCCCAAAGGGCGCCTGGAGAGAGTTGTTTTGAGGCCGAAATGAAAGTTGTTGTGAGGCGCCTCAAACCAGGAACCCACCTGGTCAATGACGGCTGGCACGACAATGTCACGGTCGGGCATGTAGCATGGAATGTAAGGGAGACTGGGAGAGAGGAAAGTGTAACACGAGGAAAGTGCGAGAGAGGGATGTGCCGTGCGGGGCGTCAAGAGGATGGGGCAATCTACCTGACTGCCAATGAAGGCTGGAACAACAATGTCACGGTCGGGCATGTAACATGGAATGTCGGGAAATTGCGGCTGCACGGTCGAGTTGTAGGTGTAGCCTATGATCTGAAAGAAGAGGGGAGAGGAGAGATAGGACACGGAAATGAGAGATGGGAGATGGGAGAGGAGAGGGATTGGCACAGGGGGCTGCGCAAGCGAGTTGTAGGTGTAGCCTATGATTCGAGCGGGAGAGGAGAGGAGAGACGAGGATATTGTAAAAATCTCAGGCACTACACCACTGGGATAAAATGGCTTGTTAAGTAGCGGTTGAGTGCGCGCAGAACCCCCCAAGCAGACGTGCATGTAACCTTTCTCTGCATTAATCGAGCATCCCAGTGCAGGTCTTCTAATACCCACTCACAAGGATGCCCTAAAACACGGCAGAGCGGTAGCGCCAGCATGTGCATACATGGGGATTCGAACCCAAGACCTTCGTCCTGATACAATGTCAGAATCCCAGCCACTACACCACGGAAATAAAATGGCTTGTTAAGTAGCGGGTGAGTGCGCCCATGAGTGAGCGTCACACTCCAGCGCGCTCAGGCGAACGCCCTCCGCCCCAAGACCAATGAGGCCTTGGCTGCAAACGAGCTCGGCCTGCAAGGTCCGTTTGCCCCTCCGAGCGATGGGCAACCAATTGATAGAAGCGCCATTCAACCATTAGTGTTGGGAGGGCGAGGGTAGGTCACGTAGATAAGTATTTGATTTGCATCCTGAGCTCAATTCTGCCCCTCTCCTGTATGTGCCTTGCACAACATTCTACAGAAGGCCGTTTGCGAGAGAGAGGAGAGGCGAGAAGGAGAGGAGGGAGGGAATGATTGGCAGATGTGGCTGCACGGTGGAGCTGTAGCTGTAGCATAACAAAGAGCATCACAAAGAACATATTGTCTCTCCGTGTAGGTGCCCCTTCGCACACCTTACCACTGCTCACTCTCCCCCACCTGGAGGTTTCTTTCTTCCTTTCCCCTCCTTCCTTCCCCTCAGCACGCACACACCCGAGCACACACACACCTGCAGGTTCCTCTCCTTAGAAGCGTGGATGGTGCGCGCGAGGCGGTCCCCGTTGAGCATCACGAAGAACATCTCGCCGTACAGATCCGGGTTGACCCAGGTCAACGCGTGGCAACGGCCCTGATCGAATGTGCTCGTGCCAAAGTGATCTCGGCCGTTGGTGCGGTTGAAGTAGGGGAAGTCACGGCGAATCATGGTGAGAATCTCGTGCCACGCCTGGAGGGATGTAGAGGGGAGAAAATGGATGGAGAAGAGGAAAAAGCATTGAAATCACTCTTGGGCAACTGTTAAATCCATAATTCTTTGGACAATTTTTGGATAAAATCCTAAAAAGTCCCTCATCATGTTTGTTCGTCCTCATCATGTTCACATTCGATGCATGCGACGCATGGGATGCATGTGATGCATGTGATGCATGCAATGCACGCGTCGCATGGGATGCATGTGATGCATGTGATGCATGTGATGCATGTGATGCATGTGACGCATGCGATGCATGTGAAACGACATTTCTTATGGGTGTCCCTCAATGTGAGTAAGTAATTCACCACACGCATGGTCCCTCATCATGTCCTTCGTCAGCTCGTTCACATGCGCGATGTGGGTCGACGAGTACGGCACAAATCGACTCCATATAAGCGGACTCGCATCTCACCTTAGAGACTTCCTCGATCGATTTGTGCATCATGTTCTCCATCAGCTTGCTCACATGCGAGATGTGGTTCGACGAGTAGTACGGCACAAACCGACTCGATATAAGCAGACTCGCAACTAACCTTAGAAACTTCCCCGACAGCCTTATCCATCATGTTTTTCTCATTCTTGTTCACGTGCGCGAGGTGGTTCGACGAGAAGTACGGCACGTAAAACAGCGTCGCCTTTTCGGGATCTGTTGTTCGAATCGCGTTACTCCGCATAAGAAGCTCCGTTAGTACCGATTCCACTTCGTATTGGTCAGAAAACCACTCCTTTTTTAGTCCTTTCATCCCCTCCGTCCACGCCGATTGCGTGTCGTACACGTAAATAAACGGACGGTTGCTATCGTCAGCTGACGCGGCGTCTTTATTGGCCCCGGCACCGGCGCCGTCGGCCCCGCCGCCGGAAAACGCGGCGACGGATCCGATCGTCGCGGCTACAGGAAGAGGCTGTGAGTCACCTGCAGCGGGAACGGCGGCGGCGAAGGTGGGGGTAACTCCACGGCCCGTGGATTCTAGATCGCGTCTTGCGCTAGCAAGGTCTCCGGAAAGGTGCGAGGCGGAAGCGGTGACGACGGCGGCGGTGGCGGCGGCGGCGGCGGTAGTCAGCTCGGGATTCTCTGGGTTTCTACAGAAGCATTCTTGCGATTGCATTATATACGAACTACTAATTAGAAGTACTATTAATATGAACGACGCGACGGCCACAAGGGCGAAGTGTATGGGAACGCGCTTCGGGTTCAACATTTGCTGCACCTTCGCGGCCTGTACTTCGTCCAGAGCTAGCATCTCCTTCGAGAACATGACGCGGTTCGGAAATCGCGAAAGCGGTCCGTCCGTAACTTAGAAAAATCGACACCCCAGAATGTTCCCTCAAACTTCCTCCGAGGTAACCCTGGAGATGACCTCGCGGGAGGTAACCGTGAGAGTGCCTTCTAGAAGCGGGTCTACATTTATATTCGTCTACCTTCGCTAACGTCGCTCATGCTGATCTCGCGAATGTCGCAGATGTCGCTGCTGAGGTCGCTGTTAACAACATTACACAGCGGCTGCTGCTCAATTCACCCAAACAACGAACCACCTCGAGTAGTCCAGTGAGCACTGAGTAGTAGTGTGAGAAGCACTTCAAGAACTCCGTGTAGTAGGTGGTACAGAGCCGCAGCGCGATCAAACAGCCATCAACCGAGAAAAAAGCAGCTCGGATGGATCTCAGATGGGTTTTGCTTCGGGGGATGAGTTGCGTGTTTCGGCGGTGACATGCCTGGCAGTTTGGTTGGGGAGGGTTGCATAGCACAGTGGTGGGTGGTTGGGTGAGTGTGGCGGTGGCATAAGGACGTGGCCCAGACCGCTTCTGATTGCCTCGATCAGAAGCGATCAACAATAGGCAGTTTCAGGCAATCAGGGGCAATCAGCTGATCGCGATCAGCTGATCGCCCCAACTCGATCAACCGACTCAAACACCCCAATCAAACACAATCACACACAATCACGCACGATCAGTTGATTGCGTTGGGTTGCGGCCCTTTGCGATGCCAACGAAAAGTTACAGTTTTCGTGTGGATTTCGAGTACCCCTCGCCTTTCTCGAGCCGTCACTTTGTGTTGTCTCTCTCTGCGAGATTACAGGGTGACACAAGTATCGCTGGATAAGTGCCTTAGCCTTTCGCAGTCGCCAAAGTTGCCCCGAAGCTGGTAAGAAATGTGGTTATGCTTGCCATGCACCAGCGCGTTACATTCGAGGAATTTCAGCTCTGATCGGGCGGCACGAGCCGCGCGATCAAAGTCGCTCCGATCAGATCCAACCCGACCAGATCACTGCCGATCAGACCCGGTCTGGGCCACGTCCTAAGGATGTGGGCCCAATTGACTTTGATCGGCTCGGATCGGATCGGGTTGGATTGGATCTTCTGATCGTTTTTCCCGCGCCGCCCGATCAGAGCTGATTTTCCTCGAATATTTAGCGCTCTTGCGTAACAGCCGTCTACTCATTAACTGGTAGTTGCATCCCAACTCTGGCGAGATTAGCGAATTTCTTCGTTTCGTGGTAATATCGCGAACATAGCACTGCGCGCAAGGTCTGCTCCAGAACCTTGGAACTATTGTGAGAATTTTCGAGACCTTATGGCGGAGCTTGTTACATTTCGCGTACGTCGCCCATGTCCCCGATCACATGCAATCAAGTGATCGGGGCTGATTGAGTCTGATCGGGTCTGATCGGGCTGTTTGATGCGATTGATCAAGTTGGCGCGATCAGCTGATTGCCCCCGATTGCCTGAAAATGGCTTCCCGCCTTCCTCGAGTTTATTGATCGCCTCTGATCGCGCCGATCAAAGTCGATTGGGCCCACGTCCTAACCGCCTTTCATGGCACGGTGAGGTGACAGGTGATTTGGTTGGCACGCCCCGCTTAAAAATTCGGTTTGTGGTGCGTACGTGTGCACCGAACGGCGGCTCGCGTTGACTTCGGTTGTTCTTGCGAACAAGACAAATTGTTTGTTTTACAGTGGCAACAAGCAGATGTTGCAGTCCCAGGCGAATTTGGAAGTTCGGCAGCATCCATCCAATTGCTGAGTCGGTTCCGTATGGCTCGGTTCTGCAGCCTCGGTTCGGGCTAGGCGTACAGTGTACTGTAGTGTAGATTTTTGCGTGTGCGTGACCCTATGGTGCCGTGTTGCCCGTACAGTACAACTCGATAGGGTCACGCACGCACAACTCATACGCCAACAGAACCCACCCCTTTAGGGAGCGTCCCCCTGAAATTAGAGAACACTGTATAACTTCATTGTGAACCTGTATAACGCTTCAGAGTGGGGAGCAGGGCACACTGTACACTTTTGAGGAGCTTTGTTCTGCTATCCCCACCTATGCTCCTCTGGACTCTTACTTTCTTAAGCGTATCCCAGCATGGTGTCACCTCAAATCCGGAGGCAGCATTAGTACTACCCACTTTTGAAGCTGCTGCGATGCGATTATGCCACCACTGATCCAATTCTCCCCAGCCTGCTGACGAGATTTGTCTCAGCTACAAAAATCACGGCTCCGCTCTTCCAGCAGAATTCCTATGGATGCTTCTTATTCCTCTCTAGAGGCAGCACGCCCTGCTCTTCCAGCTTCTGTCATCGTGCTGCCGCCGCTCCAATCTTCATCAGCCAGCTGACGAGTTTTAATCCGCTCCTATGAAGGATACTTTTCTGGAGAGGCACCACGCCCTGCTCTTCCAGCTATTGCAACTGTGCTGTGCCGCCGCCGCTCCAATCTTCATCAGCCAGCCCACTGAGCACCCCCTTTACCTTCTCCCCCCTTCCCCCCCCCCTTTCCCCCCCACCTCCCCCGTCACTTTTGAGGCGACTAAAAACCCATCATGCTGCTGTGACCTGCGCCGCTGCTGCTGCTCCAATCCTCCTCAGCCTGCTGATCAGCACCGCCCCTGCCCCCTGGTCCAGGGAGTCATGCCACTTGAACATGTCCTGTGGTGTGAGCATGAGGGGAGGGGAGTGGGGAGTGGGGAACGAGGAGTGCGGAGCGGTGAGCTGGGGTTGTGCGCTGCTGCCTCTATCCTCCTTAGCCGCGGGGGCGGTGGAGGGGGTGGCGGAGGGGTTTGCGGACGGGGATGCTGCTTTGCGGTAGAGGGATGCAGCCCAGGGGTTGTCGTTGGCACGGAAAAAGGTTACGGGAATGCAGCCTGAGAGGATGGCCTGGTGGGGGTTGGTGCGGAGGATTTGGGGAGGGAAGAAGAGGGAGAGGTTGTGCTACAGCCTTGGGACGAACCCAGGGGTTGTCGTTGGCACGGAAGAAGGTAACGGGAATGCAGCCTGAGAGGATTGCCTGGTGGAAGGAGATAGTTGGGGGGGAGAGAGGGGGGGTAGGGAGGGAGGGAGGGAGGGAGGGAGGGAGGGAGGGGAGGGAGGGAGGGAGGGAGGGAGGGAGGGAGGGAGGGAGGGAGGGAGGGAGGGAGGGAGGGAGGGAGGGAGAGAGGGAGGGAGGGACACTCTTTTGCGAGCTGCACGGTCCACTGAGCGCGACCGGGAGGCACGAGGCAGAACACACTGTCTTCCCACTCGCTGCTGTCACCCGCTGCACCGCCAGCAGCAGCAGCAGCAGCAGCAGCGGCGGCACCACCACCACCACCATCAGCAGCACCAGCGTTATCGCCAGCAGCAGCAGCACCATCGCCAGCAGCAGCGCCAGCAGCGGCACTACCACCAGAAGCAGCACCAGCAGCACCATCGCCAGCAGCGGCAGCAGTGATTTCAGAGGCATCTCCTCGGAACCCCCCAGCCTGCTCGCTGTCGCCTCGGAAGACCACCTTCCACCCGTAGATGGCTGCTGCATGGGACGTGTATAGCTGTGGGGTTGAGGGCGGGGGGGAAGGGGAGAGTGGGCGTGTTCATTCGACTCACAACAACGCACCCCAGCCTGCTCGCTGTCGCCTCGCAACACCACCTTTCACTCACAGATGGATGCTGCATTGGGCGTGTATAGCTGTTGGGGGATGGGGGGGAGGAGGAAGAGAGAGAGACTGAGAGAAGAGGTAGAGAGAGGGGGAAGAGAGTGTGGGGGGCCAGTGTGGGTGGAGGGGAAGAAGCGGGGGGAAAGATTAAAAGGCCGTGAATGGCCAACAGAATTCTATTAACCACGTCTCACCTCTATCAACCGCGTCTCACATCTATCAACCACGTCTCACCTCTATCAACCGCGTCTCACCTCGATCAACCACTTCTCCACCGCATAGTTGTGGTGCATGCGTTCAACCTTGATGCTGTCGCTACTCGCGTCAGCAATGCTGCTCGCTGACGTCACCATCAGCACACGGATCGTACGACCACCATAGGCAGCAGCATCATCAGCATCATCAACAGCAGAATCAGCAGAAGCAGATTCAGCAGCATCAGCAGAAGCAGCAGCCGCAGAGGCGGGGGGAGAAGTCTCAGAAGCCGCGGTGGGCGCGCGCTTCGGGGGGATGACGTGGGTCTGAGTCAGCAGGGGCGGCACGACCACGTCTCGCTTGGGATAATAGCAGGCGATGTCCGGAATAGTGACGGTCATAGGCGCTCCGTAGTTATACGACAGCACCTGCAAGCGCGCCGTAGCAGCAGAAAGGGGGAATGTGAATTGGGGAATGGGGCACGGGGGAGGGAAAGGGGGGATTTTGTTGGGGAAGGGGGAGGCAGCGAAACAGGAAAGGGGAGAAAGAGAGCAACGATTAAAGCGCGGTGTAGAGCAAGTGCGGTGTACAACAGTTTCTATTAGGCGATGAAAGCAGTAGTAGAAAAGCTGTCACGTGGGTCGCGATTCGCTTACCCGCATGTCTGGTGTCCATCCCGTATGCACGCTCCGCACCAGAGTATCCCCGTTATAAGTCACGAAGAACATCTCGCCGAGCATCTTAGGGTTTATGTACGTCAGCGCGTCGCATCTCCCGTTCCGCGTCGATAAAATTGCAAAATGATCGCGGCCGTTGGATAGGTTGAAGTGCGGCTCGCGCCGCACCTTGGTTAGCATTGCCATCCAAACCTGCGATGTCTTTTCCACCGCGTCGCGCATATCCGCACCGTCTTTCGAGACGCTTAAATAGTACTGTTGAAGCCGGGCAGAGTAAAACGGCACGAAGAACAAACTAGCCTGTTTCGGGTCGCGGGTTCGAACCCCACCAGCGTCAGATAAAATCTGTTCCGTCAATTTCCGTTCGAGGTCGAAATGTAACGCGTACGGCGGAACGTCCATCTCGGAGATCTTATCCGTACAGTTGGGGCCGAAATCGTACACGTATATAAACGGCTTCTTTTCGTCCACGGCACCCGCCACGAGAAGCCGATTGAACGTGTCAGCAGGACTATTCGGTAACCGCGCGTACACGTTATAAGCATTCGCCCCGCTCTCTATAGGCCTTGGAGCCGCGCCGCCGGCCGAGGGACACTTAGTAACTTCAGCAGCGGGGAACTCACTAACGGGAGCTAGAGAGCCGGTGCCACCATCAGTAATGGCACTGAAGCCTGTGCTGACGTCATTATCGCACATACAAGCCGGCTGTTCTTGACGGAGGATGATTAGGGTTGCAATAAGGCCGACAGCCGCAAGGATAGCGACAGTGACGCGGTTCGAGAGGCTCTTAGGGGATAAGGGAGCTTCGGGCGCAAGAGGGCTCATCGACATGCTGCCAGCTGCACAAACGGTTTGCCAGAATTTGTCTCCCTCCTTGACGAGTCGGGTTTCCATCCGTAAAAATAATCAGAAAACACAATCTGAGGCTTCGCAAATACCGGCTTGTGGGTTTAGTCTGCACGATTGGTGCATCCATGGTAGGTGACGGATGGCCGTTCGTTTCCTCGCGAATGCATGCTCTTGCTCCGTTACTTGCATTGCAATGACGCTCGCATGCATTGCAAGGGCAGACTGCCTGCAGTTTCTCATCCCCAGCAGGTCGCCGGATTTCAGAAAGGTGAGTGGCGGTTTTAAGAGGGAAATGATTGGTGCAAAGGTGTTGTTGACAGCGCGCCACCGACTTCCGAGCCTCCACGTGAGGTCTTCCGAACCGAGCTCGAAGTTCGATACACATTCAAAGCCTCACGTGCAGGCCGTGGAGCATTTTGGAGTCACTCAAGTCAGTCCAGCACGTCCACAAAATTCGCCTGAGCCCTGACCTGAACGTTTTACAGGAAGTCTCATGGGATTCTCCAGGAAACGTCGATCTGGCGGCAATCGACGACCCCCCTGAGATGTCTGCATTTTGTTTGTTGCCGCTAACGCCCAAAGTTCCAAACCGGACCAGAAAGTCAACCGAATGCCTTCGTAACACCTCACATTTCCCCTCTCAGTCCTCTGGCTGAGAACTCCCCTTGGCTCCCCGCCAAGCCACCGAGTCTCACCGAGCCACTCATCTGCTTCAAATCAAAGCCCGAACCTAATCAGTCTCAACCACGCCTCTAAAACTGTCGTACCTACTACTGTACACAGCACAAATGTCGTGGGCGTGGGCGCTACTCTTTCTCAATGCTCGATCGACGACGTTCGCTCGCGTCGCGGCTGTGTTCGAATTATCCCGTACCTCTACTAGTGCTTCACACAGGGTCCTACCTGCTAGACTCATCAAGGTAGTTCGTTGTTGGATGAGCATCAACTGTTTTAGCTAGGAGCAACAACAGGAGAGAGGCTGCAAAATTAGCGCCAGCATCGAGACAGGGTTATTTCAGTGTAAACTTAGTGCATCTCGCATCTCAGCTTGTCACGGCCCGCTCACTCCCTAAGCTTATCCAATTCACACTCTTTCAGGGCTAGACTTTCAGAATCTTCGTCGTTTCCGGACCGCGTGGTGTCCTAGTGGGAAATTATAGTTCCGGACGACACTAAGATCAAAGTACAGGCCGCTAAGATGCAGCAACAGCTCTTAAGTCCGAAGCGCGCTCCCGAGCTCTTCGCCTTTGTGGGCGTCGCGTCGCTCTTATTGATAGGCCTTCTTTGTAGTTCGTATTTACAGCTGCTACCGCAAAACTGCTTCTGTCCAAACCTAGAGAATCCCGTGCTCTCCACCGCCGCCGCCGCCGCCGCCGCCACCGCTTCCGCCTCGACTCTTTCCCGCGACCTCGCCAGCGCAAGACGCCATCTAGAAATCAGCGGAGTTTCCACCCCTGCCACCGTTTCCTCCATCCCCGCCACCGTTTCCGCAGCGGAAGTCCTGCAGGCCCTCCCTGCTGCGACTATCGGATCGGACGCAGCGTTTTCCGGCGGGAAAGGCGGTGCCGGTGCCGGGTCCAATCAGGACGCAGCTGGCGACGGTAGCAACCAACAGTTCATTTACGTGTACGACACGCAATGGGCGTGGACTGAGCCAATGAAAGGGCTCCAAAGGGATTGGTACTCGGACCAATATGAGGTGGAAACTGTACTGACGGAGCTACTATTGCGCACTAACGCGGTTCGCACGACGGATCCCGAAAAGGCGACGCTGTTTTACGTGCCGTACTACTCGTCGAACCACATCTCGCATGTGAACAAGATTATGAAGAACATGATGCAGACGGCGGTCGCGGAGGTGTCTAAGGTGAGATGCGAGTTTGCTTATATCGACTCCGTTTGTGCCCTACTACTACGCGTCGAACCACATCTCGCATGCTCACACTTCTCCCCATGATTCGCCGCGACTTCCCTTCCCCCTCTTTCGACTCGAATCAAGAGTCTTTTTCCTTCTCCTCATCCCCACCCCCCCGCCTCTCCTCACAACCCCCCCAGGCGTGGCACGAGATTCTCACCATGATTCGCCGCGACTCCACCTTCTGTTGAGTCGACTCAAAAGTTTATTGCCCTCCTTACCCTCTTCTCTTATTCCCTACTTCCCCTCTTCCCCTCTTCCCCTCTTCCCCTCTTCCCCTCTTCCCCTCTTCCCCTCTTCCCCTCTTCCCCTCTTCCCCTCTTCCCCATTTTAGGCGTGGACCGACATTCTGACCGCGATTCGCCGCGACTTTCCCTACTTCAACCGCACCAACGGCCGAGATCACTTCAGCACGAGCACGTTCGATCACGGCCGTTGCCACGCGCTGACGTGGGTCATCCCGGACCTGTACGGCGAGATGTTCTTTATCATGCTCAACGGGGACCGCCTCGCGCGTACCATGCACGCGTCTGCGCAAAGGAATCTGCAGGTGCGTGCATGCTGCTGAGGTGCGCCCAGGTAGAATCTTTCCCCTCTTTTTGAGAATTCTCAAAAACCAGCTCTTAGCTCAACGGGGACCGCCTCGCGCGCACCATGCACGCGTCCGCCCAGAGAAACCTGCAGGTAGGGAGGGGAGAGGAACCTGTAGGTAGGGCGGGAAGAGGGGTTTACCCCCCTCTCGCTCTACTCCCCTCTTTGCCCTCGCCCCCTCTCCCTCGCCTCAAATGCACATCTTGTTGGTTACAACTACAGCTCACCACTGCAGCCGCAGTTCCCAAACATTCCATGCTACATCCCTCTACCCCCCACCCTCCCCCACCCCATGCTTTCTCCCCTAAATGCACAGATCATAGGCTACAGCTACAACTCCACCCCCCCTTCCCCGGCATAAGCTAGTTCCTCCACCTCCCATAACCCACCTTCCCCCTCACAACCCCTCTCCCCCTCCTCCTCTCTCTCCCCCTCTCCTCCCCCAATGCATGGCAGGTCATAGGCTACACGTACAACGCGCCACCAGTTCTCCGACATTCCCTGCTACATGCTTTGAGACGTCTCAAAGCTCTCACCCGCTCCTCCCCCCTCCTCCCCCAATGCATGGCAGATCATAGGCTACAACTACAACTCCACCTTACAGCCACAGTTCCCCGACATCCCATGCTACATGCCCGACCGAGACATTGTCGTGCCCGCCTTTATTGGCGACCAGGTGGGTTGCCTCATCGCATCCTCTCATGTCCCTCACGCCACGTCACGTCCCTCACGCCACACTCTCCTCTCTCTTCGATGTCCCCTGCTACATGCCCGACCTCCCCCCTCACTCACACCCCTCACTCACACCCCTCACTCACACGCCTCACTCACACCCCTCACTCACACGTCCCACTCGCACCCCTCACTCACACGTCCCACTCCGCTCCCTCCCTCGCCCCCCTCCAACCCCCCATCCCCCCAGGTACCCATGGTATCGCCCCGTGCGAGCCAACTTCCGCTTCTCACCCGCTCCCCTGCTTGTGATGAGGCGATTTTTGAGTCGACTAAAAAATCGACTGACCCGCTCCCCTGCTGCCCGCACGGCCCATTCCCTCCTTCATATCCCCATCTCCACACCGCACGTCTCACTCCCCCCTTCATGTGCCATCCCCCCCAGATACCCATGGTGTCGCCCTTCGCTGGCAATCGCCCCATGCGAGCCATCTTCTGCTTCTCAGCCTCTCCACTGCTCCTCCCCTTATGTTCAAATGCCCCCTCATGTCCTAATCCCTCCAAACCCCCCCACCTCCCCCCCTCCACCCCCCACCACCCTTACTCCAGATACCCATGGTGTCGCCCTTCGCTGGCAATCGCCCCATGCGAGCCATTTTTCGCTTCTCAGCACGGCAAGGCCACAACGCGCCTCTCATGCACCACGGCCATGATCTGCGCCCCGAGCTGCTCGCTGTACGTGCAGGGGTGGAGTGGGGTTGGTGATGGTGGTGGGGGTGTGGGGTGCGGCCTACTCAGCCAGGCAAGGAACCACAGGGCGCCTCTCATGCACCACGGCCACGACCTGCGCCCCGAGCTGCTGGCAGCACGTGTGTGAGAGGGGAATGAGGAAGGGGGTTGGGGAAGTTGGGGGAGGGGTTGGGGCTGAGTGATGGGTAGACCAGGAGGGCCACAACGCGCCCCTCATCTGGGCCTGGTCACTACGGGCCCCCATAGGGGGGCACCCCTTCTCCCGAAGTTACAGGGCCGAGCTGCTCGCTGTATGTGTGTGGGGGGGTGGGTGTGGGGAGTTGGGGTTTTGGGGGGTTGGGGAGGTGGGGGTGGGAGTTGGGGAGTTGGGGAGTTGGGGGTTGGGGAGTTGGGGGTTGGGGAGTTGGGGGTTTGAGGGGTTGGGGTGTTGGGGTTGGGTTGGGTGGTGGGTAGACCAGCAAGGCCACACAAATGCCACCCCTCATGCACCACGGCCACGACTTACGCCCTCAGCTTGGTCAGTGTACGTGTATGGGGGGGGGGAAGGGAAGAAAGTGAGGATGGGAGTGGGGTTGGGGTTGTATGGAATGGCCTTTTCCACCCAGTAGGGCCAATTGGAGTGGGGAGTGTGTGCTGAGCTGAAGGTTTAGGGTTTACATTTGAGGCACCTCAAAAGCCCGCCCAGTAGGGCCGGGGGCGTCCTGCTTGGAGTGGGGAGTGTTTGCCGAAGGGCTTGGGTAAGGGGAGGCGAGATGCTGCTGCACCTGGAGTCGACTTAATGGTCACCACCCCATCCCACCCTACCCCACTCCATCCCACCCCACCCCACCCCATCCCTTCCGTCCCCTCCCTTCCCCACCCCTCTCCTCCCCTCCCCTCCCATCCCATCCCATATGCTCCCATAACCCCTGCCAGCCCCCCTTCCCCATTCCCTGCCCACACATGCAGATGTACGCGCAGTAGCGCATCAGAGGGTGCAGCAGATGTACCAGCCAAAACGCATCAAGGGGGTGGAGCTTTGCAGCCAAGGGGGAGAACGCGACCAACAAGTAGCCACTTCGTTCCCTCTTCTTGGAATCAACTCAAGGGTTCCCTCCCCTCCTCTCTCTCTTCCGTGGCCCTTCCCCACCACCTTACTCCCCGATTCGCACACATGTGCAGATGTACCAGAAGCAGCGCATCAAGGGGTGGAGTTTTGCAGCCAAGCTGGAGAATCAGACGAACAAAGATTGGCAGCGAGCTGTCTTCTGCATCTGCCCGCCCGGCCACTCCCAATGGACCAGCCGCCCTTTCAAGGTGAGAGGCACGTTAATCGGGTCAATTACGCGGGCTTACCATCACACCCAGTAGACCAGCCTCCCCTTCATGGTTAGGGGCAGTCTCAGTTTTAGAAGCTCGAGTTAGGAAACACACTTTGAAGAAGCTGCCCCCTCAAGGTGAGGGGTGTGGTAAGTGAAGTCAGCCAAGCCAGTCAACCCAGCTAGGCCAATCGAACTGGTGGTGTGGTTGGATCAACTTTTGACGTCTCTCAAAGACCAGGTTTGGCTTGTTATAGTCACAATAGGCTCCAATGTGCCTTTCACGAAAGTTGGAGTGCACTGACGGATTTTTGCCGAGCAGCTTCAAACCTTGATAGCGCGTTGGTCGCTGAACAATTTGACGTGCTATGCTTTGGATCTGGAACGTCTTAATGTCGTCTACAGTCAGCAAGTTGAATCACTCGACTTGAAAAATTGGTAACGACGTGATGGGTCGCGCTATTAATGTCAAGTTGGTGGTTGGGCATATAAATTTTGTGTGCTTGAGGGCGCGTGTCTTTTGGTGTGGAAGTTCGGAAAAAGGGTTGAAAATTTGCTGGTAACCCGTTTCGTTAATCTCGCGAAAACATTCGAGGCAATCGTGTGTCCTAGTTCGAAATGTTTGAAAGAAGTTCGACATTGAACTTAAGTCGACCTGCGTTCGGATTTTTATGTTTACATGTATCCAATCGTGTGCCCTTCTGCGCACGCAATCCACGAGGTTCACGACAGTAACGAGGTACATCGTACCGGGTTACTGAAGCCGGATACGGTCACAAACTGCACCTCCCAACCGGGTTTCCTACGAAAGTTTAGCGCGACTCGTGATTTACTGTTTAAAGTTGAACTTCGATAGTCGAACTCTTGTGTGCCGTGTGATACATGTGAAGCGAGGAACAGCGGCTCGAGCAAATTGAATCTATATAGTCGAGCCTAAGTCGACCTAGGTTCAAATGGTAGTAGGTTCAACTAAAAGAAGGAGTTTCGCACAACACTGCATAAAGACACACGCCCTTATAGTGTTGCCTTATTTGCGTTTCCGGACCTAAGTTTTTTCGGGAAAAGCCAAGGAGGATGATAGGAAGCACACGAGTTGTTTGGGGAATTCATTTCCATTTAGGTCAGGCTAACAGCTATCAGCTTCTCTTCCGATCATCCCTACCCTACTTTCCTCTTCCCCTACCACAGGCGATCATCTCAGGGTGCATCCCAGTGACGTTCTTTCGAGAGCACGACAACCCCTGGGACGATGAGCTGGACTACTCCTCCTTCTCCATCAACATCGATCCGGACGACATTGCTTCGCTGCGCACCCGCCTTGAGACCGCCCCCGTGGAGCAGCTGCAGCGGGGGGTGGAGAAGGTGCAGGTGGGTGCAGTGCGGTGGAAGGGTGGTTGGAATGGGAGGAGTGCGGTTGAGTGGGGTGGAGTGCTGTTGAATGGTTGCAGTGCAGTGGGTTCGTTAGGTTGCAATGGCCCTGGACGTTCACATGGGGGGCACGAGAGCACACATGGGTTGGAGAGCACGAGAGTGCTGTATAAGAAGTTCCCACCTATGAGTTTCCACCGCAGTGGTGTCGGTCCCATTTCCTCCCGCCTCACTCCCGCCCCCCCCTAATTTTCTTTCCCCCTCTCTCACCCCTTGATGCCACCAGCGCATGTTCAAGTGGTCGAGAACGCTCACACAAGGGGCGGGGTATGAGCTTTTGAAGAGGTCTTGGCTTGTAGAGGATCCTTTTCTAATGTGACCTCTCATTCTTGCTTTCTCCACCTCCCCCTCTCTCACCCCTTGGTGCCACCAGCGCATGTTCAAGTGGTCGAGAACGCTCACACAAGGGGCGGGGTACGAGCTTTTGAAGAGGCTACGGCAGCGCGGGGAGCAAATCTCCTCCACTGCTCTCTTCTTATAACAGATCTTTGAGGCGCCTCAAAAATCACACAAGGGGCCGGATATGGTATTTGAGGCGCTTTCTGAGGCGCCTAAAAAATACACACAAGGGGCGGGGTATGAGCTTTTGAAGAGGTTACGGCAGCACGGGGAGCAAATCTCCTCCACTGCTCTCTTCCTATAACAGGCGTGCTTGTAGTGAAAAACGAAGGGATGATAGAAGCTGCCTCTGTTCTGTATATCTCTGTTATAAAGAAATCGCATCTGTTGTGTTACAGATGGATTTTATTAAGGCTCGTTGTGCTTACAGTGATTCTTCCCCCCACTCCCCCCCCCTCCCCCCCAAAAAGCCCCTTCCCCCGAGGCGCAAACAACATGGGACCCCTCTATTTTTACAGAAACTTATAAAGAATAGCATACAAGCACTGCAGCTTCAAAGTAAATGATACACCAAGAAGCAGTGGGTATGCAAACCAGACGGGATTTTTCCCGACTGCAATACAAAAACCATCACCTACCATCACCATATTCATTACAAGCATCCCCGCTATAGGAAGAGAGCAGTGGAGGAAAGTTGCTTGCCTCGCTGCCTTAGCCTCTTTATAAGCTCATACTCTGCCCCCCATGTGTGTGTTCGTGTCCACTTGAACATGAACTGATGGCATTAGAGGGAGAACACAGGAGGTGGGGAAAAGGGGATGGAGGGTCACATGAGAAAAGGAGCTTTTTAAGGTCAAGAGAGATCTTTATAAGCTCAAACTCCGCCCCCAGGTGTGCGTTCGTGACCACTTGAACATGTTTTGATGGCATTAGGGGGAGAGGGAGCGAATGAAAAGAGGGGGCAGAAGGGGAGGTTTTATGCCAAGTCATCTTCACAAGCACATATCCTGCTCGTCATGTGTGAAGCAATGGCTACTTCAGCATGTACTGATGCGAGAGAGCAGGAGAGAGTGGGAGAGAGAGTAAGGTGGGGAAAGGGAGAGAGCGGGAGGTGGGGAACGGGAGAGAGCGAGCAAGAGAGCGAGAGGTGGGGAACGGGGGATGGGAAGTCACAAGAGGAAGGAGCACCCTTAAGCAAAGTCCTTCTTACAAGCTCGTACTCCACCCCCCATGTGTGCGTGCACAACCATTTCATTCCACCGCACTGCACCCATAACAACCCACCTGCACTTCTTTGCGCTGCAGCTGTTCCACCAATTGAGCCTCTACAAAGAGTCGCATTGCATTCCACCGCACAGCACCCATTCAAACCCACCTGCATCTTCTCAACGCCGCGCTGCAGCTTCTCCACGGGGGCGGTTTCGAGGCGGGAGCGCAGCGAAGCAATGTCGTCCGGATCGATGTTGATGGAGAAGGAGGAGTAGTCCAGCTCATCGCCCCAGGGGTTGTCATGCTCCCGAAAAAACGTCACTGGGATGCACCCAGACATGAGTGCCTGGACGGGTGGGGGGGGTGGAGGATGGGAAAGCGGAAAAGGGGGAATGGATGGGGAAATTCATGGGGGTTATGAGAAAGGAAAAATCAGCAGGGGTCACCTTGTCGTCCCAGGGGTTCTTGCGCGGAAGAGTTTTGAGACGTCTCAAAACTAGATCAGTAGGTATTCACCTCATCGCCCCAAGGGTTGTCATGACCATTTCGAGAAGTCTCAAAACTAGATTCGTAAGGGTCACCTCATCCCTGGGGGTTGTCGTGACCACGAAATCTTTTCGAGACGTCTGATAACTAGATCGGTAGGGGTCACCTTATCGCTCCAGGCGTTGTCGTGGGAGTGGCAACTCGCACCTTGAGGGGCGGCTAGTGCACTGGCAATGGCATTGTGCACCTTAAACCCTAAGACCTGCATTGGTGATCCCCTGATTAATCCTACGGAGTAATGGACGCATTCACCTGCTACTTAACAAGCCCTTTTATCCCAGTGGTGTGGTGGTTGTGATTCTGACATGAGTTATTGACTGGATTGACTTGAATGACCCACACCCACTCGCACCTTGAAAGGGCGGCTGGTCCACTGGGAGTGCCCTGGCGGGCAGATGCAAAAGACTGCTTTTTGCCAGTCCTTGTTTGTCTGGTTCTCCGCCTTAGCAGCAAAGCTCCACCCTTTGATGCGTTGCCGTTGGTACATCTGCACGTGTATGTGGTAGGGGTTGGGGATGATGGAGGGGAGGGGAGGAAAAGAGAGGAGAGGGGATTTAGACATAATCAAGAATTTGACCCAGAGCAACTTGAGAAACTTGAGCTGCAAGCTACAGCTGTAGTGAAGGAGGAAAGCGATTTTTTAGGCGCCCCACAACACAACCCCTAAAATCACACCCCCACAAATCCCAAATCCAACCCACTCCCTCCCGCTCATACACTGAGCAGCTCGGGGCGGGGTTCTCCCCCAACCTTCTCATACATACAGCGAGCAGCTCGGGGCGCAGGTCATGGCCGTGGTGCATGAGGGGCGCCCTGTGGCCCTGCTGGGCTGAGAAGCGGAAGATGGCCCGCATGGGGCGATCGCCAGCGAAGGGCGACACCATGGGTATCTGGGGAGATTGGGACACAAAGTTCGACGAGAAGAGAGAGAGAGAGAGAGAAAAAAACGGTCGTATAAATATTAATAATAATTATTCATAATACATAATTGTAAAAACAATAATAAAGGGTAAAGATTGTAAAACCTCGCGACAACTTTGTCAGCACCAACCCACCTGGTCACCTGTGAAGGCGGGCACGACAATGTCGTGGTCAGGCATGTAGCATGGAATGTCTGGGAACTTTTGAGGCGCCTCAGAAGGCGCTTACACGTGACTCTTAAGTGCCTCAAGAACCTACCTGATCGCCAATGAAGGCCGGCACGACAATGTCTCGGTCGGGCATGTAGCATGGAATGTCGGGGAAACTGGAAAAGAGGGAAGTGTGAAGCGAGGGGCGTGGTGTGAGGGGCGTGGTGTGAGGGGCGGGGCTTGAGGGACGTGAGAGGATGGGACAATCAACCCACCTGGTCGCCAATAAAGGCCGGCACGACAATGTCTCGGTCGGGCATGTAGCATGGGATGTCTGGAAACTGCGTCTGCAAGGGCTCATTGTAAGTGTAGCCTATGATCTGCGAAAGGGGAAAGGAGGGGAATGGGAGATTAGAGTAAGGGATTAGAGGGAGGTGAGGAGTAGAGGGGATTAGCCCATGTAACATGGGATGTCTGGGAACTGCGTCTGCAAGGGCTCATTGTAAGTGTAGCCTATGATTTGCCATGCATTGGGGAGAAGGGGGGAGGGGGTGAGAGTTTTGGGTCGTCTCAAAGCATGTAGCACAGAATGCCGGAGAACTGGTGGCGCGTTGTAGGTGTAACCTATGATCTGCGGAGGGGGAGAACGGGATGGGAGATTAGCTTATGGAACCAGAGGGAGGTGGGGGGTAGAGGGGATTAGCCCATGTAGCATGGTATCTCGGGGATCAGAGGGTGGGGGGGGAGGTTTGCAAGGGCGAGTTGTGGTTGTAGAGAGGAGATGGGAGAGGGGAGAGGGGAGAGGGGAGAGGGGAGAGGGGTGAGGCCGAACCTGCAGGTTTTCCTCCCAAACCTGCAGCTTTTCCTTCCAAACCTGCAGGTTTCCCTCCCTACCTGCAAGTTCTTCCCCTCCCTACCTGCAAGTTCCTCCCCGCTCCCCTCAGCGTGCACGCACCTGCAGATTCCTTTGCGCAGACGCGTGCATGGTGCCTCTCCCCTGCTCTCTCCCTACCTGCAGGTTGCGCTGCGCAGACGCGTGCATGGTGCCTCTCCCCTGCTCTCTCCCTACCTGCAGGTTGCGCTGCGCAGACGCGTGCATGGTGCCTCTCCCCTGCTCTCTCCCTACCTGCAGGTTGCGCTGCGCAGACGCGTGCATGGTGCCTCTCCCCTGCTCTCTCCCTACCTGCAGGTTGCGCTGCGCAGACGCGTGCATGGTGCCTCTCCCCTGCTCTCTCCCTACCTGCAGGTTGCGCTGCGCAGACGCGTGCATGGTGCCTCTCCCCTGCTCTCTCCCTACCTGCAGGTTGCGCTGCGCAGACGCGTGCATGGTGCCTCTCCCCTGCTCTCTCCCTACCTGCAGGTTCCTCTCCTTAGAAGCGTGCATGGTGCGCGCGAGGCGGTCCCCGTTGAGCATCACGAAGAACATCTCGCCGTACAGATCCGGGTTGACCCACGTCAGCGCATGGCAACGGCCGTGATCGAACGTGCTCGTGCTGAAGTGATCTCGGCCGTTGGTGCGGTTGAAGTAGGGGAAGTCGCGGCGAATCATGGTGAGAATGTCGTGCCACGCCTAAAAGGGGGAGAGAGGAGGAAAAGAGGGTAAGAAGGGGAGAGAGGGGAGTTGACTTTAGACTCGCCTCAAAACTAAGTCGCGGACGAGGAGGGGGCGAGGGGGTGCGGACGAGGAGAGGGCGGGCGGGTGGGGACGGGGAAGGGGCGAGGGAGAGGGGATCGGGAGAGGGAATATGGGGGAGGGGGATGAGAGCGAGGGGAAGAGGACGCGGAGGGGGGAACGGGGGTGAGGGGACGGGAGGTGGGACGGTGGGCGGGAAAAGGGGAACGGGGAGGGCGAATGAGGATGAGAACGGAAACGGAGGATAGGGGGGCGGAGGATAGGGGGGCGGAGGATAGGGGGGCGGAGGATAGGGGGGCGGAGGATAGGGGGGCTTTGGGGGGGAGTGGGGAGAGTACGAGAGGGAATGCTTTCGGTGGAAGAGGAGAAAGGGGAGGAAGTTGAGGCTGCTAGACCGGGTACTGGCTACATAGTAGGATGCACGCTTCAACGCTGCACGACTCGATATAAGCAGACGCAAGAACGCACCTTAGACACCTCTCCGACCGATTTATGCATCATGTTCTTCATAAGCTTGTTCACATGCGAGATGTGGTTCGACGAGTAATACGGTATGTAAAACAGCGTCGCCTTTTCCGGATCCGTTGTTCGAATCGCGTTACTACGCATTAGTAGCTCCGTTAGTACGGTTTCCACCTCATACTGGTCCGAATACCACTCCTTAGCCCGGCCCTTTAATTGCTCCGTCCACGCCAGTTGCGTGTCGTACACGTAAATAAACTGTTGGTTGCTATCGTCGTCCGCTACGCCTTGGTTCGCTCCGGGATCGCCGTCATTCGCGGCGGAAAACGCGGCGACGGATCCGATAGTCGCTGCAGAGGAAGGCTGCGAGTCCCCCGCAGCGTGAACGTCGGCGGATGTGGCGGAAACTCCACGGGATTCTAAATCGCGTCTTGCGCTTGCGAGGTTTCCGGACAGAGACGAGGCGGAAGCGGCGGCGGCGGCGGCGGCGGCGGCTGCGGCGGCGGAGGCGGCGGACAGCTCGGGAATCTCAAGGTTTGGACAGAAGCAGTCTTGCGATTGCGGCTGCAAATGCGAACTATATACAAGAAATATTAGTATGAGCGACGAGACGCCCACAAAAGCGACGAGCGTGGGGGCGCGCTTCGGACTTAAGAACTGCAGCTGCATCTTAGCGGCCTGTATTTTGATCTTAGAGACGTCCAGAGCTAGCAACTCCTTCGAGAACATGACGCGGCTCGGGAATGGCGATGTTCCTGAGTGTCAGGTGCGGAAAGAATATGAATTAGGGTTTGGGAGAAGCCGTGACAATATAGGAAATGCACAGTAAGTATACGCCGCCGAAGTAATTCGGCCTCAATGTTGCCGCTGATTTCGCTGCTGCCTAATCTACCCACTGTCGACAGTCCCGCTGCTGTTGCTCTTGAGGCGCCGCACGAGTAAATCTCCCAGCTGTCGACTGTCTCGCTACTGTTGCTCCTGGCTAGAACAATTTCTACTCATGAGACGAACCACCTCGACGATTCTAGTCCGCACTCGAGACTCAGTGCGAGATGCGCTCGTGGTACGGATTTAGTAAGAACACGGGCGCGGCGCGAGTGAAGAACGTCATGCATTGAGAAGCGTAGTCCTGATGCTGTGTGGTGTGGACCACAAAATAATAGTTGGTGGCTCAAAACGTCAGTTCGAGGCGTGAGGGAGAGTGATTGGTTTGGGTACGGTCTTTGGTTCGGGACAAAACTGGTTCGGTGGGGCTCCGTTTTGGTTGGGGAGTTTTCGGCCTCCGTGGTTTGTACTGTAGTGATGTAAGCATGAACGTCTTTTGTGTTGACTTTTGTATTGTTCTGGTGTCGGAAACGTCCCTCACGCGTTTTCTGTCACAGAAAAAACAAACAAACGTCGGGGTTCAGGCGAATTGGGAAGTCTGGTTTGATCCAGCGACTCAACAACCAATATGCAACAGCAATATTTTTCTGGGGCAATGCTAGTTATCATCGTTGCACCTAGCAGACGTTTTGAAGCAAGCTGTTGCAGGTGCGGCAATCCCCCTCTTTCTTGGATGGTAACATGAGACCTCACACCAGACTTCAGCACAAAACATTGTCCCTGAATCCGTCCCTGAAGACACTGCATAAGGGGTGGACAGCAATGAAATTATTGGATCCAGTACAGAATCCTCATACTGTATTACTGTAGTTGTCAGGGGAAGCAACTTGTACAATTGGATGGGAATTGGAGAAGCAGCCACAAGCATTTGTGGAAAGTTGTTCTGTGCTGTTTCTGGTCCAACCATTTTCTACAACATGACACTCCCTCCAGCCCAAGCCAGCCCAAGTTCAGGTTGGATGGAACTTCGAGGCTGCTCTGATTGGCGAGACTTGATCACACGTTTGGCTGGAGGCTTGGTCAGCCCAATCGACGACACATACTTCCGTCCCATTCGCAGAAGACCCGAAACCCAAGCCCCCGTAGCTTCACGAACCTGAATCACCACAGGTTTCGAACCTCAACTGGTCTGGCCATGACAGACTTCCGGCTCGGAAGCGCTGATTGTGGCTCGTACGGCGGTGGCGCGGTGTGGTCCAAGTGAACACATCTGCGCCCCACCCGCACCAATCAGTTTTATTAAGTTACCGTTTGGAACCGCTACTCACCTTTCTGAAACATTTGATCCATCACGACGTAATGGGTATGGTGTGGTATGTGGGGAAAGAGAAACTGCTGCAGAACGAATGTGGATCTGTCAGGGATACCAAAGGCCACCATTCAGCACCAATCTCGTGGTGAAGGCTCCTCCGTGTGGGTCTTGCTCGCAGGGCACGACACAGTAGCGGAAGCAAGGTCTTGGAGCGTATGAGAAGCCTCGAATAGTAGTGTTTTGTTTTCTGATTTATTTTACAGCGAAAAAACCGACTCGTCCAGGAGGGAGACAATTTCTGGAGAATAGTTAGTGCAGCCCGGCAGCATGACGATGAGCGCTCTAGTGCCTGAGGCGCCCTTATCTCCTAAGAGCCTCCCGAATCGCCTCGCTGTCGTGACCCTTGCGGCTATCGTCCTTATTGCGTCGCTGTACGTCTTCCGTCGAGAACAGCCGTCTTGTATGTGCGATGATGACGTCAGCACAGCCTCCAATCCAATCACCGGTGGTGGAGCTCCCAACGGCGTTTTCCCCGTTAGAGAGCTCCCCGTTGCTGAAGTTAAGCGTCCGTCGGCCGGTGGCGCGGCTACTCCGATTCGACCTATAGAGAACGGGGCGAACGCTTATAACGTGTACGCGCGGTTACCGAGTAGTCCCGCGGACACTTCTAATCCGATTCTCGCGGCGGCTGCTGCGGAAGAGAAGAAGCCGTTTGTATACGTGTACGATTTCGGACCCAACTGTACGGATAAAACCTCCGAGCTGGACGTTCCGCCGTACGCGTTACATTTCGACCTCGAACGGAAATTGACGGAGCAGATTCTATCCGACGCTGGTGGGGTTCGAACCCGCGACCCGAAAAAGGCTAGTTTGTTCTTCGTGCCCTTTTACTCTGCCCGGCTTCTACAGTATTTCCTAAGCGTATCGAAAGGAGGTTCGGATATGCGCGACGCGGTGGAAAAGACGTCGCAGATTTGGAGGGCAATGCTTACCAAGGTGCGGGCCGAGCCGCACTTTTATAGATCCAACGGCCGAGATCATTTCTCTATTCTGTCAACGCGGAACGGGAGATGCGACGCGCTGACGTACATAAACCCTAAGTTGCTCGGCGAGATGTTCTTCGTGACTTATAACGGGGATACCCTGGTGCGGAGCGTGCACACGGGATGGACACCAGACATGCGGGTAAGCGAATCGCGACCAACGTGACTGCGTTTTTACTATTTGTTTACATCGCCGCATAGAAACTGTTGTACACCGCTTTTGCTCTGCGCCGCGCTCTAGTGTTGCTCTCTTTTTCCCAGTTCCTGTTCCGCTGCCTCCCCCTTCCCCATCAAATCCCGCCTTCCTCTCCCCCGTGCCTCATTCCCCATTTTCCCGTCCCCTTTGCTGCTGCTGCTGCTGCTGCTGCTGCTGCTGCTGCTGCCGCTGCTGCTGCCGCTGCTGCGGTTCGCTTGCAGGTGCTGTCGTATAACTACGGAGCGCCTATTAACGTCGCTATTCCAGACATCGCCTGCTATTCGCCCGGGCGGGATGTGGTGGTCCCGCCCCTGCTGACTCAGACACACGTCATCCCCCCCTCACGTGGGCCCACTGCTGCTGCTGGTGCCGCCGCTGAGTCAGGTGTTTTTTCAGGCGATTCTGCTGCTGCTGCTGCCGCCCCACCTGCGTATGGAGGTCGCACTATCCGTGTGCTGATGGTGACGTCAGCAGCCAACGTGGCTGACATCAGCAACTCTAGGATCAACGAAGGCTTGCACCACAACTATCCGGTGGAGAAGTGGTTGATAGAGGTGAGGAGTGGTTGAGAGGAATGGGGGGTTGATTGATAGAGGTGAGGGGTGGTTGAGAGGAATGGGGGGTTGATTGATAGAGGTGAGGGGCGGTTGAGAGGAATGGGGGGTTGATTGATAGAGGTGAGGGGCGGTTGAGAGGAATGGGGGGTTGATTGATAGAGGTGAGGGGCGGTTGAGAGGGATGGGGGGTTGATCGATAGAGTTGCGGGGTGGTTGAGAGGAAAGGGGGAATGGGAGCCATTGAGCGATGGACGGTTGTGTTCTGAAGCGAAGCAGGTTTAGATTCCAGATATTAAAGCGCTTCAAGAGAACTCCTTCCTTCCCAACTCCCCCATCCCATGTCCCTCTCCAGATCTACGCGTCCAACGCAGCAGCCGTCGAGGGGTGGACGGTGGTGTTCAAAGCGGCGGAGGTTGAGGATTCAGATTTTAAAGCGCCTCAGAAGCACTCAAACTTCCAAACCCCGCTCCTTCCTTCCCACCTCCTCCTTCCCATTTTTCTCTCCAGATCTATTACGTCCAACACAGCCGCCATCAAGGGATGGACGGTGGTGTTCCAAAGCGACGCAGGTTGAGGGTCTAGATACTAAAGCGCCTCAGAAGCACTCAAAACATCACATCCCCCGCTTCCTTCCCACCTCCCCCATCCCATTTCCCTTTCCAGATCTACGCGTCCAACGCAGCAGCCATCGAGGGGTGGAAGGTGGTGTTCCGGAACGACAACGAAGAGGCTCTAGGGGTTTGGGGGGATGCTTCTGCTACTGCTGCCCCTCATGGTGATGCTGCTGCTGCTCCCCCCAAACCCCCTCCCCTCCTTTACCCAGATCTATGCATCTAACGCAGCAGCCATCGAAGGGTGGAAGGTGGTGTTCCGGAACGACAACGAGGAGGCTCTAGGGGTTCGGGGGGATGCCCCTGAGATTCCCCGTGCTACTGCTACTGCTGCTGATGGTGCTGCTGGTGATGCTGGTGCTGCTAATGGTGCTGCTGATGGTGGTAGTGATGGTGCTGCTGCTGGTGACAACAGCGAGTGGGGCAACAGTGTCTTCTGTCTGATCTTGCCTGGTCGCGCCCAGTGGTCCTTCCAGCTCGCCAAGGTGAGATCCCTCCTCACTCTCCTTCCTCACTCTCCCTCCTCACTCTCCCACCTCACTCTCCCACCTCACTCTCCTATTTCATTCTCCCACCTCACTCTCCCACCTCACTCTCCTATTTCATTCTCCCACCTCACTCTCCCACTTCAGGGCGTATTCCTGGCTTCATGTCAATTTGGGTTGGTGTCAACCTAGACACTTGGAACTCATGCAATTGGTCCAAAAATCATAACGGGCCAACCACGTGCGTTCCAAATAGGTTGACACCAACTCATTCTCGACACAAAGCCAGAATACGCCCTCACTCTCCAACCTCAATCCTCTTAGGCCGCATTCCTGTACCATTCCTCTGCGCCAATGACAACTCGGGGTTTGTGCCAAGGCTGCAGCACAACCTCTCCCAATTCCAACCCCCTCACTTTCCCCCCAACCCCCCTCCCCCCTCTTCCACCAGTCAATCCTCTCAGGCTGCATCCCAGTGACATTCCTCCGTGCCAACGACAACCCCTGTGCCCACAGTACCACCACGCAGCATCGTCCTCAGCCGCCCCCTCGGCCCTCAACTACCCAATGATCTCTCTCAACATCGACTCGGCAGCTGTCGACTCGCTGCCCCGGCGCCAGCAGCATAACCTCTCCCTCTGCTCCCTACCCCGCTTCCACTCCCTCCCCGCCACCAACCCCCATCAGGCAATCCTATCAGGCTGCATCCCAGTGACATCCTCCGTGCCAACAACAACCCCTGGGCTCGCTCCGAGGCTGCCGCACAACTTCTCCCTCTCCTTCCCGCTCCCTCCCCACCACCCCCCATCAGGCAATCCTCTCAGGCTGCATCCCAGTGACGTTCCTCCGAGCCAACGACAACCCCTGGGCTGCATCCCTCTACCACCATTCTGCCACCGCCTCCTCACCCTCGGCCCTCAACTACCCGGTCTTCTCTCTCAACATCGACCCGGCAGCTGTCGACTCGCTGCCCCGCCGCCTGCAGGAGGCGTTTGATCAACCAGGGCTGGTGGCCAGGCTGCAGCACAACCTGGGGCTCGTGCAGGTGAGAGTGGCTTGGGCATGTGGGGCTGGGACATGTAAGGCAGACTCTAACTTGCAGGCTGCAGGAGGTGTTTGATCAGCCGGGGCTGGTGGAAAGGCTGCAGCACAACCTGGGGCTCGTGCAGGTGGGGACAGGGAGAGGTGGGACTGAGGCAGGTGGGACCGTTAACCAATTGAGCCGGCTAGAGAGTCACGAGTCTGCTGTTTGACAGCCAGGGCTGGTTTGGAGCGGCTGCAGCACCACCTGGGGCTTGTGCAGGCGGGTACTGACTGGGGCAGGTGGGACTGGGGGGACCCTCAAGTGGAATTGACTCCCCTGATTGGTTTTTTTAGGCGCCTCGATATTCGTCCCATGACTCGTCGTGGGTTCTATCTATTCAGTGGGACTGGGGATGCTCAAGTGGAATGACTCCGCTTTATGAAGGTTCACATGATGTTCTGTTCACTCCTCTCCACATACACTCACTCCCCACGCCCCACTCCCTTCTCCCCACTATCCATTCCCCTGTCCTCTGCTCCTGCTTCGGAAAATGTTACAGGTGGCATGACTCCCTGAACCAGGGTGCAGGGGCGGTTGTCATGAGCAGGCTGAGGAGGATTGGAGCAGCAGCAGCAGCAGCGGCACTATTTTAGCTCACCACTCACCACTCCTCATTCCCCTCCCCTCATGCTCATGCAACAGGACATGTTCAAGTGGCATGACTCCCTGAACCAGGGGCCAGGTGCGGTGTTCATGAGCAAACTGGGGAGGATTGGAGCAGCATCGCAAACCGCAGCTCACCGCTCTCCACTCCTTACTCCCCACTCCCCTCCCCACGTGCTCGTGCCACAGGACATGTTCAAGTGGCATGACTCCCTGGACCAGGGGGCAGGGGCTGTGCTGATGAGCAGGCTGAGGAGGATAGGAGCAGCAGCAGCGGCGCAATCAAGGCAGCTGGAAGAGCCGATCTTGCTGCCTCTGGCGTCTATTTACACAGAGATCAAAGAAGCGTAGATGAAGGAAGAATGCATCGTGCCTTCCCATCCACTCCCCACATACTCCCCACTCCCCACTCCCCTCCCCTCCTGCTGATGCCACAGGACATGTTTAAATGGCATGATTCCCTGGACCAGGGGGCAGGGGCTGTGCTGATGAGCAGGCTGAGGAGGATTGGAGCAGCAGCGGCGGCGCAATCACAGCAGCTGGAAGAGCCGATCTTGCTGCCTTTGGAGCCCAGCAAAAAGAAAGGATCCAAAGAACGTATATGAGTATGAGGATAGCATACCGTCATCGCCCGGATATAAGACATATATGTCTTATCTCGTACACGGGCAAAAATGCTTGAGTTATCTTGTAAACGGGATGGTTTAGGGTGTCTTATAAGTCTTATAAATGGAAACTTTTTAAACTACTTAGAAATATTTTCCGTACTTCTTGAAAAAGAGTTCCTCATAATTTGTGTGGATGTTGCGAAGGTGCCACTTCGGCAACCACTGCCCGGGACGCCACGTCATGGAGAACACATGGAGAGGCAAATTTGGTAGGTCCTGGGTCAGCGCGTGGAAGAATTCGCGCTTCGCAAGGGTAAAAATGTACGCGTTATTTCAACTTTCGCTATAATATATTGAAGTTTCGATTATAAGACATATATGTCTTATCTCGTACACACAAATAGGTGTCTTATAATGAGGCTAGCCTGTTTATAAGAGACACCCGTATAGTAGACAACCCCTGTCTACTATTCAACACTGTCTTATATCCGGGCGTTTACGGTAACATACCGTATTTACCGTACTGTACCTGCCTAAAAGCGAAAGATCTTGCTGCCTTTGGAGCCCAGCAAAAAGAAAGGATCCAAAGAACGTATATGAGTATGAGGATAGCATAACATATTTACCGTACTGTACCTGCCTAAAAGCGTAAGATCTTGCTGCCTTCGGAGCCCAGCAAAAAGAAAGGATCCAAAGAACGTATATGAGTATGAGGATAGCATAACATATTTACTGTACTGTACCTGCCTAAAAGCGTAAGATCTTGCTGCCTTTGGAGCCCAGCAAAAAGAAAGGATCCAAAGAACGTATATGAGTATGAGGGTAGCATAACATATTTACCGTACTGTACCTGCCTAAAAGCGTTAGATCTTGCTGCCTTTGGAGCCCAGCAAAAAGAAAGGATCCAAAGAACGTATATGAGTATGAGGATAGCATAACATATTTACCGTACTGTACCTGCCTAAAAGCGTAAGATCTTGCTGCCTTCGGAGCCCAGCAAAAAGAAAGTATCCAAAGAACGTATATGAGTATGAGGATAGCATAACATATTTACCGTACTGTACCTGCCTAAAAGCGAAAGATCTTGCTGCCTTCGGAGCCCAGCAAAAAGAAAGGATCCAGGCAGGACATGCGAAGATCTCAAACGACGGGGCGGCGACGCTTTTTGGGTCGACTCAACATTCCGAAAGCCTCATCGGAATTCGGTCGTCGGAGCGGTTTTGCCAGTGTCGACGGGAGGGGTCGTCGGAGCCGGGTCTGACGAGGCGGGCGACTGACGCGCGTGCGGGCCCGCCAGCCTGGCCCAGGGCTGGGCCGAGCGCGCGCCCGCCGCCCCGCGGGTTCGCTCCGAAAGTGAACAGCGACCCACGTTACCGGGTGGGGTCGGCGAACTGGCGACGCCTCGCGCGAGGGTCGCGCCCTGCCCGGACGGGCAGACGAGGGCCATGCGAAAATTGGGGGCCCCCTCGGGACACTCGACATTTTCGCGACCTGTCGCAGTGACGCCACGTGTTCGCCCGTGACTTCGCATCGGGCGCATGCGAAATTTCGGACGCTGCGAAATCAAAACCTCTAGCATCGCGATCCGCTACGAATTCGACACGTGTCGGCCGTAGCGTCGCTCCGCGCGCATGCGAACTGTGCGTCCCCTCGCCGACCTGTGCCAACGGACGCGAAGTCGACGCTCTGCCAAGGCGGAGACGGGCCACCTGTGCCACTTGCGCGTGCGCCCTCCGAGCCCTGCCGAGCCAGGCCCCACACCCTTGGGCGATGCTGAACGGGCCTGGGGTGGGGCACCACCTTCTTTTCTTGGTGGAAGGTGGCTTCGCTCCTCATTTTCCGCATCTCGTTTCGATTTTCATACCTTGATAGCTCTGCGCCTCCCTTCTCTCCTACCTTAGCCATCCGCGTCTTCGCTTAGTCGATAGATATGGAGCAGAGCCCCGACGCCGATAAGTCGGCGCTGACGTCGGCTGACTTTCCCCTTCGTGTGCGAATGGGTCGCGGCCTGAGCTTCACCTTAGAGTGGAACGACTACGCCGTCCTTCGCGACCAAAAGAAAGAGTTCACCGAGAGATGCTTTGGACTCGCCATCAGGTGAGACTCAGGTAGTCGCGTTGGTCGAATAGCGCATACGGAAAATGTCGGCGCCGACTAACTCTAGATGAGCGCATAGGGAAAATGTCGGCGCCTTAGGGGGTCGCATATTCGCCGATTATCATCAGACTTGCGTCGGCGTGCGAGGCAGTATGCCGCTTCCCCGTCCAGGGTCGTCGGTCGACATAGCAAGCGTCGACCACGTACAGTCCGCTTTTGCTCACCAGCCATGTTATCATCCCCTCATGCTCACTTGTGCGCTCAGGTTCGCTTGGTTTCGCATTGGGCGGGATGACCAGCGGTTGTGGGTAATAGGAGTCGGCCCGCTTCGATCGGCCATGAAGGCCGCCGACCATTCTTGCTTTGCTAAGGCTTTCGACGCCGACATCGCCGCTATCCCGTTAAAATCGACGTGAGCTCTTTCCCCGTTGTCCAGTTATCGTTTTTTGTAGTCGGTCGCATCATCGCCTAATGCTGTGGTCGACGCCGTCGTGTATTGCATGTGCAGCGGCGGCCCGCTTCCAGGGTCACACTGCAGCGTCATAGCCATCCTCTACCCAGGAGATCTGCTGAAGGCTGAGGGACAGGTCTGCAGGACCAAGATCCGGCACATCGACCCGCATACCGGAAAAGGGAAGCACCGCGACGAGGCCGTCCGCGTCCTGAAGTAAGTTGTGAATAGTCGTCGCTGTCCCGATTGTTAGTCGCCGACACGGGGAATCTCATGCTGACCTCCTCATGTTCACCACGATGCACGCAGGCTATTCCGAACGGCTGTCCTGGCCGAGCTGGGGCGTCCCGGTAGGAAGTGGGACGGGGCGCCGCCATCACAAGCAGTGGTGGAGGAAAGGCTTGCCGACTGCGACGACCCTATCCGCGACGTGAGTTGCACGTTTAGGCTCCGCTACGGTCTGCGCGTATCTGTATGCACCGCTCATATTGTTCCGCGCTTGCCGGTGTTGTAACCAGAAAGTGCCGGGCACAGTGTCGGACGGGCATGTCGGCACCGGCATGCTTGCCGCGACGTCGTTCGGGTGGGTGGCCAAGCAGATCGACCTGCTGACGGGCGACAAGGCTCGAAGTGCGGTGAGCATCGAGAACATCAAGGCAAAGGGTTTGAAGTCGCTCCGTGATAGCATGGTCGAGTACATCTGCAATCGCGTCGCCGAAAAAAGATCAGCGGCGCCGACTTCAGGAGCCGGCGGACCCGCCGACGGTGCGATTGATGACGACGGCGCGGAAATTCGGACGGCGCCCCAATCAGCAGCTGCCGCCCAGCACCAGGTGGACTTGCCGGTGTCCGGAGGGGGCGACGCCGCGTCAGGTGCAGGAGGAGGAGGAGGCGACGCCGCGGCAGGGCGTGGAAGGAAGGAAGAGGATTCGGAGTCGTCGGACTCGGACTCAGAGACGGAGTCGGAGGGGGAGGAGGAGGACGATGTCAGAATGTTACTTGTCTAGCCTGCAGTGGGGTACTCAACAGTGAGTACAACCCTTTAGGGTTTCCTACTTGTATCCCAACTCTTGCTAGTTCAACCACCTCATTCTCACCATTCTCCTTCGCATACCCAAAACCCTAGTCCTAGGGCACATCCTACTACCTCTTAGTGTGGGCCTAGGCTACTAAGCCTAGGCCCCACTCCTAGTATTCATGACATGGTATCTAGAGCCAGTACGTTCCTGCCGCTTACCTCCATGGGCCCACCACCTGCTTCCGCTGCCGTACTGTCCGCCGCGCGCCCCGTGGTGCGCGGCGGCGAAACCCTAATTTTTCATCCCGCCGCGCGCTCGGAGCGTGCGGCGGTTTTCTGCCCGCCGTGCGCCCCGAGGCGCGCGGCGGTTTTCTGCCCGCCGTGCGCCCCGAGGCGCGCGGCGGCTTTCTGCCCCGTCACTCCGCGAGTCGCCCCCGGGAGGAGCTGCGACGGGCGACGGGGACCCGCGCGTCGCCCCCCGTCGCCCGTCGTGGCCCGTGCGACCTCCGTAGGGCCCGCGCGCGGCCCGTCTAGCCTGCGCACGGCCCGTACGGGCTGCGCCAGGCCCGCGCGCGGCCCGTACGGACTGCGCCAGGCCAGGGCGCGCCTCGAGCCGCCCGCCACTGCAGCAGCAGCCCCTGGAGCCGCCCGCCACTGCAGCAGCAGCCCCTGGAGCCGCCCGCAACTGCAGCAGCAGCCCCTGGAGCCGCCAGCACCTGCAGCAGCAGCCCCTGGAGCCGCCAGCACCTGCAGCAGCAGCCCCTGGAGCCGCCCGCAACTGCTGCAGCAGCCCCTGGAGCCGCCCGCCACTGCAGCAGCCGCCCCTGGAGTCGCCCGCCACAGCAGCAGCCGCCCCTGGAGCAGCCGCCCCTGCAGCAGCCGCCCCTGGAGCCGCCCGCCACTGCAGCAGCCGCCCCTGGAGTCGCCCGCCACAGCAGCAGCCGCCCCTGGAGCAGCCGCCCCTGCAGCAGCCGCCCCTGGAGCCGCCAGCAACTGCAGCAGCCGCCCCTGGAGCAGCCGCCCCTGCAGCAGCCGCCCCTGGACCTCAGAAGCCGCCCCTGGACCCGGTACGCTCTGCTGCTGCCCGATGCTGCCCGTGCCTGTGCTGCCCGTGCCTTGTCCCTCGAGCCTACTACCTACCTACCTGTGCCTGTGCCTGTGCCTGTGCCTGTGCCTCTGCCTGTGCCTGTGCCTGTGCCTGTGCCTGCTCGTGCCTTGTGCCTCGAGCCTACTACCTACCTGCCTGTGCCTGTGCCTGTGCCTCTGCCTGTGCCTGTGCCTGTGCCTGCTCGTGCCTTGTGCCTCGAGCCTACTACCTACCTGCCTGTGCCTGTGCCTGTGCCTGTGCCTCTGCCTGTGCCTGTGCCTGTGCCTGCTCGTGCCTTGTGCCTCGAGCCTACTACCTACCTACCTGTGCCTGTGCCTGTGCCTGTGCCTCTGCCTGTGCCTGTGCCTGTGCCTGCTCGTGCCTTGTGCCTCGAGCCTACTACCTACCTGCCTGTGCCTGTGCCTGTGCCTCTGCCTGTGCCTGTGCCTGTGCCTGTGCCTGCTCGTGCCTTGTGCCTCGAGCCTCGTGCCTACCTACCTACCTGCCTATGCCTGTGCCTGTGCCTGTGCCTCTGCCTGTGCCTGTGCCTGTGCCTGTGCCTCGTGCCGTGTGCCTCGTGCCTCGTGCCCGCGCCCTCGTGCGCTCTGCTACTGTCTGCGCCCTCGTGCGCACTGTTCTGCTCTGCCCCCCCCCCCTCCCCCCCCACACCACAAGGGGTGCCGAGGTTGACCCGAGGCTGCCGTCTTGTCGTCCGCAGCACCTGTAGTCCGGGGCTCTGTCTCGGTAGTGCAGAGTGAGTGCTACACCAGTCGCCCGTGGGTCCGATGCTCCTGCCGCAGCTGCAGAGCCTGTTACTCCTGTATTCCGGGGTGCTTACCTCGGTAGCCACTGAGAGCTTGTGCTGCACCAGTTATCTGAGTCAGCCGCCATGTGACTGCAGCTCCAAACGACGTCTCCTATCTTCTCTCCCCTCACAGTCTCTCCTCCTCCTCACTTGCCCGTTGTGACTACCACTAGCTTTGCTCATAGTTGTGAACTTTAAACTGTTGCTTCTTGAACTTGTGCTCAGAATGTGTGGTGACATTGTGATCCACCCTGAGCTTGTTCTACTTTGCTTGCTCTGCTGATTGCACCCCACTTTGGCTATGGGGGTGTGTCAGAATGTTACTTGTCTAGCCTGCAGTGGGGTACTCAACAGTGAGTACAACCCTTTAGGGTTTCCTACTTGTATCCCAACTCTTGCTAGTTCAACCACCTCATTCTCACCATTCTCCTTCGCATACCCAAAACCCTAGTCCTAGGGCACATCCTACTACCTCTTAGTGTGGGCCTAGGCTACTAAGCCTAGGCCCCACTCCTAGTATTCATGACAGACGAGGCAGCGAAAGAGGAGGAGGAGGGGAAGGACGAGAACGATGAAGAGGTGGAGGTGGCGGAAGGGAAGGATGAGGCGGAGAACGACGAGGCCGATGAGGGGGTGGAGGCCGAGGTGCAGTACGAGCTGGAGTACGCAGACGGTACGGTCGTGGCGGTGGGTTCGGCGGATGAAAATAATGAGGAAGCGGAGGATGGCGATGCGGGTAATGCTACGACGTCGGCAGATGGGGGGAAGGAAGAGGTCGGCGTGGAGGCAACGAAGGAAGAGGGCCAGGAGCAAGCGGCCAGCGAAGGTGGGAAGGTGTCGGTCGACGCAGGTGAAGCGGCGAACAACACAGGCATGCAGGAGACGGAGGAAGCATCTGGTCGGCAGGGCCCTGAACAGGTCGACGTCGAGGAACTGCGACGGGAGAACCTGATGTTGAGGGCGGAGAACGCTCGGCTGGCGGCGTTGCTCGGTGAGGAGCAGGCTCGGCCGGACAGGTTCTTTGCTGGGTTACGAGGACTCGTCGACCACCTGAAGGAGTTGGCCGTTCAGGTCGAGGACACCGACAAGTTTGCGGCGCAACAGCTGCTAAACGCGACGGAGGACTTGTCGAAAACCATCACGGGCAACATCACCGGCAGCTTCGACGAAGCGTGGAAGACGATGAAGACATTCGCGGAACAGGCGTCGGCGTGGTTGGAGGACTTCGACAATCCGGAGGGTCGTGTGGCATGTGCACGCGCGTTAGTGGTCGACGCCCTGGCCGATCACGTGAATGGGGTGGTGGGCGAGGCGCGGCGGGCTTTGGAGCTGTACATCACGACGCAACTATCCGCCGCGCAGGTCAACATCGCCACCGCTGTGACCTCCAGGCTCCCCGTGCAGCCGCCGCCACCGCCTCAGCCCACGCCGCCCGCCCTCCCGGAAGAGCTCTTGAAGTCGTTCAAGGCCGACATCATGAAGACGGTGACGGAGGCCACCTAACAGTCGTTCGTTGCTTCCGGGATGAAGATGCTGACCGAGACGATCGGCACAGTGGCTCCTGGTCGACGCGGGTCGTCGCCGTCGGCCAATGACGCCGAGCAAGCACAAAGGAGAGCGGTCAAGCAGGTCCATAAGAGGACGGGCGACGGTGACGACAAGGAGAGCTCGAAGCGGAGCAAGGGATCGGACGGGAGCTGCGGCTCGAAGCCTCCTGCACAGAGCGTGGTCGACCAGCTGAAGGAGAAGGCCGGGTGGACGGTGTAAAGGACGTCGAACAGCAAGGGAGGCGGAAGCGGGGGGGCAGCGGGTGGGCCTGCCGACGGGGTCGCCGCTAACGTCGCTGGATCGCCTGGCCCGCCTTTGGTCGCCGAGCAGACCCATCTTCAGGCGGCCGGTGAGAAAGGCGTGAGCGACAAGGAGGTCCCTTCTGCTCAGGCGGCCGAAGATGGCGGCGCAGGAACCACCAAGGGACCGAGCGTCGCGGTGGCGGCAGAGGGCAACGCGAAGGCCGCTTCTGCTACGGTCGCCGGAACCTCCAAGCCGAAGGCCGCTTCTGCTACGGTCGCCGGAACCTCCAAGCTGAAGGCCGCTTCTGCTACGATCGCCGGAACCTCCAAGTCGAAGGCTGCTTCTGCTACGGTCGCCGGAACCACCAACCCGATTCCCCGTAACCCCCCTGCGGCTACCGCCGCCCCTGCCGGCCAGTCGGGTGCGAACAATGATGGGGAGGCCCGTGCGGCCCCGCCAGCTCCAGCAGCCCCGTCTGTCGCCAAGGGCGACGCGAAGGCTGCTTCGCTAAGGGCGATGCTCCGGCATCGGCCAAGGGGCCCCCCGGTGGGAACGCGCTCAGGCAGTTGCTCCACGCCATGGAATCACATCGCAGGGACGTGCAGCAGCATCCAGTGGTCGACGCCGGCCTCTCCGAAACAGCAAGTCGCACCGTCACTCCGAAGGTTGTCGGCACACCGTTAGGTGCCCCACCTGCCGCGCCTACGGTCGCCGCCCAACCGAATGCGGACCCCAAGTCCGCGTTTCTTCGCGCCCATTTAGGCGCACGCAAAGCGGCAGCTCCACCTCGTCCGGAACCCGGCAAAAGCGCGACGCCGACGGCGGTCAACGCGACCGATCCCACGCCAAGTGCATCTGTGGTCGACGTGGTGGCGGAGAAGGGGGTGAGTGCAGCGCTAGCCACCGGCGGCCGAGAAGACAAGCATGCCGGCCTCGCCGCCGTTCTGGCCCATTTTGAAGCAGCAAGACGCCCCGAGCACGCCCCTGCACTGGCCATCATGGATACGGCGCATGCGGCGCCGTCGGGGATCCACGGAGGGGGTTTGGCGGAGCCGACGGCTGCAACGGGTGCTGTCGCCGATGGAAATGCGGGACGGAAGGGAAAGGACGACACCGGGAAAGGGAAGGCAGTGTCTCAGAGGAGCACGCGGGCGATGTCGGCGGGGAAGGAGAAGCCGGCACGGAATAAGGACAAGACGGGGGGCAAGGGTAAGCCGGCGAAGAAGAAGGCGAAGGCGGAGGAGGAGAAGGAGGAGGAGGAGGCGGAGGAGGAGGAGGAGGAGGAGGAGTCGGAGGAGGAGGAGGAAGAGCATGGACGCCGGGGTCATGGCATCCGCCGAGACAGGTCTGGCGACGGGCAGGGGTGGGTGGGCGAGATGAAGTTTTAAGGCCCAGAATCGGTACATCGGCAAGTCTTGCGACAAGATGGAGCTGGCCTACGAGCACGCGATTGCGTACTTCGTCTACGACGGCTACGTGAGCAAGGTGCTCATGAAGGAGCTCACCGCCTTGAAGCCGGGAGAGTTGGATGAATGGAAGGCGGTGTGGGAGGAGGTCAAAATCCTGCCGACCGGGATGTGGACGGTGATGTGGGCCAGAGGCTTGTGCCATCCGAGAGCAAGGTAAGACGGGTACCGACGTGCCGTGTTTTGTCTACCAAGTCGGTGTCACTAACCCTCTGTGTATGTGTTTGCGCGGCAGGTTCGACGACATACTCGGCAGGTTCCGTGGGTACGCAGGTTCGGGTGATGCGCTTCATGGCGTGCTCTGGCCGGCGATGTGGTTCCCCATCATCGAGGACACGGAGGAAGGCAGGGCGGAGACCAACGCCAACTTGCCGGCGATGGTTAATCGCGTGTCGATGTGCGCGGCGTATGGAAAGGTCGCGGCGAGAGTCGCGTTTGAGAAGGTCGATGCGAGCGCGGAGGGGAACGCGGGAGAGAAGACGGAGATGGAAGGCGCGGAGGGGAAGGCGGACGAGAAGGAGGAGATGGGGGCCCAGGCGTTAGCGGCATCTGCATGCGCCCTCTGGTGCTTTATGTCGACGCCAGCGTCGGTGCTCGGTGCTGTGGGCGAAGGGAAGGCGGCCGCGATGGTGGCAGGTGCGGGGAAGGAGAGGGGCGAGCACTTCGCGAAGGTCATTCACGCGGTTATCGACTTCGCACGCAATCGGCAGGCACCCGCGGGGGAGGTTGCACATAACGTCGCGCCAGAGCTGCAGCGCTATGGAGTGGCCAGGGCCTTCGAGGCGGGAATTGAGGAAGTCGAGGCCGACATGATCGCAAGAGCGACGGTCGAGACCTTGGCGTTCTGGGGAATGTGCCCCCTCGACGGGCCCAAGCTCAAAGCGGAGGGCATCGATGTGCCGTGTGACGCGAAGATGGAGTACGATCTGGAGCACATGGGGAGGAAGGGGGAGAAGGTCAAGCAGGCCAAGGGCAGCAAGAGGAAGAGGGTTAAGGCGGGGAAGCAGGCGAAGGACAGTACGGATGCGTAGTCGGCGGACGGATGTGTGTTTGCTAGGTTGCTAGGGTGTGTGCTATGTTGGTATGGCCGGCGCCGATTTCGGCGTAGTTTTGATAACTTTTTTTTTTCGTAACAAGTCGGTGTAGTTTTGATAACTGTTTTTTTTTTTTTTCTTAACAATTTCGGCGTAGTTTTGATAACTGTTTCGGCTACAGTTTTGGTCGCTTCACATGAAAAAGTCGGTGTCCTTGTAGAAACATTCTGGCCGAATATCACCTGATGTCGACATGATATGCACATGCTAGTCAGCGAAGAACAGCATAGAAACATGGTTCTAGCGACATCGAGTTTAGCGACAATGGGCGACTGACAACATTCACCTACAAGTAGGGTTCGCAACGACCTTGATGTGGGTTGTTTACAAACTACCAAAAACAGTAGTCGAAGGGGGAGGTGGGGGGAGGGGGGGATGTTTAAGTCTCCCAAGATCAACAGCATCAAACTACGCTAACGCATATCCTAGGAGGGACTTCAAGCCGACTTCTTGCGCTTAGTCGGCGGACGCTGCGCGGGTGCGGTCGGCTTCGCCGGTGCTGTCGACTTTGCAGGTGCAGTCGGCTTCGCCAGGTCGGCTTTGGTCTTCGGCATCTGCTCCTCCGAAGTGTCTGGAAACAGGGCTTCGAGCCAATCACTTGGCTTCAGATTGAGCGCGACAAGCCCACAGGCGAGGCACAGCTTAGACACCTTGGGGCCCAGCCCCTTGACTCCCATGCCAGGCTGTTTGGCCTTCATTGTCAAGAGAATTAGGCAAAAGAGAGGACTGAACTAGCAAGAATGGGGATACAAATAGCAAACCCTAGAAGGGTTGTACTCGCTACAGAGCACCCCACTACAGGCTAGAGCATAATATTCTGACACACCCCCATAGCCAAAGTGGGGTATAATCAGCAGAGGAAACAAAGCAGTACAAGCTCAGGGTGGATCACGATGTCACCACACATTCTGAGCACAAGCAAGAAGCAATAGTTTAAGGTTCACAATTATGAGCAAAGCTAGAGGCAGTCACAGGGGGCAAGTGAGGAGGAGGAGGGCTGGCGAGAGGAGAGTAGATGGGAGGCAACGACTGAAGCTGCAGACACACGGGCAACAGACGGCTCTGGTGCGACAACGTGGCTACCGGGAATGAGTGCCCCGGAGTACAGGAGTAACAGGCTCCGCGGCTAATATGCACGGCAGGAGCAACGGACCCACAGGCGACGGCGCAACCGGCTCTCTGAGCTACCGGTGGCTAATCGACCCCCGGAATACAGGCGCTGCGGACGACACGACGGCGACCTCCGCTCAACCTCCTCCAACTGTCCCACACCCCTCGACACACACCCCCTGCTGAACCCCTAGCTCCACTCCCACGGCACCCCCCTTTAAACCCTAACCCTCGGCTCCCACACATCCACCCCCCTCAGCGGCAGCTGCAGCAGTGGGAGACGGAGGAGGAGGAGCAGGGGACGGCGCACACACACGGCACCCCCATAGCTGCCACCCCCACACTCCTCACCCCCAAACCCTAAAAACGGGCGGAACGGGGGAAGGAGCGCGGGGGACGGCGAGGGGGACGGCGCGCGGCCCCCAGGACGCCACCACGGGGCAGCGAGGGGCCGCGCGCGGCTCCCCAGGGCGGCGCGACGGGAAATCGGGGGGGGGGGGGGGGGGGGGGGGGGGGGGGCCGCGGGCGACGGGATCGGGGGGCCGCGGGCGACGGGATCGCGGGGCCGCGGGCGACGGGATCGGGGGGCCGCGGGCGACGGGATCGGGGGGCCGCGGGCGACGGGATCGGGGGGCCGCGGGCGACGGGAAAGCGGGGCCGCGGGCGACGGGATCGGGGGGACGCGGGCATCCCCCACGGGAGGAAACCGCCGCGCGCCTCGGGGCGCACGGCAGGAAGGAGGCGTCGCGCGACCAGTAGAACAGCAGCGGAAGCATTTGGTGGTGGGCCCACCCACAGGATCGACCCAACAGGATCGTCAAGAGAATTAGGCAAAAGAGAGGACTGAACTAGCAAGAATGGGGATACAAATAGCAAACCCTAGAAGGGTTGTACTCGCTACAGAGCACCCCACTACAGGCTAGAGCATAATATTCTGACATTCATCGGCGCCGTACCCGGTTTGAGCACCGTGAGGGCGTCGCAGAAGGTGCCGCGATCCTGTGCAACGCATCGACCACGGCCTCGGTGTCGGCATCGCCGTCGCTCGCGCGTAGCTGGCGCACCGCATCCATGGCCCTCATCATGCGGCGCACCTGCATGTCGAGTGCACCCCGCGTCGTGCCCTTTCCTGTGAGGAGGGTGTGGCGGGCGACGAATCCCGGCTCGGCGACCCTGTCGCAAAGACGACGGGTGTCGTTGGCGGTGGCGGAGTTCCATAGGCGCCAAGCGTCCCTCACAGTCTTTGCCTCCCGCCACGGTTGCACCACGTTGAGCTCGTAACTAGCCTCCTCGTCCGTCTGTGTTGGTGGCGGGGGTTTATCGTTCCGTCTGTTGGCTCCGGCACCCGTGTTGGCCGAATCCGCCAAGCCACCATCGCTGGGAGCCTGCGCAGGAGCCGACGGCGGGGCCTCCGGCACTCTCCGTGCCTCCGACAAGCGGAGTGCCTCGGTGAGACGGGTTATCTCGGCGGTGAGTCCCGCGATGGTGTCGTCGCGCTTCTCGAGCTCCTCCAGGAGATCAATCTTCTCGTTCGTGGCGCGCTCCCTTTCCAACTGCATCTGGGCCTTGAGGGACATGTTGTAGTACTCGGTGTCCATGCGGACCGAGATTTCCTGCAGCGGTAGGAGAAAGACGTTAGGGCCGCTGTGGTTTGGTATACACTCCATACTGCCCGTCGGCGAAAGCATCGTCGACTTACCTCTGGCTGAATTTGGGTCGGGTCGCGACGCTTGTTGATCGTCTCGGTGTCGACGCTCTCCACCCGTTTCGCCCAGTGCTGGAAGAGGGGGATCCGGCAGAGCTTGGAACCTTGGACGTACGGGTGCCATGGTGTGCGGACCAGCTCCACCTCTAGGTCCTCGGCGACGATGCAGCGCAGCATCAGGATAGTGCGCCAGAAGTGCACCGCGGCTTTGTCGGCGTCGGACCCCTCGGCAGCCTTCCCTTCCGCCTGCAAATTGTCACGGGTAAGGGTAGTTCAGACTAGGTCGGCAATTACGACTCGACGACAAGGCTACGAGGGCTTCCGACTAACAAACCTTCTTCAACATGTCGTCGACGCCGGGGAATATGTGCTCGGCGAGGAGCTTTAGTAGCTTATCGGAGGGCGGCACCCTGCTCCGACCCAAGAAGTAGTCCTGCTTGTAGCCAGAGTAACCGGCCTTCTTCATCACCACCCCCACCGGAATGGCGGTGATGTACGCTCGCGTCATCTTGTCGAGAGCCCAGTGACCCAGCTCCGCGATCTCGGCGCGCGGCGTGCCGTCGATAGCCAGCTCCTGGGCCCCTCCCGCTCGAGCGGCGTGCACGTTCCTCTTGCAGAACACCCCGTTCTTGTCCCACAACTGCCGAGTCCATCGTTGGTGGCTTGCCGCCGAGAGCTCTCCTTGGTCGGTGTCGTTTTTGGCGAAGAACAGGTGCTTCTTGTACCAGCTAGCGCGTGTGCTGGTGTCGACCGGCGGAATGAGGCGGACGCCGTGAAACTGGCCGATCTGGTCGAGGATGAAGTGCAACCACAGGCCCGTCTCGCCGACGGCGCACAACTCCGCTTCGAGGTGCCGCGCCGCGTAGCTCTGCTGCAGACGAGCATCCTTGGACGTCTTCGAGTTCCGCGCAGCGATGACCATGACGACCGGCTGGTTCTCCGGGTTCACCGACGAGGTGCTCGCCAGTCGGTACAAGAAGATGTCGGGGAGGGTTATCTCGCGGATGCTTGCACCGCGCAGGAGAGAGTGGTGGGAGAGTAGCGTGAGCACCTTCAAGAGAAGAAACCTCCACAGCGTCTGCGAAGGACCCGTACCCCGCGGGTTCCACGCCTTGGCCGCCCACGCCGGCAGCACCCTGAACATGATCTGGCGGAACTGTTCGGCGGTGTAGGTATCGCCGATGGTTCAGCGACGCCGATTGGTGCAGTTCCTGGCAACAATGCCATGGGTAAGGTGCATTTAGGGCGGAGTCGACATGAATCATGGTCGACAGAGGTTCAACAATAACGTACCTGATGTCCCGCTCGTTCTTGGTGCGGATCATGTACCGCACCTCCGACCTGACCACCGATATCTCCCGCATGATGCTCAGCTCCGTCTCCCGGTAGAGCGTCGCCTCCACTCTCGCCGCCATCTGGCATGCCTTTATGCGCCCGAGGAGCGTGTGTACCGTTGTCGACTGCACCGGCTGTGTTCCTGTGGCGTTGTCGGCCCCCTTGCCGGACTCGGCATCGAGGTTCAACTCCCGAATCATGTACTTCACGTATGCGCGAAGCCGGCTCACGGTGACCCTAGGGCCGTGCAGCCACACGTACGCCCGGGGGACATCGGCCTCCTGGTCCCAGTTTTTCATCTTGTTCTCCCGGATGTAGTGCCCTATCTCGTCGACGTGCTTAAGCCTGTACTCCTGCGGAAGCTTGTTGCGAATTCCCTTCAACATCTTCGCCGCCCACCGCTTGTAGTGATAGATCCACGAGGTGTACTGCCGCAGTGTGCTGTTCCTCTCCACGGTTTGCAGGTGGTGTAGAGCGTCCATGACGAGAACGTCGATGCACGCGTAAACCATGTCTTCCTCGACGAAGTCTGCCGCCCTCCACTGTTCGCGCGGCACCGCCAAGTTCTCCTGGTCCTCGTCCTCGTCCTGGTCGAGCAGTTGATCGATGATTTCCAGTTCCCTTGAGTCGTTCGTCCAAGGTTCGCTGATTAGTGCTTCGAGGTGGTCGGTCGCCGTTTTCGTCATCGCTTTCCTCCTCCTCCTCCTCCTCCTCCTCCTCCTCATCCTCGACATCAACCTGGTTTCCAGGGGCGGCCGATGCCGACGAAGTTCCTGGCTGACCATTTTGTGTCGGAGTCTGTTTCGTTTTCTTATTGAACTCCCCGATCGGCATGGGAGGAATGTCCTTGGTGAAAACCCCTTCTGGAATCTGCGTCAGCTTGTCAAGATCGTAGAGTAACTTTAGATTGTCTTCGTCGGTAGGTGTCGGACTGTGGTCGGTGGATGGCCTAGCGTCGGACATGTCGACGTCGGCCATGTCGGCGCACCCCTGTTGCTCTACCGTCGTCCGTGTGCGTTGGGGAGGTTGTTAAACCAGAGACGGTACTGAGTCACGGGTGCGGTGTACGCTCTAAGAGTTGCGCGGCGGTCGTCTTCTATATGTCCCTCAATAACGTCTAACTCGGCGTCGACCTCGCGATTGCGGGGGGTGGTAAGCCAGAGACGGTACTGAGTCACGGGTGCGGCGAACGCGTGAAGAGTGATGCGGTCTTCTTCGAATTCTCGCTCAAGCGCGTCTAACTCGGCTTCGAGCTTAAGCCGTTCCAGCTGCGCCTTGATGTCGGCGTCTACCGAGTCGGCGGGGGGTGGGATGGGTTGCGGCTGTTGGGCTCTAGGGCGACCTCTGGCCATGCGTCGCCGACTTGCTACGTCGACTCGCGACGTGCAACTTCTGCCGACTTGGACGAACAATCGGCAACCGAGCAAACTACTGGCGCGATGACAGTCTGGCAGCTGAAAATTCTAAAGGATCGAGAGAGCAGGAAGGAATGCAGGATCGGACAAGCGAATGAGCTGGGGTGCAAGGCCACGGGACGGGTATGGTCCTGAGCGACTACGATGCTGCCGCGCGTCACGCACACCCCAATGCATCCGCCGCCGTGCATGTGTTCTCGTAAAGGCGGCGCACTGTCCGACGTGGCACGTGCCAGGCATGGCACTCGGGGCGCCGCGCTGCACCGAAGGGGCGTAAGCCAGTGTCATTCCACGTCGGAATGTGCGTGTGTTACGTGGCTTGCGACCGTCATTGGCGCCCCAGTGCCGAAATTGCGGCATGCCGACACGAATCTCACACGGTCCCGGGATTTTTTAAGCACGGCGTGGCAACCATGCCGTGGGGGCCCTTTTGATCGGCGCCGACTTCCACTCGGCGCGCTTGGTTGTTAGCCTAGATTCTTTTAACCTGGACTGTTGTCGAGAATGTGCCGCGTGGATTGGTTTGTGGGCCTTGGGATTGAATTGGTCGACACCGACTTTCCCTCGCAAGACCCATGTGATCTAGACTGTCTGATTTGCGCCGCGTGGATCGTGCACCGACATTTCTAGCGGCATTGTAGACCTCCCGCGCAAATAAAAGCACCGCTGTAGCGACGCGTGGCCACGACGAGGACTTCGTGGCAGCCTTGTACACGGCGGGGAGTGAATCGCTCCTTCCTATGGGTCCGCGTGGAGGCATCCGCGCCTCGACGTGGCGAATTTTGTCTGCTGAGATTTCCTTCTCAGGAATCTCCCAGCGGAAACCCGGGTCGTCGGATTGTCGACATTCCCGAGGCTTCGAGAGGCCCCAGGGACGCCATTTGGGCCCAGCTTGGAGCCCCGATGTCGTCAAGAGGTCGTCAATCCCGAGGGGGGGGGGGGGGGGGGGGGGGGGTTGTCCCACTTGCACCGCGAAATTGGGCGGCATTTTTCGTCCGCTGAGGTATATCATCCCAATCGCAGCAGCTGAAAGAGCAGATCGTGCTGCCTCTTTCTCCTCTGGAGTCTAACAAGAGCGTACCTATAAAAAGCCTTTCAGGCATCTCAAATGCTTCCTCTGGGTTCTAGCGAAAGAAAGCATCAAAGCAGCGCACGCAGATGAAGATAGATGGCAAGCAGCACAATACTGTAATACCTCCAAACAAAAACTAATAAAGATCTAGCTGCATCTGAATCACATCGCCTTCAATCAAGGGTTTTATTTAACGGGAGAGTTGCACCAAATTATAAGGTCAAACTCGTTTGGCACAAAGATGAGCTACAGTGATTTTCAGCCATCTTGTAGAGACTGAACTCGCATGATAACACATGGGTGCTGCTGCTATACAGGGGGTTACGGTTAGAAGAGGGCTGAAAAACTGTCTCCACAATCCATTGCATTCAACTTCAGCTCCATGGTGCGCTTGCGATCAGGGAAAAGGATTGCTTTGCGTCACCTTGGGGTTTCGCTGTGCCGCTTTCTTAGAAGCGCGCTACCTATTCCTCCTGACCCGCCCACAGCGCGGCCTTGCAGTGCACAACTCACACCACACTGCTCCTACTGACCCACCCACGGCAGCTGGCAGAAGGGCCAGCACTCCACCGGGGTGTCACCACTCCCACCGCACCGCACCGCTCTGCACTGCATGGTGCGGTTCCGAGCCCAGAAGAGGCTGGCGTCTTCGATGGGCTTGACTGTGGCGTTGCAGGGCGGCTCCTTCAGATCCACCTCCCGGGACGTGTAGTGGTTCAGGTGCAGGATGGAGGGGGGCGCTGTTGCCATCTCCTCCGGTGGGGAAAACGTGTTGTGGATGGATATGGAACTGGTAGGGTTGAGAGAGGGGGGGAGGGGGGAGGACAAGGGGTGTCAGCACTCGCACCGCGCTGCACCGCTCAGCACTTGAACGTGTTGTGAAAGGATATGGAAGTGGCGGGGGGAGAGGGAAGGGAGAGAAAAGGGAGGAAGGAGGCATGCGAAAGAGACGCAGGCTGTTTAAGGCAGAATTTCAAGCAGAGGGCGCCGGTTGCGGGTCCGGAAGAGGCTGGCATTAGCGCTGGCTGGCACCGCACTGCACCGCTTTGCACTGCACGGTGGTGCGCTACCTTGTTGTGCCAGCCCACCCACGTCTTGGTGTGCCACATGGGCTCACTGCAGTCTATCAGATACCGCAACAGAGCCACCGCACACCTTGCACCACCATCACCAGCAGCACATCTTGGTGTGCCACATGGGCTCACTGCACCGCCACTGCAGGCGGTCACAGACACACCACACCAGCACCAGGCCTTACCGCACCTCACTGCACCACCGTGCAGGATCGTGCGAGGAATGAGGGCACTCACTAGGGCAGGATCGTCTGTGGGTTGACGGCCACCTTGTCATGCCAGCCCACCCACGTCTTGGTGTGCCACATGGGCTCCCTGCACCGCCACTGGAGGCGGTCGGATACCGGATCCCCCCGTGACTCCTTCTTCACTCCCCAGAAGTTGAACCGCCTTATTAGAATCGCCTGCCATAAGACACAGGGATGAAGCGAGAAAAGAGGAGGGTTTGTTTGTGGTCAAGGAGCAAAGAGCAATAAGCACACAGCAACGAGCACACAGCAACGAGCATGTGCTTTTCCATTTTAGTTGCCTCCAAAATGCAGCAATGGGGACAACAAGAACGCCACAAGGCACACGCATGATGCACCCTTTTGAGGCGCCTAAAAAAAAAGACTGATGCTTTTTTTCAACATGACTGATGCATCATGCACCCTTTTGATGCGCCCAAAAAAAAAAAAAAAAAAAAAAAAAAAAAGAGAGAGAACAAAAAAAAAGAGTGCAGAAATGGGGACAAGAGCAGCACAAGGCACGCAATTTCTCATCAAGACTGACTCACCCGCAGAGGCTGCCTGCTGCCTGGTGCCTTGGCGTGGTTGACCTCTATCCGCGCAAGCAGCGGCTTGAGGAACCCCCCCGCCTGGGGGTGGTGCCAGATGAACTCGTCACTGTCTATCTGCAGCTGCCACCTGCTTTGAGCTGCCTGTGCATGGTTGACCTCTAAACTCACCCGCAGGGGTTGTTTGCTGCCTGGTGCCTTGGCGTGGTTGACCTCTATCCGAGCTAGAAGGGGTTTTAGGAACCCTCCAGCCTGGGGGTGGTACCAGATGAACTCGTCGCTGTCTATCTGCAGCTGCCACCTGTCGAAACCTGCTTTTTCGGGAATAGACAAAGCCCCACTCACCCGCAGGGGTTGCTTGCTGCCTGGTGCTCGCGCGTGATTGACCTCTATTCTAGCCAGCAGCGGCTTCAAGAACCCTCCAGCCTGCGGGTGATACCAGATGAACTCGTCACTGTCTATCTGCAGCTGCCACCTGTCGCCGAACCTCCGCCCCAGCATCATGCAGTGCTCGAATGCTATCACCTGGTCGTAGATGTCTGGGAACTGGCTGGGGGGAGGCACAAGAAGGGAGAACAGGAGGGAGTCACAAGAGGGAGGCCAAAGACTCTTGAATCGACTCACATGTCATGTCATCGCTGCCCCAGCATCATGCACTGCTCGAACGCTAATACTTGGTCGTTTATGTCTGGGAACTGGCTGGGGTGCGGGGGGGGGTGAGGGGGAAATGGTTCTTCGAGGTGATTTATAAGGACAAGAGGCAGCACCATGAGTGAGTGGGTGGAGGAACGAACCTCCTTCCCAGCATCATGCAGTGCTCAAACGCTATCACTTGGTCGTATATGTCTGGGGGAGGGGGGCGGGTGGGTGGGCGGGGCGGGACGGGTTGAGGGGGAAACGGTTCTTCGAGGTGATTTATAGGGTAACCAAGTCACGTCTGGCACAGCATCATGCAGTACTTGAAAGGCATTACCTAGCTGTTTATGTCTGGGAACTGGCTGGGGGGAGCGGGTAGGAAGGGGCACACACACACACACACATGCACGCGCGCGCACACACACGCACACACACACACACACGCACACACACACACACGCACACACACACGCACACACACACACTCTCGAGCACGCGGGCTTCTTGGCCTTGCCGTCGTGCTGGGCTTGTCGATAGAGCACCTCGCTCCAGGAGGGCTCTTGAGACGCCTCATACAATCGCCTCTATACACAGACACAGGAATGGAGGGTACTCACCGCGCATGGCTTCTTGGCCTTGCCGTCGTACTGCGCCTGGCGATAGAACACCTCGCTCCAATTGAGGAACGGCACACGTCTAAGTGTGGCATCCCCGCACACACACCAAGCAAAGGCACTCACTCACTCACTCACTCCCACACTCACCGCATATGGCTTCTTGGCCTTGCCGTCGTACTGCGCTTGTCTAAAGAACACCTCGCTCCAATTGGGGAACGGCACGTGCACCACCTGCCCTCTGGCTATATACTCCCACAGCAGCGGGCGTATGTGCGTGGAGTAGCGGTCATACACATATATGCGATCCACACCCATCAGCAGAGGAAACTAGTCCCTAGGCTACGCACCCACTAAGATCGCTCCCTCCACTCCTGCACACACACAGCAAGGAGAGGCACTGACTCACCGCATATGGCTTCTTGGCCTTGCCGTCGTACTGCGCTTGTCTAAAGAACACCTCGCTCCAGTTGGGGAACGGCACGTGCACCACCTGCCCTCTCGCTATATACTCCCACAGCAGCGCGCGTATGTGCGTGGCGTAGCGGTCATACACATATATGCGATTCACTCCCATCAGCAGACACGCGTCGATCCACTCGATAAGCCGCACGTCGGAGACAGCAACGTTGTCTGAAAACATCTGGCGTTTGTGCACGGGGCGCAGGCAGATGCTCACTGCTCCCATGCCTGCGTGCTTGGTGGTTCTTCCTCCCTCCCCGGTTTCGCTTGCACTCCTGCCGATGCTGCTGCTGCTGCTGCTGCTGCTGCCGAACTCATCCTCGTTACTAGCTGCATCCTCATAGTTCACAAGCAGGTCCTCGGAACTAAGCATTTCCCCACCAGAGGCTTTATATGTGCCGTTCGCACCTTTCTCCCCCTCAGCCAGAAACCGAACCAGCTCCGAACCACTACCCAAACCTACAGCGGGCTTCGAGCCTGCCAAACCTCCAGAGCCACCCTTCGCACCCTTTGCAGCAGCCTGGGCAGCAGCCTCGGCAGCAGCCCGGCAACCGCCAAACTAACCAACTCCTTTTCCTTCGCTGCAAACGGAAACGGCGGAGGGAATGAGACCGGGAAGGGCTGGGCCGCAGCAGCAGAAGCAGCAGCAGCAGCAGTGTGCAGGGAGGAAGTGAGGGAGAGGGAAAGCGGGGAGGAGGCGAGGGTGTGTTTGTCGCTGTCAGCGCGGCACAGCAGCAGAGGCGGCATGCGCAGGTCTGCCCCTTCCTCTGCCGCCACCAGCTGCACCTGCACCTGCTGCCAGTGATGCACCGCCCACTTTCTCCCCTCCGCCGTTCCCAACCGCTCTCGACCGCTCATAAACGCAGGAGCCGCAGAGGGATCAGAGGGCGGAGCAGCGGAGCTGGCTGGTTCGCTTGAAACGGTCTCGTTACCGGTACTAAGCTCAACGTATGGTGGCAGTGGGCATTCGATAATGTTATGCCACAAATAGCTGTTATTCGCGACCGCGTCCACGATATAAGCAGGCTCGAGCGTCTGCATGTAAGCGTCGTGCGTGGGCCACACGTGGCACTGCACCTTAAACACACTCGGAGAAAAGAGGTCACTGTATTCCGCCTCGCCCCACCCCTGCCACTGCGACTTGCGAATCGAATCGTCGTCTTCCAGAAACGACAGCAGCCGCAGTGTCGTTTTTGTCGGTTCTGGCCGCCCCGGCCCCCCTTGGTTCTGCCCCCCTTGGTGGTTCCCCCCTTGCGTCTCCGCTTGTTGTCCTCCCTGTCCGCCAGCCGTTCCGCCTTCTCCTGCCGCCGTTCCGCTGCTCTCTCCGCCTGTCGTTCCCCCGGACGTTTCGCGCCGAGCCTCTGACTCGGCCCAAAGCTCCGGTTCGTGCCGAACCTCTGCTTCAAACACGGTGAGCTGCGCGAACCGGTTGTGAAACGCTTTCCCGTGCTTCATAGGTTTCGTTACGAACGTTCCCTGCGCGAACGGCGCGGAAGGGCTCCCCATGCACATCCGAATCTTCGCGCCGCGCGCAGTTAACGGCCGATCCAACGGCGCAAGTTCATCCGACGGGGCACGATCATTCCGCTCGTCGCACCGCGGGCAGTTTTGCAATTTAACTTCTGGCCGTTCGACGGGTAAATCAGCGTGGTTGCAATCGGCGGGAAGATAGGTCGCGTTTTGTGGAAACGCGACCCAGAACGCGAGAATCGTGGAGGTGGTAATTACGAGGACTGCATAGTGGACAAATGGGACCGCTTTCAGGAGCGACGCGGCTTGGTGAGGTAATTGACGATTACTATGGCTCGGCGATTCTAGGCCTAGGTGAACCATGGTGACGATTATGGTCGGTGGCTCTAGGCCGAGTTCTGCTTGCTTGCGCGCACAAAACGCTCAACCGTTCAATTCACAGCATCATGATGGAATTACCTGCTGTTGTGAAAGCGCGTGTCGCAGGGATGTGGTTGTGGTTGTTGTGAGGCAAAGTGCAAAAACGAGTGGTTTGCTTTGCTTGTGTTGTGAGTGATGGCACGTTCATCGACTGCTGAAAAATTTTCATCATGCTCTCACCATACTGAAACCCTGGTTAACGTCTCAAAACCTATAGAAACGACTCCAGCTCCGTTTAAAGCCGATGGCGAGGGACACTGATTTCCTCAAAAAGCGCAACCAACCAATTCGATGTAATCCCGAGGTGCACAGGTTCGACTCCTCACCGAGCTGAAATCCTGTTTGACCTTTCTAGAACCTACAGAGCCGCTCTAATTCCCGTTGTCGAATACGGTTTTTGTGTCGATAGAGACTGATCCATTTTGAACCACGTGGAGGTAAGATGACTTCCGGAAATCAGTACAATGACTACAGTAACTGGAGGGCATGTGCAAGGTTCACACGTCAACCACAAGCAACCGCGTTTGGAGCTGCTTCCAAGAAATACTCACCTTGCCCACTATTTTGGGTCAGCCCTTAGAAGCTTTACTGGATGTTTGATGGCTTGTAAATAGTATCTAGTCCGCCACAGCCCGTGTCGTCCTTTGCAGTTCGTATAATGGGTCATGTTTCAGCTCTCTACCCACATTCGCGGCCGTACTGGAGGAAATAGTAGCTCTGGAATTGATTCCATGTTTTCGGCGGATTCAAAGCCGCGTTCCCTGAAGTCATCTCAGTCTTCTCCGTCACATTGCATCCATGGGTAGTTAGGTGACGTCGCGTACACGATACGCTAGAATGCCTTAATTTTTTTTTTCCGTTTTCAAGCTCGTCATTACGCTGGCTCCTAAGCTCCGCGTAGAGAAAAAACGCTTTGTTCTCTCGTCTGTATCTTGTGGCTAGTCTTCGTTTCCCATGTGTCAAGAATAGTTATATTGTTCATACATTTGTTTCAGAGAAAGAAGTAGCCTGTTTATCTTCAGAATCTGCGTTGTAAAGCAGCTATACAAGCATACTAGGCGCAGTAGTAAAGCAGCTACAAGCATACTAAGCTCAGCATCATGGGCCAGAGTGCATCGAGAGAGGAGCTGATACGTCACGCCGCGAAGCACGGCAACACGTCAGCCATCCGAGAGCTGGCGTCACGTGGAATCAGCGTCAACGTGAGACTCTCAATTTCGTTACATTATTTCTTAGATTTTTTAAAAGGATTTCACCTGGAACGCTCCGTTTATTGTTCTTGTTCATGTTTCAAGTCAATGCTGTTATTTATGACTCCAATGTATCCAAGTTCCCAGCCCCTTCTGACGTGGGTTATGCAGAAACTTGTTACATTTTCTTGTAGATGAGAGGTGATACATGAGGGGGATATAAACTTATGGGGTAATATCTTTTTGAACCTCTCGCCTCCCTAGCCCCTCATTCTCTCCTCATTTCCCCTCATTCCTGGTCGACCCAGCTCATCCCAACAGTGTGTGGACTCCAAGGGTCGCACGCCCTTGATTCTTGCCAGCAACTGGGCAGAGGGGTTTGAGGCGGCGAAGCTGTTGCTTATATTCTTAGTGCCGCTCTCCTCTCCACCCTCATCCCCTTCGCTCCCCTTGTCCCCTTTATCCCCACTCTTCCATCCCCACCCCCCTCTCGTTCCCCCAACAAGTGTGTGGATTCCAAGGGTCGCACGCCCTTGATTCTCGCCAGCAGCCGGGCAGAGGGGTTTGAGGCTGTAAAAGTTCTGTTGCAGATGGGCGCTCTCGTCCGCGCCTACTCTAAAGGTGGGCTTGCTGTTGCAATATTATCCTCTCGTGTACATCCTATATGCATATCAGCGGTGTCTCTGACCCGTCATTTTGAGGCGCCTAGAATATTGTGCAATTTTTTTATTCTAGGCGCAGCAAGAATCCTCATGGCCATCCATCCATCCATCCATCCATCCATCCATCCATGGTGCCGTGCCATATCTCTCCTCCACCTCCCGCCTGTCTTCAGAGTGGCCATATCTCTTCGTCCATGCAGGTACAGGAGGGTGCACGGCCATTCACTATGCCGCTCGCAAGAAGCTCGATGCCACATGGCCATCCATCCATCCATCCATCCATCCATCCATCCATCCATCCATCCATGGTGCCGTGCCATATCTCTCCTCCACCCCCGCCTGTCTTCCCCTCTCTTCGACCCTGCAGGTCCGGGAGGGGGCACGGCCATTCACTATGCGGCTCGCAAGCAGCTAGATGCCACGGTGAAGCTGCTGCTGGACCATGGAGGTGAGCTGGTAACCATGTGGTAACCGTGTGGTAACCATGTGGTAACCGTGTGGTATTATGTCTTTGTAACGGCGATATCTTATGACCAATGCCACAGTGAAGCTGCTGCTGGACCATGGAGGTGAAGTGGTAACCATGTGGTAACCATGCATGTAGCAACCACCATGCGTGTGTAAACGCGATGCCACGGTGAAGCTGCTGCTGGACCATGGAGGTGAGCTGCTAACCATGTGTTTGTATCCACGATACGTCATGATCGATATGCCACAGCTAAGCTGCTGCTGCCATGAAAAGTACTCCCAACTCACTCTTGTTCTCAATTATTCTCGCTCGTTCCCCCCTGCCCTGCCTGCCCCTATTGCAGCGGATCCCCTTCTCCCCAACGAGTTCTGAGGCGCTGCAAAATCCTCATTCTCACCTGAGTTTTCCCGTTCCGCCCTTTCCTGCCTGCCCCTATTGCAGCGGACCCCCTTTTCCCCAACGACGATGGAAAAACCGCTCTGGACCTGGCGAGAGACAGAAATGCAACCGCTATCGTCCGACTCATAGAGGTGAGGTGGGGGTCTGTGAGGAGGCGGGTGGTCGCGTCGGGGGAGGGGAGTGTGGGAAGGAGGAGGGTGGTCGCATAGGTGTGCACGTCCGTTCGGGCGTGCGAGCGGGGGAGAGAGAGGTTTAATGTGTGGAGTAAATCAGCCTGCATTATAACAACGATGGAAGGAGCGATCTGGACCTGGCGAGAGAGAGAAGCGCCACTGCTGTCGTCCGACTCATAGAGGTGAGGTGGGGGAGGGGAGGAGGAGGAGGGCGGGGAGGTCGCATGTTTCTGTGTGTTTGTGAGCTGGAGTCTTCCCGTACAGGGTAGTTGTTATGAGCGGAGAGAGAATAGGGAGAGAATAGATGTACCCCATGAAGCTGTGGTCCTGAGCAAGACGAAAAGGTTTATTGGAGAAGTGGGGTATCGATCCCCATACCTCTCGCATGCTAAGCGAGCGCTCTACCATCTGAGCTACATCCCCACGTGATGGTGTTTAACCTTACTTATCCAATGTATTTTGATCATGGCTGTCTCTCTCTTTCCCTCTTTTCGGTCTTTTTACTGATGAAGGCTTGCAAGAACCGTAACTGACACGAGCTATCTCCCTCTGACCACGCAACCCCACACCACTGCCCTTCCCCTTCGTTGTTCCCCCATCAGAGCCAGGTGGCCTTGTTCGAGGGCTACGGGCGTCAGCAGACCCTCTCTCTCAATTATCTCCCTCTTTACCGCGCACCCCGCACTCTCCCCTCTTTTCTTCCCCCATCAGAGCCGGGTGGCATTGTTTGAGGGCTATGTGCGCCAGCAGACCCTCTCGGCGCCGTCGCTAGTCAAAGCCTTTATCCCGCAATGGGTGTACCGGAGAATGTGAGTGCCTATGCTTTTTTTTCAGTGCCCATGAGTGTTCAGGCGATTGTGTGAGTCCGATTTTTCGTCGGTGCTGTTTTCCCAGTATCGTTTTGTCTTTGTCTGTATCATTTCTGCCATCCCCTGTCCCTGTTGTCACCTCCCACCACCCCTCTCCACCCCTATCCTTCCCATCCCATCCCTCTCCACCACGCTCCACCGCTCTCCGCCCATGCCTGTGCAGCTGGGTGGCAGTGCTTCCTGGGCCCACCATGAGTGACGGACGCCAGACATTCCGCCTCGCTCTCTACCCATCCATGGCTGTGAGTGCCCGCATGCATGCATGCATGCATAGGTTTCAGTACTCTCCCATTCCCCTCTGTCCCTCGGTCTATCACTCCTGTCGCCCCTAATCCTCCCCCTTTGTGACTCACTGCAGTTTGGCGCGCCTTACTTCGACATAGCGCTGCATGTTGCCGCATTCACATGACCAAGCTGGACTCCGCCAACCCAGCCAGCCCTGCTTGGGGGCCTTCCCCCCCTCCCTGACTCCCTTCTCCGCCCCCACCCAACCCCGACCCACTGCAGTTTGGAGCGCCCTACTTCGACATAGCCCTGCATGTGTGCCGCATTCACATGACCAAGCTGGACTGCGCCAACCCTCTGTTTCCTAAGCTCCCCTCCCAATCACCCACTCCCCCTCTCCTCCTGCAGTTTGGCACTCCTTACTTCGACATTGCACTGCACGTGTGCTGCATTCACATGACCAAGCTGGACTCCGCCAACCCTGTACTCGTTATAGAGGACCCCGTTCATGGTACGCCACCTCCTTCTCTTATTCGACTCTTTCCAATACTCTATGCGATTATTCTTTCTCTCAGTATGGCTTATTTGTGATCTTGATGACTTTTTCTTGGGGGAGACGTGGCACTGAGTTTTCTCATCTTGCATTGCTGTGTTGCTAATGAAATATTCTTGTTCCGTGTGTCTGAGTTTTGGGACGTCTCATAACTTCCCATGTATCTGCTGCTCTATGTGTGATGTGTGCTGTGTCTGATCTGATGCACTCTATGCCTATGTCTCTCCATCCATACATGTTGATGCGCATCTCATATGCACGTTGGTGTGCGCCCATGTGCCTGTACATGCGTATGGAATGTGTATGCACGCATGTGTGTGTGTGATTGCATGTGTGCATGTGTGCATCCCTCCATGCATCTTTCCACACCAGCAGAGAAGGGCAAGTGGAAGTTTGTGAGTGACAAGGACTCACCCGACCCATCCCAGATATTCCGCTTGCACGACGCCTGCCGCGGAATGCCACGTGTAATTCTTCCCTCTCTCTTTTCTCTTCTCTCACTCGTTAGATGAGTTTAGAGTCGACTCAGTAGTTCACCTGACCCATCCCAGATATTCCGCCTGCACGATGCCTGCCGCGGAATGCCACGTGTGAGTGTCCCCTCTCTCTTTTCTCTCCTCTCACTCTCTAGGTGACTTTTGAGTCGACACAAAAGGCGCACACGTGCATTCGTGCCCAGGATTAGCACACGCACAGCAGGAAGACAAGCACGTGCACATGCTCAACCACATGCACATGCACTTGCTCTTTCACCTCTCTCACACTTCCACCTTTGAATTGATTCTGTACTTCGTCGAGTATCCGATTCTTGACGTGACTCAGATCTCTCATCTTTAAGTATTAGAAGTAATTGCCCTCGCATTAGCTATAATAACATTCCATCCTCACACACTCCCATCCTCTCCCATCCTCAAACACACACACATCCATCCTCACACACTACCATTCTCACTCGCTCCCCTCTCTACTGCCGACAGACTCGCACCCAGTCAGCCAATCAGCGTCCGACACCTCAGCATGTGGCATCCTCTCCCCGCACCCCACAATCACTAGCACCAGCAGCAACCCAGCTCCCAGCATCTCGATCTCACACTGCCCCCTCCTCCATTCACCACCCCCCCCCACCGCAGACGCATCCCACCATGTACCCCCAACCTCCCACCGCTCCTGCTGCTGCCGCATATGCCGCTCCTGTCGCTCCCACGTATGCTGCTCCTGCTGCTACTGCATATGCTGATCCCTGGGGGGCCTACTACACGCAGCAGCAGGCGCAGCAGCAGCAACAGGCATGGCAGCAGTATCAGTATCAGCAGCAGCAGCAGCAGCAGCAGGGGGGTGTTCAGGCGCAGCTGCAGAGGGAGCGGGAGGGATGGCGTCAGGATCATGGGAGTCCAGCGGTGTGGTGAACGTGCACGCGTGGCAGGATGACGTGGATGAGGACACAGCGCTCCAGCTGGCACTCTCTGAGTCGATGCGCACTGCCAGCATTGCCAGCTCTGCCCGAGCCGATGCTCCCGGTGCTTCTAGTGCCGCCGCGGCTGCTCAGGGCATCAGCACAGGTGGTGAAGGGACGGATGGTCTTGTTCTTCTCACCCGTTCCTCCTCCGAGCCTCAGTCCAGATCCGGCCGCTCTCTCTCCTCGTCTTCTTCTTCCGCTGCTGCCGCTTCTTCTGCTGCGGCCACCGATGCATTCACTGCGTCGCATCGATCTTCCAGATCCGTTTCAGCCTCTGCTGACCGGCACCCCTTTGCCCCACCTGCTGCCCCCATCCCCTCTTCCTCTGCTGCTGCCGGCGCTTCTTCTGGAGTTGCCTTTGGTCCTGCTGCTGGCCCTGCAGCTGGCTCTGCAGCTGGTTCAGCCGGTTCAGCCAGTACAGCCGCGACAGCTGGCACTGCTGGTCCAGCAGGGGCTGAAGGGGGTCGTATGCGCGACGAGATTGCGAATCAGTTCTCCTCCGTGGCACCGGCGTTCAACCGAGCAGCAGCAGCCGTGTCGTCTCTCTTCGCTTCCGGCCCACCGTCAGCACCTCCAGTGGATGCTCCTCCTTCAACCGCAGCAGGAGCAGCACATCCGTCAACATCAGGGGCATCATTGGGAGTAGGGAGAGCGCCAGGAGCAGCTGTGACAGGCCAACCACCAGCGGCACCAGCAGGAGCAGCTCCAGCTTTCAATGCTAGAGCAGCAGTGGCTGCTGAGGCGATCGCAACAGCAGCTGGGGTGTTAACCTCAGCAACAACCGCTGCAGCGGCGACAGCCTGGCAGCGAACCACAGGCCACCGTGCTCCCTTCTTCGACCCTCCGCTTATCCAGTTCTCCCCTCCCAGCAGCCCCAGGCGAAATCCACACCCTCCCATCCACCCGCAGGCTCAACCACCCATCTCCCATCAGCATGCACCTGCCTCCATGAATCCTCAGGTGCAGCCACCCAACTTCCATCCCCGACCACCTGCCAACATCCCATCCCCTGCTGTGCCATCTGTAGCTTATCCTGGTGCATCGTTTTCATCAGTGGGTGGCGCATATGCTGGGCTTCCTTCGCCAGGCGCGGCGTCTGTAACGGAGCTACATCCGAGCTACAACCCTGAAAGGGTGCAGGCAGAACTCGCCAGGGCAGAGCAGAGCCTAGGGCGAGGAGCAGCAGGAGCACCTGTAGCTGGAGTTGGGGCTTTAGGATCAGCGACAGGAGCAGGAGCAGGAGCAGGAGAAGAAGCAGGAGCAGCAGCAGGATCACAGGCAGGGGCAGTAACAGGGGCAGGGGCAGGGGCAGGAGGAGCAGCAACAGGAGGGGGACCAACATCATCATCAGCAGCAGCAGCAGAAGCGTCTAGAGAGGGTCTGTGTGTGATTTGCTGGGACTCAGCAGCGCAGGCAGTGTGTGTGCCCTGTGGGCATGTGGCAGGGTGTGTGGAGTGTCTCACAGAGGTTAGATCCAAGGGCTGGGGCTGCCCTGTGTGCCGAGCTTCCATTCGAGAAGTGGTGAAGATCTTCCATGTTTAGTTTTGTGCTTGATTTGTGATGTTTGAGATGAGACAATAATATATGTGTTGCATGTCTCAGTCTAAATGTGCTACGATGAGAGAGTTTAAGATGCTCCAGCAGCATCATGGAACCATACACAATTCCGGAGTTGTTTACAGACGCGTATCATGTAGCATTTGATTCGCTAGCGCGCAGTTGCGCGTTTCGCGGTCTGCATCATCGATCGCTTACCCATGACCGAGATCGCAGGTCTTGCGCAACAGACGGAAGGACTTTCGCGGAGGATTTCGGTATCGTATGTTACAAATGTCAGCCATCATGACATCAGCATCGTCCAAACCCCCTGTCGCGAAAATCTCCTGCGACATATGAGTTTAGCGCATCTTGCGGGTTGGACTTGGCGCGAAAACAAATTTCTGCTAACATTGCATCCTCTCCGCTCCTCCCACCAATACATTATTGCTTTCGAGTCGCGTTCGCATCACCACCCACAAGAACAACACTCCTTTCAGTAGGAATCATCTTTCTCAGTAGAAGTCGTATTCTTCACCCGTTTCCATCGAGACATTTCATCACTCGCATTTTGAACCTCCCCGTCACAGGAGCCTACTCGCTCTTAGGTCGTGGCCAGCGCGTTCGTCCCATGTTCGTTCTGCGCAGTTAAACAGGTTGTGCAATGGTGCGAAACGGTGAAGCTTGATGCCCGCTGTGCACCGTCACCGTCGTCGACGGTTGAAACTGTAAACTTACGCGCTGGATTCACCTATAGAGTTTGCCACTCACCATCTCCGTCTTTTTTATTTAGCTCATATAAGACCTCGCAAGCGACTTGAATCTTTCGGTGACGATGGGTTTTTGAGGCGCAGAAGCTTATTTTTCCAGCAGCTCATGTAAGTCTCGGTACGCGAAAAGCATCAGTCAGTCACGATGGGCTACGCAACGCGGCGAGGCATCAGTTTGCCACTACTTCAGCTCGCGCTTTTCGCGGCGTTGGTGTTCGCAGCGCCTGGTGGGTTCCCCACTCGACCAACTTGGCCTCTGCTCATATTTGCTACTCATTTCGATTCTCCTTTGCTCCTCTACTGTTGCACTTCGTTCTTTGCTCCTCTTTTTCGTTTTTTTCTACTTTTACCTCGACTGTTTTGCGCGTTTTTACATCATGCTTTCGCGTTTGGCCTCCGTTCCGCCCGACTTTACAACTTTATCCGATTTGACGGATCCGATATGGCGGATCCAATTGACGTGTGTGTTTCCTATCCGCGCAGCATTCGCGAGGAACATCATCGCTCTAAGCCGCAGTCTCTCTCCAAAAGTCACGTGATTAAGGTTTATTTTGAGACGCTTATTAAATACACCTATTTCACGTGTCTTTCCCACCTGCGCAGCATCCGGGAGGAACATCGTCGCTCTAAGCCGCGGTATCAACCTGAGAATCCACTCTCTCCTAAATGTTGCACCAAGCAAATCGATTCTTCTGGCTGCTGATAACTTGAGCCGCGGCGATGGCCCATATCTAAGCGGAATCACTGGCGGCGATGCTGGCGGCAATGGCGCACATCTAAGCGAAATCACAGGCGGCGGTGATGCTGGCGGAGAAATATCCGTTCCTGGCGGAGGTTCGGGCGTTCCTGGCGGGGAGCAGGGGGAACCCAGCGGACAGCATGGCGGTCCTAGCGGACAGCAGGGGGGTGGCGGTGGACAGCAGGGGGGTCTTGGCGGAGAGCAGGGAGGATCCGGGGGACAGCAGGGGTATGGCGGCGGACAGCAGGGCGGGAGCGGCGGACAGCAGGGAGGGAGCGGCGGACAGCAGGGGGGTGCTGGCGGGGAGCAGGGGGGTGTTGGCGGGGATCAAGGGGGTGCTGGCGGGGATCAAGTGGGTGCTGGCGGGGATCAAGTGGGTGCTGGCGGGGAGCAGGGAGGTGCTGGCGGGGATCATGGGGGTGCTGGTGGGGAGCAGGGGGGATCTGGCGGGGAGCAGGGGGGATCTGGCGGGATTGCAACACCTCAGATTGTAGGTACGGGCACAAAGATCAATGTGGGTGGCACGGGAGGAAAGGGGGGAAAAGGGGGAAAGGGTGGAAAGGGCGGCAAGGGCGGAAAAGGGGGGAAGGGTGGCAAGGGTGGAAAGAAGTGAAAAGTGCTGGTGGTGCCCCTTTAAGTTTCTGTTATTGTTGCATTACACTGCCATGTAAATGCAACTGGCTAGACTACCAAAGTTTATTTCTTACTTGGAGGCTCTCATATCCCATGTAAAACTTCTTTGCCTACTTGAAGAAATTTCAGGCCCTTTGATGCATCCTCCTGAAAGCCAAGCACACGGATTAAAGCCCGAGTATGGCATGGTTGTTTTCGTTCTCATCCATCTACCTCATAAGAAACACCCATCCATGGATTACTCTAAATTAGGTTGTCCAAAGAGTAGCTGGCCATTAGCAGTGGCCCCATGGTGCCAAGCCAACATCCTCCGCTCCACGAGTGGAAGTTCCACCCGCCTAAATGCCGTACCCCACCTTCAAGGCCACGACGAGGATTAGTTAGGGGGTTCTGCGATAATGTGTAGCTGCGTGATTGTTGCCGCAGGGAGATTATATTCAGAGTAATACTCTCAGGTCAATGTCGACCGGACACGGAACCTACATTTTACACACGTGACAAAGAAATTCCATTGTTATGAACAAGCATATAAAGTTCTCTATGTGTTGAGAGCTTCCAGTGTATCATGTGACACCCGAAACTTGTGATTTTGATTTATACGCGTTTCACGTTGATGAATGTTGTTCCACTTGCGCAACCCGCGGGCCTGCCGCGTCAACCGCTTTCCCATGCCCAAATTTGAGCTGGGGAAGCGGTCAACGCACTTCAACAATCGCGCAGGTTCTGTGGATCCCTGAGTTGTGTCCAAACAGCACGGCGGAACAGTCGGAAGCGCATTTGCGATTCATCTTGGCGTTTCATGTTCATGGCATGGCATGTTGTTGCACATGCGCATTCCTCGGACCTGCCGCGTCAGCCGCTTTCCCAGTGTCCCAGATTTCAACCAGGGAATCAGTCAACGAACTTCAACAGTTGCGCAGGTGTGGGCCCAGGGCCCACTGTTGTGTGCGTAACCAAGCAGCACAGCAAAACTGTCGGAAGCGCATTTGCGAGTCATTTTGGCGTCGCAGGTTGGGATTTGTAACTTTTCGCGAAAACATATCGCCCAATCTCCATGTCGTGAAATGTGTCTGCGAAACCTGAGCTAAAGGCGCAAGCCCCGGATTTGACGTGGCGGGAAATTCATCATCCCGCCAAAATCAATCGCGGCGCATCCTTTCGTTCATCTCATCTCACCAAAGCAGAAACGCTTTCGAGTCGCGTTCCCACCCCACTAAAAAATCATGCTCTCGTCACCCACATCGACATCTTCACCACTGGAGACTTTTCTCTAGATTTCCACCACTCTAGTCACTTCAACTTTCTCGCAATTCGAGCTTGTCAATCGCAAATTTCCCCTGTTTTTTAGCTCGTCCGTGCGTGACGGGTGCCTGGAGAGGTTGATTCCAGCACGATGGGGTGCAATGCGCGAGGCACGGCGTTGCCTCTTCTGCTCGCGCTTCTAGCGGCGTCGGTGATTGTCGCGCCAGGTGAGTCCCCCACTTCGTGCTCACCTTCTGTCCTCCATTTTGTTTTCCTTCTCCTCTCATCGATTATCAATTCGTTCTTCCTACTCTCCTCTGATAACCTTCCTGCTTGTCGTGCATTCCTGTTCTGCGTCCTTCGATTCCGTCGGTTTTTTCTGCCTTCGATTCGATGGATACGGGATAACGGATATAATTTATCGTATTGTTTCTATCTGCGCAGCAACCGCGAGGGTTCTTGTTCCGCGAAGTCCGCGGCGAAGTCTCGCTCTCAAGGCCCTCTCGCTCCTCAAGGTGACATCAATCAAACCGACGCTGCTGGCTGTTAATGATTTGGGCGGCGGCTCTGGCGGAGATCTGGGCGGCGGGTCTGGCGGAGATCTGGGCGGCGGCTCAGGCGGCGATTTGAACGGCGGCAGCGGCGGCGATTTGGGCGGCGGCTCTGGCGGAGACCTGGGCGGCGGCCCTGGCGGAGATCTGGGCGGCGGCTCTGGCCCAGATTTGGGCGGCGGCAGTGGTGGGGATTTGGGCGGCGGCAGTGGTGGAGATTTGGTTGGCGGCAGCGGCGGAGATTTGGGCGGCGGCAGCGGCGGAGATTTGGGCGGCGGCAGCGGCGGACCTGGCGGACAGCAGGGCGGACCCGGCGGGCAGCAGGGCGGACCCGGCGGGCAGCAGGGCGGACCCGGCGGGCAGCAGGGCGGACCCGGCGGGCAGCAGGGCGGTCCCGGCGGACAGCAGGGCGGTCCCGGCGGACAGCAGGGCGGTCCCGGCGGACAGCAGGGCGGTCCCGGCGGACAGCAGGGCGGTCCCGGCGGACAGCAGGGCGGTCCCGGCGGACAGCAGGGCGGTCCCGGCGGACAGCAGGGCGGTCCCGGCAGACAGCAGGGCGGTCCCGGCGGACAGCAGGGCGGTCCCGGCGGACAGCAGGGCGGTCCCGGCGGACAGCAGGGCGGTCCCGGCGGACAGCAGGGCGGTCCCGGCGGACAGCAGGGCGGTCCCGGCGGACAGCAGGGCGGTCCCGGCGGACAGCAGGGCGGTCCCGGCGGACAGCAGGGCGGTCCCGGCGGACAGCAGGGCGGTCCCGGCGGACAGCAGGGCGGCCAGCAGGGCGGACCTGGCGGGCAGCAGGGCGGACCTGGCGGGCAGCAGGGCGGACCTGGCGGGCAGCAGGGCGGACCTGGCGGGCAGCAAGGCGGGCAGCAGGGCGGACCCGGCGGGCAGCAAGGCGGGCAGCAGGGCGGACCCGGCGGGCAGCAGGGCGGACCTGGCGGGCAGCAGGGCGGACCTGGCGGGCAGCAGGGCGGACCTGGCGGGCAGCAGGGCGGACCTGGCGGGCAGCAGGGCGGACCCGGCGGGCAGCAAGGCGGGCAGCAGGGCGGACCTGGCGGGCAGCAGGGCGGACCCGGCGGGCAGCAAGGCGGGCAGCAGGGCGAACCTGGCGGGCAGCAGGGCGGACCTGGCGGGCAGCAGGGCGGACCTGGCGGGCAGCAAGGCGGGCAGCAGGGCGGACCCGGCGGGCAGCAAGGCGGGCAGCAGGGCGGACCCGGCGGCCAGCAAGGGGGGCAGCAGGGCGGACCCGGCGGGCAGCAAGGCGGGCAGCAGGGCGGACCTGGCAGGCAGCAGGGCGGACCCGGCGGGCAGCAAGGCGGGCAGCAGGGCGGACCTGGCGGGCAGCAGGGCGGGCAGCAGGGCGGACCTGGCGGGCAGCAGGGCGGACCTGGCGGACAGCAGGGCGGACCCGGCGGGCAGCAGGGCGGACCTGGCGGACAGCAGGGCGGACCTGGCGGGCAGCAGGGCGGACCTGGCGGGCAGCAGGGCGGGCAGCAGGGCGGGCAGCAGGGCGGACCTGGCGGGCAGCAGGGCGGACCTGGCGGGCAGCAGGGCGGGCAGCAGGGCGGGCAGCAGGGCGGGCAGCAGGGCGGACCTGGCGGGCAGCAGGGCGGACCTGGCGGACAGCAGGGCGGACCTGGCGGGCAGCAGGGCGGACCTGGCGGACAGCAGGGCGGACCTGGCGGGCAGCAGGGCGGACCTGGCGGACAGCAGGGCGGACCTGGCGGCCAGCAGGGCGGACCTGGCGGACAGCAGGGCGGACCTGGCGGACAGCAGGGCGGACCTGGCGGGCAGCAGGGCGGACCTGGCGGACAGCAGGGCGGACCTGGCGGCCAGCAGGGCGGACCTGGCAGCAGGGCGGACCTGGCGGGCAGCAGGGCGGACCTGGCGGACAGCAGGGCGGACCTGTCGGCCAGCAGGGCGGACCTGGCGGACAGCAGGGCGGACCTGGCGGGCAGCAGGGCGGACCTGGCGGACAGCAGGGCGGACCTGGCGGGCAGCAGGGCGGTGGTGGAGATCAGGGCACTGGTGGAGATCAGGGGGGATCTGGCGGGCAGCAAGGGGGTTCTGGCGCAGATCAGGGGGGATCTGGCGGGCAACAGGGGGGTTCTGGCGCAGATCAGGGGGGATCCGGCGGGGGATCTGGCGGGATTGCAACTGTTCAGAATGTGGGAGACAGCACTTTCTCAAAGGTCGGTGTGAAGGCAGGAAAGGGGGCAAAGGGCGGCAAGGGTGGAAAGGGAGGGAAGGGGGGGAAGGGGGGCAAGGGCGGAAAGAAGTGAAATACAGTGCCTGCAAAACCGTCTCTGCAAAAAGTTCTTTGTTTTTGAGGCGCCTCGGAGATGGTCTGTGTTGTATCATGTATGTAAAATTTTTGTCTGTTGCATAGTTGGACCTTAAACCCAATATTCTTGAATGTTCCCCCAACCGATTAATGTGGATGCAAGTACTTATCCTGTTCTTCCATATCGCTCCTCCTTTGTTACATTCTGGGCTTACCTAAGGCTGACTTTTTGACTGGCACGGCAGAATTTCAATCAGCCACCAACCCATCACTTCTTGTGAAATTTCTGATTTGGAGTGCCAAGCCACAAACCAATACCCAAAGGAATGTCCAACAAGAACCAAATCAGGTGTTGCTGCCTCCGTTCCTTACCAGGTCTCTAATCGTGCCCCCATAAAGATTGTTGGATGGGCTGGGCTTGGGTTCCTGAGAAGAAATATGTTGCAGTGGTGGTATTGTATGCCTTATGGATACCATGGGTAGGGCTGCCAAGTTGCTGCTCCCGACCTGAGTTATTGAGGAGGGCATATGGCGTGGTCATGTAAGTGGTGTGTGAACACTGGATTGTACCGTATTCCATCAAAATTTTTACTGAATTGTATTGCTTGCTACGTACATAAAAAAGAAGACAGAAGAAAAGAAGGCCTACTCCCTTTCATTGATTGCAATATTGTATACCAGTCACACTACCGAACGTCAAATGAGCAGAGAAAGAGGGAACATTACATTAAGGTCGGTGGTCAACAATGGAACGACACTGCAGCTGTGCACATGTCAGTACACCAGTGCCCATGCTCATTGGTTTTGTACAAGTGCATCAGATAAAATTTGGGGAGGATGGGAGGGAAGGGGGTTGGGGCAATAGGGATGCGAGGGAGAGGGGGAAGGGCAATAGCAGGAGGAGAAGCCGATACTTGTTATGGCTCCAAATGTGAGAAACTACCCTACCCTAATTACTACACGTCTGATTTTGTCTCCTTGCACCACGTTTGGGCGGCTGTCTGCTGGCTGCACGGCATGGCACGGCTCCTACTGCTGGCAAACCCCATTGGATGCAAGGCCTCTGTCGTGGCACACCGTGGCTGGATGCAAGGCGTTTGCGTTGACGTATAAAGACCATTGAATGATGGCTAGGGACGATTCAAAATCAAGGATAGCCAGCATACGGGCTACGCGCAGGAGGATACGGGCAGGAGGACAGGTTGCCTCACCGCTGCCCCAGCACCTGGGCGAGCTTCGCAGCAGCGTCCTTGCACCGTTTACCATAAACCTTCACAACGTTACCAGGGTTAAAGGCAACCGTCTGGTGATATTGCACAAAAATATGTATAGATGTATTACAGGCTGGTGTTCCATACAGTGTATCACGTCGACATTGTTCTTGTTCTCCCTTCACCTTCCCTAGTCTCATCATTTCCTACCTAACTCATAGCAGTGAAGTAGTTACCTAATTATGTATATTATGAGATGGTATCAGTTAGGTTACTCCTAGGCCTTCGCCCCTTCACACTTCGTAATGCAATGTGACACCCCGTCAAGCCCCGTGACGCCCTTGAACGCAACGTGACACGCTGCCCCCCGCCTGCCCGCGCTACCTGCGCTGTACGAGCCACGCGCATGTGCACCGCAGTGCAGCAGATCCCCGCACGCATGCACATCTTCGCGCGCTCACACGGCATGCGCCGCATGCACTGAACCCGCCGCCGAGCTCCCTGAAACCGCTGACGCGCGCTTTGAAACCGCTTACGCGTGCCCTGAAACCGCTGACGCGCGCTCTGAAACCGCTGACGCGCGCCCTGAAACCGCCGACGCGCGCCTGTCCACCCTGCTTGCGCCCCGCCCCGTCCCGAGTTGCGCCCTGCCCTGCCGCCAGCGCGCAGCCGCACGCACGCCGTCCACAAGAGCCGACACGCACAGCAAATGTACGCGCACGCCCAGCTACCAACGCAATAGGAGCCGCGTACGCAGCAGTACCAGCTACACGCGCAGCTGCCCGTACACTAGGAGCCGCGCGTGTAGCAGCAGCAACTCGACAGTCAAACCCCCCTTACCCTACCGTACTTGACCGCTCTCTACCGCACTCGACTGCATCCAACTGTCAGAGGTCCAGAGGTCCACTGGTGATCCCCGATGATCCTAGGGAAGGGTTACAGGCACGTTGGCCTGGGGGGTTATGGGCGCACTCACCCGCTACACAAACAAGCCCTTTTATCCCAGTGGTTAGTGGCTGGGATTCTGACATGGTATCAGAGCGAAGGTCTCGGGTTCGATTCCCGGTGTGTGCACCTCGGGCATCCCAGTGCGGGGGGGTGTCAGAGGTCCACTGGGGATCCCCGATGATCCTAGGGAAGGGTTACAGGCATGTTGGCCTGGGGGGTTATGGGCGCACTCACCCGCTACACAAACAAGCCCTTTTATCCCAGTGGTTAGTGGCTGGGATTCTGACATGGTATCAGAGCGAAGGTCTCGGGTTCGAATCCCGGTGTGTGCACCTCGGGCATCCCAGTGCGGGGGGGTGTCAGAGGTCCACTGGTGATCCCCGATGATCCTAGGGAAGGGTTACAGGCACGTTGGCCTGGGGGGTTATGGGCGCACTCACCCGCTACACAAACAAGCCCTTTTATCCCAGTGGTTAGTGGCTGGGATTCTGACACCAACCGCACTCCGCAGTACTCCACCCCACCCATACCAATCGCGGCGCCCAACCGAGTGGACCACCGAGCTCCCTGACCCACCAGGTCCCTGCTGCTGCTGTCCTTGCTGCGGCTGCTGCTGCAGGGACTGCTGTCGCTGCTGTGCCGTGTACCAAGCAATTGCCCAACTCTCCCTCTCGTGGGGCCCGCAAGCCCAGTACCAGCTGCAATGTTGCCTCTACCGGGCGCACTAGCAACGCCACCACCTCCACCACCACATGGACTCGTCTACGGCTGTTTTCTCCCCTCCTAGGTCACAATCGTCTCCTCCTGTTGTCCCGCACGATTGGACAGTTCGCTGTCCCGCTCGTAAGAGTCCATCGTCTCCTTTTGCCGACCTCCGCTCTATCTTACTTTGTTGGAGTCCTCGTCGTTCTTTGCCTTAGTCAGTTCTCCCGTCACCTCCCGAGTCGTCTCTTACAGCCTCCACCTCTACCCCTATCTCTGACTACTACCGTGCCGTCCGTCCTGTTGTCACCAGTGTACTCACCGCTCTAGTCACTGACCCTCGTGCCTCTCTATTGTCAGTCTTGGCTCTTTCTGCCGCAGTCTCAGACTTTGCCGCCACCCGCCTCCTTGACTACGCCACTCGTGTGGTGGCTGCCCGTCCTCTGTCAGCCGAGGGTGAGTCTGCCCTTGGCTGTGATATCCTAGAGGACAGGCAGTTTGAGCTGGAGTTATTGGCACCCGCTTCTTCCCATCTCTGTGCCATGCTGCTAGCCCCTGAGGGAGACCCCGACGCCCTTGACATACTGACTCCGCGTACGTATCGTGAGGCAGTGTCAGGGCAGTAGGTCTCTCAGTGGATAGCAGCCATGGACTTAGAGATGGCATTTTGGAAACCCACAGGCACTTACGTCGGCGCGGTTCCCCTGCCTTGAGCGAACGTAGTCGACAACATGTGGATTTTCAAGGTGAAACAACCCCAAGGATCACGGGGTGTCTTCAAGGTGCGCTACGTAGCAAGGGGCTTCATTCAGCGTTAAGGAGTTGACTTCTTCCATACCTTTGCCCTTACCCTGAAGATGACTATTCTTTGTCTGTTACTTTACGTTGCAGCACAGCGAGACTACGAGCTGCACTCCCTCGACTTCTCCACTGCCTTTCTCCAAGGCAGCCTTCATAAGAAGATCTGGCTGCGCTGTCCTCCTGGCTTAACTGGCAATTTTTCGCCTGGGACCCAGCGGAGCCTGAGACGACCAGTCTACGGTCTCCGTCAGGCACCCCGTGAGTGGCACGACACTCTACACTCCACACTTGCTGACCTTTGTTTCAAACCTTCTACCGCTAACCCGTCGCTGTTCATTCGCTATGGGCCCACACCTTTCCTCGTCCTCGTCTTCGTCGACGACTTGGTCTTTGCTACAGCAGAGACACACGTGCACTGACCTTGGTGAGCTGCGCCGTTGCCTTGGCTTGCAGATCACCGGGGACAGAGTCGCTCGCACCATCACTTTAACTCAATCACAGATGGTGCAGCAGGTCCTTCAGCGGTTCAGGTTTCAGTTCTCTACCGCACAGCATTTTCCTCTTGCCGTTTACCACATGCTCACCGCTCATGTTCCTAACGAGCTCTTTGAGCCTAGTGGTCCTTATTCAGAGCTTGAGGGCTGCCTTATGTACCTGATGACCTATGCTCGTCCAGACCTCGCTTATCCTCTCAGCATCCAAGCTCGCTTTGTTGCGACTGGGAGACATCGTCGTACTTATTGGATGGCAGCTGTGAGGGTAGCGAAATACCTTGCGACTACATCATGCATGGGGCTTGTGCTTGGAGGGACACAGCCAGTTGTACTGACCGGTTACTGCAACTCTTCCTACGCCGACGACGTAGAGACTCATCGGTCTACTCAAGAGAACTGCTTTAGCTTGGGCTCCAGTGCTGCGTCGTGAAGGTCTACTCGGTCGGCATCTGTGGCGCAGTCTAGCGCTGAGGTCGAAACCTACACCGTGTCGCGCAGGAGCTTCGCAGGCTGACCTTCTTGCTCACCGACCTTGGTGAGCGGCCGAGCTCTGCACCGACCTTGTTCGCTGACAACAAGGCCATGATCCTCCTGTCGATGTCAAGAGCCTCAATTAGAGAGCAGAGTGAAGCACATTGACGTCAGGTACTTTTCACTGCGAGAGCTGCAGCGGTGCAGTCAGGCGCACCTGGACTTTGTAGCCTCAGAGGCCAACACTGCAAAAATCTTCGCCCAATGCCCTTCTGCCTGGAGATCATCACA